GTGAGCTTACACTTGTTGACTTATCTTTCCTCTTCTTTTTGTTGACAACTGACTTCTTCCAGGCACCTGCCAATGTTAAATCTGGATGATGTTTAGACACCTTCTTCTCCTTTTCCTTGATTTCACCCACACATTGTTTTACAGTGCCTGGTTCAACTGACAAAGATCTGGGTGTTAGTGAATGTTTAACAGTGTAGCTTTGTGTCTGAGCCTTTATGTAATTCTTTGATTTTAACAAGCATAGTGAGAGTGCCCCCAAACTCTCTCTTATTGAGACATCAAGTGAGTGTCTGCCTTATATACTATATAGTAAAGTCTAATAGTCTGAGACATTCTAAGTATAGTAACTCTACATAAGGCAATTGGGGATTTCCTAATCTAGAGCACAATCTAATACTCTCCTTCAAACATTAATTAAGAACTAAGACTGTATGCCTAATAGTTCAATTAGATGCTTGATCTGTAGGACATGGAGAGCTTTTGTAAGAATGTCTGCTAATTGGTTCTACAATTGGACATAGTATACATTAATGTAATTGTTTTGAATGTAACATTGTACAAAGTCTTTTTGTAAATTAAGGTGTTTAGTACAAGCATTGTACATTATTTTGTTAGACTTTACAGTCTTTATTACACCTGTGTTATTGTAATAAATTGTAATGGGTGCTAATTCAGTCTGTAGTACTTCTTCAGCAAATTGTTTGAGCCAAATAGCTTCTTGAGTAGTATACACCAGTACTTGTAACTCAGCTTTGTAAACAGATAGTAGTACTAGGTTTTACTGTTTGCTTGACCAGGATATGGTTGATTTAGCTAATTGAAAGACATAACCATTTATTACTTTATGTCCTTCTGTCATTTGTTTGTCTGTATCACAATAGCCTTGTAGTTTTAAAGTGTTTGTACTTCTAAGTTGAAGCTAGTAATTTGTTGTATATTTTAAATATGTAAAGTAATGTTTCACTACTTTGTAGTAATGTGTTTAGAGCTTTTGTAGGTAGTACACTAATTGCCCAGTAATATAAGATATGTTTGGCTGTGTACAATCCACAACATATCTTAACAATCCTACCATATTCATGTATAGTATTGTTTCATTATTACTTTTGTTTGTATTATACATATTGTTTGTATTGTTGGATAGATCTATTCTAAGAGTAATAAGCATTTGTAGTGCCTTTTCGTTTTCAAAGTGGTAATATTTGATTATACTTTCAATATAATACTTTTACTGTAAGCTAATTGTTTGTTAAGGTCTATCTTAGCTTATTTCAATACTAAGTAACTAATGTATTTTGTTACTGTCTGTAAATACAACATATTGTCTTAATGCATGTTTAAATACTGTTATTATAGTAATAGTTTTACTAATAATTGTAATATTGTTAATATATATAAATGTTATAAGAATCATTTTGTTATTTTGTTTCTTATAAAATACAGTGTGATTGTAATTAGCTTGTTCTAATCCAATCTTAAGTAGTAGTTTAGTAATCTTCTTATACTATTGTCTACCTGCTTGTTTCAATCTGTATAATACTTTATTTAAATGTAATACCTGTTTAGGTTTAATATCTGTAAGTAGCTTGCCTAGCAGTAGTTTCACATAAATAAGTTTGTCCTCATTTAGTTCTCTGTAAAGATATACAGATTTTACATCTATCTAATATATTTCATAGTTCTTAGATACTACCCAAGATAACAATAATTGTACTGTTGATAGTTTTGTTACTAGGGCAAATAAGTTGTTAGAATAGAAGTCTATTCTATTCTTTTGAGTGTATCCTTACACTACAAATTGTACTTTGTATTTGTTTATTTAGCTGTTAGCCAGTCTTTTAATTTTATAGACAAATTTTGTTCCAATTATATTTGTATTCATAAGGGGGATAGTATATATCTATGTGTTTTATTGTTGAAGTGACTGTATTTCATCCTTTATAACTTTAATCTACTATTCTTTGTCTATACATGTTATAGCATTGTAATACATTAATAGATTGCTATAGATTTTATTAAGGAATTTGTTAAATTCTGTTAGATACATAGTTAGGTTTATATCATCTTTGTAATTTTATCATTGTTTAATGTATCATCATTATAATTATTCTCCCCTTCAATCCTAAACATTAGTTTGTCTATGAATTGTACATTGTGTTTGACAGTAACTTTATTATTATGACACACTAAGTGACCTTTACTGTTAGTATTATAACCTAACTATCATACATATTGGCCTCTAGGTTATAGTTTATGTGTTTGTTTGTTTTGTATGATACAATATGTACTAAATTCTTATATGTTATCTATTTGATAATGCTTGTTATACTGTTTGTAATATGGTGTTATGAAATTAATAACAACTCTTAGCATTCTGTTATGAATAAACATTTAATATTGTACCACATATACCTAGAATTTTATAAGTAACTTTGCTAATAACAGACATGTATGTACACTGTTAAAGATAGTCTTATGTATATGTTCTATAACTCTGTTCTGTTATAGTGTATTATATACTGTTAATCTGTGTATTGTTCCTTGACTTTTAATATACATAATAAAGTCTTTACTTAGGAACACTGTATTGTTATCACTTTGAAGAGTTTTAACTCTTATACTGTATTGTGTAAAGAGTCTTGTTGTATACTTTACATATTCAGTAAAAGTATTGCTTTTATACTGTATAGGTAGTATAGTTACCCATTGTGTAGTATTGTCTACAATAGTAAAAAGATATTCATACTTGTTGTAAGCTTGTACTAGAGTAGGTCCTCAAATATTAATGTGGAGATGATCTCTATAACATTGTACAAAAGGTGTAGTTTGTATTTTTAGTATTTCATTGTGTTGTATGTTTGCTTTAATACAATCTGTACACTGTGCATTTTTATTGTCTGTTATCCTTTAACTTATAATCTCAGGATACTCTTGTATGAGTTTGTACAAGTAATCAAAATTAATATGACTTATTTGTTAATGTAAATCAACAATAGTGATTGTATTAATAGATCATTTATTATGATGAGAAACTATTATATACAAGTTATTTTGTACATGTATTTTACCAATCTTTGTATGAGTAAAGGAATAAATAATACATTCATTGTTTGTTTTTGTTAAAACATATCCTACTTTACATAATAGTACTTTACTAACAAGTGTGAAGTTCAGATTGGGATGATAGTATACATTTTATAGTGAAATCATGTTCACCTTAGTATGCTCATTGTCTTTATCTTATAGTTTTACATTAAATGTTATTACTCTACTTTTACTAAGTGTGAATAATAATTTATTCATAATTGTAACATTTATTAGGGTTGAGTTCTGAATGTTTGTAAGACAGAACAAGTATAGAGTAGTGTGTACATTTGTGCCAGAGTCTAATATATTAACACAATGTATTAGTCTAGTATTATTACAATGTATTGTATTGATACATATGTTTGGATTGTACTTAAAGTCCTTAATAACTTCTTTTGTTTTGTTAAATGAGTTTATAAAGTTGTTTACTTGTATAACACTATCCTCTTGTACTTTGAATACTGAGAATATGTTAGATTCAGCAGATAGAGCAGATTCAGCAGATAAAGTAGATTAAACAAGTAAGCTACTAGAGTTTAATACTAAGGCTTCTACAATTATAGACTCTAGCATTAGTGTTTTATTAACATCTTTAATGAATACCATTTTGTTATTGTCTCTAATGAATACTACTGTATTAAGTACAGGTTGAGACAATATAGTAGTAGTAGTAGAAGTAGTAACTGTTTACTTATACTTTTTCTTTCAAGCTTCTATTGTTTTGCTTGTTAGAGGATTTTGACAGTCTTTTAACATATGCCTGTACTTATTACAATTGTAGCATTTAACTTTACTATAAGGCTTTGTTTTGCTTTTAGCTACACTTTTGCCTTTTGTTTGTAGGCTGTCTTGTTCAGTATCTTGTTTTGTTTAAGAGTACTAAGAATAATACTTAGTATATATGTTTTACAATTTGTGTATTAACTTAGCTAGTGTCAGAATGTCTTTCTGAGCTACTGTAACTGTTAGTAGTTGATTATAATAGGTAATCTGTCTGTCTAGCATTGTTACTACCTATCTATACTTATAAGGAGTAGTAAGGTTAATTGTTAAGATGTATGTATTATTATTAGAGACTTTATTATGTACAGACAACTGTTTGTAGATTTGTTCAATGTTGTCTAACATCTTATCAAACTGTAATACATACTCTTTAACTGTAAACAACATAGATATGTCTACAGTATGTGTCATTATTGTTTGAACATTGTATTGTTCAGAAAGTACCTTTATAAGACTTCTAACACTTGTATACATTGTAAAGTTTGTATAAATTGTATTAGTTATTGTTTTCATTATACAATAATACAAAACATTACTTGTATGTATACTAGCATCATTAGAGGAAGGGGGATTGTACTCTAGGTAGTCTGAGAGCATTATAGTAGTGAGTGTACTGTGTATACATAAGTACTATATCTTGTATCCCTTTACACTAGCCAACTTTTCTGTTCCCTTAAAGAACTTTATAATGTTAGAGTCCTTCATTATAGTGTTAACAAAAGTATACATTGTAGCAACATTGTAATAGGTTTAGTAGGAGGGGAAGGTCTAGGGCTTGGTGTGCTAGTAGGAGGCAAAGGTGTTCTGTAAGAGCAAGTATGTAGGAGTATTTAATAGGTACTAAGGCTCATAACCTTTTAACAAGTATAGTAGGAGTGCCCCCAAACTCTCTCTTAATGAGACATCAAGCAAGTGTCTGCCTTATATACTACATAGTGAAGTCCAATAGTCTGAGACATTCTAAGTGTAGTAACTCTACATAAGGCAATTAGGGATTTCCTAATCCAGAGTGCAATCTAATATTTGATGATGATACTCTTAGTGTGTCAGGGAATCCATCAGCATCCTCAATTTCCTTCACCTCGTTCGCTTCTACCACCTCATCATTGGGTACTAATTCTGGTGAAACAGTTCCAGTATGCGGAGACCGAATCTTCCTTTCCAACTTAGAATCGTCAATAGAAATGACTTCTTGCGAAAGTGACGTAGGCCTCATAGAAAGCGGAGCCACTGGTTTATTTCGTAAGGATGATTTGCTAAATCTCAAACGAGGACCATCCGCAGCGTTTCGTAATGAGCCTGTACCAGCCGGAACAGTGGAAGTGATCGCGCGTGGCTCTTTAAACGATGACGATTCTCCACGCTTCGGATCCTTTATGAAAAACTTCGACCTAGCCTCGAGTTCATCAAATCCACCTCCAGAAATCCTCCGTTTCTTCGGCGGAGGTGCATCTGTTATTGTCATGCGCGCAATCGGTTTCCAGTCAACCCTAAGGAATCTCGTAAATGTCGACCGCTATGTGGGGCTGGCACTTGGTTAGGTCTCCGCTACAATACGGATTATCAAATAATTATACACACATAAGTCAATGATTCAATCAATACACAAGATGTAAATAATAGACTCACCACGCTTTGGCCGCCTGGCGTCGGAATCGTAGTAGGTTTGCTACTCCACTCGATGTTATTTCCCATGTCATAAGATCGTGGCGCGTTGTGTAGTTCACCAGCTCTAAGCACATAACGCATCAGCATCAATGCATCATAGTTATAACAACAACATTGGGCGTGAAGCCTACTTGTGAGCTTGCAAAACTGTTGAGAGGGAGAACTTAAGGGGGGCATGCATAGACAAGGGGTGAGGTGACGATTGACTGCTCAGTGTCTCTCGTCCTTATATTGTATGTATTCTAACTGAGACATTATGAAGTCATCGTCTCGTGGTTTGTCTGTTGATGAACTAATCATCTCATAATACTCCCCTTCAAACTCTTACTAGTCTGAGTAAACTGGTAAGATGTTTGACTTGTGGTACATGTAGTGCTTTAGTTAATATATCTGCTTGTTGATTGTTTGTCTGTATGTATTTTGCATTTATGTACTCTAACTCAATGTAGCATTTAATAAAATCTTTCTTATGATCTAAATGCTTTGTTTGTTCCGAATATTTGAGTTTGTCCAATGTAACTGTTTGTATAACAGTATTGTTATTACAATAGATATTAATTGGTGCATCAGAGACCTGCAGAATCTCTTCAGCTAAATGTGTAAGTGTGATTGCTTCCTGTGTTCCTCTTGTAAGAGCTATTAATTTAGCTTCATATGTCAAATTTGCCACCAGTGTTTGTCTTTTACTTGACCACGAAACTAATGAATTGCTCAAGTAAAATGTATATCCTGATATTGTACAATGCCCTTCTTGCATCATACTGTCTGTGTCTGTATAACTGTTCAATATTGATTGATTTGTGCTACTGAGTTGGAGCCAGACATTACTCATAGTTTTTAAGTACATGTAACAATGTTTAAGTGCTAGATAATACTCCATACTAGGGTCATTAAAGTATTTTGCTAACTGATTTGTTGCAAATGCTATATCTGGCTGTGTACAGTCTGCAATGTATCTAAGTGTACTAACCATGTTCATGTATAGTATATCAGACATTTGTTTTCTATTGTTATTAGTTTGCAATACTGTTTTTAATTGTGTACCAGGCTGTATGAGTGTTTGTACACTTTGTTTGTTTGTAAGTTTGTAATGTTCTATTATACTATTAATATAATGTGTCTGACACATCCTGATGAATCTATACTCTCTGTTGTGTTGAATCTCTATACTAAGTAGTTAGTGTAATTTGCTACTGTCTGTATATTGTAAATGACATACAATAGATTGTTTTATTATTACAATAGTATTATTATTCTTTGCCACAATAGTAATATTGTTGACATGTACAAATAATATGGCTACAGTTATTTCTTTCTTCTTTGTAAAGAATATAGTGTTATCATGTTTGGATTTTGTTAATCTGCATTTAAGTAGTATATTAGATAGCATTTTATACCATCTTCTACCAGCTTGTTTTAATCCATATAGTGCTTTTTGTAATTGTAATATTTGTCCATTCTGTAATCTGTCTATTAAGTTACCTGGAGGAGGTTTAACATATATTTCTTTGTCTTCCATCAATTGTCTATACAGATATACTGATTTTATATCTATCTGATGTATTTCATAATTATTAGATACTGCCCATACTAATATTAATCATACTGTAGATAGTCTAGCAGTAGGAGCAAATAAATTGTCTGTATGATAGTCAAGACTGTTAATCTGATAGTTTCCTTAAACTACTAATTGTGCTTTATATTTTTCTATACTATTATCAGTGTATTGCTTTATTTTATAGACAAATTGTGTTCCAATAATGTTAATATTATTACATAGATTTGTGATTTCCCATGTATTATGATTTTCTAATTGTTTTATTTTGTCTTTCATAGCTGTAATCCATGAATCACAATCTAGACATTAGATTGCTTCATAAAATGAAGTTGGATCCAATTGTATTTCACTTATTTTAGTATTAAATTCTGTTAAATGAATGGCAATATTATCTTCATCCTTTTCACTAAGTACATACATGTGTTTCATTATGTATTTATTCTCCATGTGTTGTTTAAGCTTGATAGCACATTCTGTCAGTTTCTGTTTCTGTTCTGATCAATGTAATTTAGGTTCTACTTCTTTTTCAGTTAATTTAACTTTGTTGTCCATTAAGTCTGTTGGTTCTGCTGCTTTTCCTTTTTTGTTAGGATCAGTATTGTCTGTATCATTGTTGTCTGTTCTTGTTATTCTATTGTCTGTTTTGTTATTTTTAATTATTAAATGCTTGTTTGTATTGTTGTTTGTATTGTCTATTTTCTCCCCTTCAATTTGAGGAGGTTTACCTTTGAGAAATTGAATATTTCGTTTGATGGTAATTTTATTATTGTGCCAAGTTTTATAGCCTTTACTTTCATTGTCTAATCCTATCTAACAAGCAATGATACCTTACTGTTGTATTTTTGTAGGATTTTTGTTGCAAATGATAATATATTGACCAAATTTGTATATATTATCAATTGTTCTGTGTGTTCTGTAATGTTTGTAATGTAGAGTATTATAATTTAAAGTAGCACACAGTGTTCTATTATAAATATAAGTAATATGAATTACTACTTCAGCCCATAATGTAAACAGTAGTTTAGTAAATGTTAGATATGCTCTTACACCTCTAAATATAGTTTTATGTGTTTGTTCTGCTATTCTGTTCTGTTGTAGAGTATGATGTACTGTTAATCTTTGTTTTGTTCCTTATGAATCTAAATATTGTTGGAAATCTTTACTAAGGAATACAGTATCATTATTACTTTGTAAAAGCTTTATTTTAACTCTGTACTGTGTAAATATTTTAGTTGTCCATCATACATATTATGTATATACATTGGATTTTGTTTGTAATTTGAGTATTATGCACCAACAAGTAGAATTGTCTACAATTGTTAATAAGTAGTGTATGTTCTTATATGTGTACAGTTTAATAGGACTAATGATATTAATATGAATAAGATCTCCAAATTGATTTGCAAGAGGAGATTGATGTAGTTTTAGTATTAGTGTACATTCAATATTTGCTTTTATACATTCAATACATTCTTTTTCTTTGTAGTTTGTTATTTTAGTTGATAGTACACTTGGTTGTGTCTTTAATAATTGTTTAATATAATTGTAACTTATGTGTCTGAGGCATTTATGTATATTATAAATAGATAGTTTGTTCATTGTTTTTAATAAATGATTATTGTACAAAATATACAAGTTATTTCTCAATTGTATATGTCTGATGTATTTGTTACATGGTAATGTTATAGTACAATTATCATTTGTAAACATAAAAGAATAACCTTCCCTACATAGTAGTGCTTGACTTATGAGGGAAAAGGTCATTTGTAGATAGTAATAAATGTTTTGTAATGTTATAATACTTTTTTCTTGTATATTCTTCAGGATTTTGATACACATAGATCCAGCTCGATTAAGAGTCATTGTTGACCTATTTGTAATAGTTACAATTGTAGGAGTTATGTTGTGTACATCTATTAATTAAAATAGATAAGGAGTAGTATGTATTAATACACTAGAATTGAGTAAATCTATTGTTTGTGTATAGGATTTCTTGTTAGCTATGATTGTATTTGTAAATATGTTAGTTATTATAAGATAATTAGTTCATCAACAGACAAACCACAAGACAATGACTTTATAATGTCTCAGTTAGAATACATACAATATAAGGATGAGAGACACTGAGTAGTCAATTGTCACCTCACCCCTTGTCTATGTATGCCCCCCTTAAGTTCTCCCTCTCAACAGGTTATAAGCCTTGAGCTCCCTGTATACATACATCTACTATACACTCTAAACTCTTTACTTGCATACATTTGTACACATTTGTATTATGGTTCCCCTATATACAGATACACACTGTAAACTAGCTAATGTACCTAAATACTTTGGTCAAAACATTACAATACTTAAGACTGAAGCAAACTACAAGATGTGGTACTACTGTATTGTTTCTAGTGTTGTAGCTACATACTTTGAACACTTACTAAAGGATGAACTGTAGAACAAAGCTGAGAGGGAGATGACTAAGACTATTCATACATACATAGTCAATAACATTGCTGACACAATATTGGCAAACTATATACACTTTGATATGTCTATCCCTCAGTTAATGAAAGCACTTAAAGAACACTTTAACCCTTAGACAGTATGTAAAAAGGCTATCAACAAATCAGTACTGTTTATTTGTAGAGACTATGTAAAACATTTTGGACATACATTAGACAGACTTGAGGAAGCATACACAACTCTGTCTACTAATAGTGATCCACCACACAACTCTACATACAAAGCAGCAATATTGCTTGCCACTCCTGAGCAATATACACACATAGTAAATATGATAATACAATCTACTGATGCCCAAAACAAAGGCAAACCAGTCAATGAACATAAGAAAGTTGAACTGAAGCAACTAATCCTTGTATTACAGAACACCTACAATAATTACTGTACTAAACAAGCACAAGATTCTAATGATTGGACAAAGAATAATGTACACATTAATACAATGTATAAAGCTAATAAGTAGAGGAAATTCAATCTGCCAAATCTGTTCAATCCGACAAAAGTAAAATGTTTCAATTGTGGAAAAACAAAAACAAACACACCTCTTTGTTCCTCAAGCACTTGAACTACTATCTGGCCCACAGAGCTCTCTAAGCTGCTTATGATCGTTGGTCATCATATGGATACTCTGCCAGAGGTTAATATGCGGCAGAAAAACGAACGTCACGAGATCCACAGACACGTCCGAGCGAGAGTATGAGTCCGAGTGGAAGCCCTGCCCTTGATGATTTATGAAGGAATGCAGGATGCACTGTTGGTGGTAGATGTAGAAGAATGGATAGTGAGCTAAGTGACACCCTTCTAGAGGTCTAATAAGGAGTGCACTCGGGCGTCTTCCGCTAATCAATCTGACAAATTGAGTAATGTTTACCAGTCTAACTAAGAACATTTATTTATTCGAATTTCAAAACCATATACAGTAAAATATGTCATAACACATTAAAATTTTCTGTGACAAAAATTGAGTTTGCCTGCTAGAATTGTATGTGAAAATGCACAAAGCACATAATGCATTAGGTTTGGTCTTCTCCCAACATCATGTGTTATGACATCATACTGTAATGTATTAGATCCAGTCTTCTCCTAATAATACACATTATAACATATTTTACTGTATGTATTGCTTGTCTAATTTTCTTCTTCTTATGGTTGAATACTACTGTGAAAAATGTTATGATACATGCTTTTGTACAATACATTGAGCTGACCCATAACAGAATTGGAATTGCCTACAAAAAATCTATGAGATAATGTATAAAGCATATAAATGCACTGATTTTGGTCTTGTCCCAGCATTATGTGTTTTGTCATATTTTACTGTATCCTCTAAATGTGTATCCCAGATAACTATGAGCACCTCCAAAAACATTCTACTCAAGGACACACGTCTCTGTCCATTTCCTCCTCTAACTCCATCCTAACGCTTCCACTCTGTCTCTTCACAGTCTCTTCCGATCTTGTCTCAGCACTACCTCGACCATCACCACCGTGTTCACGCTCCACAGCCACACACAACTCCTCGTAAATCGACCCATTCTTTAAGGTCCTCATCGTATTCAACACTGCAAACAGCCAAAGCAGGAGCGTCCAAACCGCATATATCGACCCCCATACACGTAAGATATGTGAATCGAGTGTGTTAGAGAGTTGGATCGTTAAGTTTGCATAGACACCCTGAGTTAGAGAGAAAAAAAATTAGATCAAGTTGATTGTAGGGTGTAAAGGAGGAGTCAGGACGCACATTAGGGAAAATCATCCCCCAAAACGTCACCTTAAACGGTAACCTCTTCCACTCCCTCATCAAAACCAACACATCTCCCAGTGCTCCAAATCCGAAAGTGACCCATGCGGTTGCAAGGCACCATAATGTGAAGCTGATTAGCCAGGCAACGGCGTATATGACGTAGCTTGAGTTGACGTTCGTGAATACATTGATGTTCGATGCATCGGATCCGGAGGTATTGCTGACAGGAAGGTATGGAACAGGAAACACCTTGCTGGATACCTGTCCCAGAATGAGAAAACAAAATCCCGCCTGTCCGAGTGGGCCTAGAGGTAAGAACACGCTGAATATCGATAAACCTCCAGGTAGCTTATACACCGCCAATCTTAACAAATATATCGTTATCACAGCGAGAGCGAAGGTGATGCCCATCGTTACGAGCATCATGCATATTGCCAGTGTGAGGTATATGTGTGATGCGATGAAGGGAGAAGGGGAGGAGAGTGCGATGGGTATGAGGGCTTGTGCGACTACTCCGCCTGTTGAGGCGACGACGATTATCGTTACGACGGGTAGTAGCCAGACCATTGTCATTCGTGAGAGGTCGTGCGTTTGGCGAGTGAACCTGTCCATAATAGTTATTAGCGTATTTGAGTATAGTAATACATTACATTGTATTTTAACTGAGGATGTGAATTGATACCACTCACATAATATGCAACTGTCCAAAGAAAATAGCAACCGCAACCACTACATCAGCCCACCAAAGTGCCCAAAGGACATACACGAAGGCCCTTCCACCCCAATTAAAATACTCATGCACGATACCCGTAGCAGAAATAATAACCGTTGCGAACCCCATCGGCGCACAGCCAAGGAACTGACTTTGCGTAGGGTGTCGAAGCATAGCCATCCACATTCCGCGAAATAGGACATAGCGGAGGATGGTTAGAGTGGTGATGACAGTAAAGAATATCAGGTTTAAGATGAGGAATGCTAGTGCAACGGATTGGAGTGCGAGGTTATTCGTGCCATACGGGAAGGAGTGGAAAAGGATTGTAATTGCGCCTGTTCCTAGAGACTAGCAGGATGGGTGAAACGAGAGGTTGTTGAGAGGTTATTGACGCATACCCATTACCGCGGCGTGCCATGCAGGAGTAAAGTGCCTAAAGAAATTTTTTAAGTTAGTTGAACGGGTGCCATAAGATGAATGAAGATACTGGAACTCGCCGGACACATTCTTTGAACGAGAGAGCCTTTGCAGGAGTGCCATGGAGAAGATGATGCATGAAGGCCAGTCGACCGCCGGAATGATCACGGAAGAAAAGACCGCATTCATTGTGTTATTTTTTACTTTGGGCACGTTGCCCGGCTGACTATGCATGTGCAATTCGAAGCCGCCTCCGCTTGAAAAGTGCATCCAGTTGAGAAAAATACGTGCCGTACGCCATAGATTTGGTATATCAGATCAGATAAACTTAGAGGAATGCAGGGGCCCGAGTATGGTGCCGAGTTCCCAGCATGGACGAGAGGAGAAAGCGACTAAAATATTCACTGTGCTTTATTTGGATGGGACGGCACTGTCTCGGGAATAATGAATGGTGACGCCCCAGTTCGCTGGCCTCCGTCCGTTCGTCGCATTCTTCCCATGTCGTTCTCCCCGCCATCTATCCTTCATCCCCGCCTTTTGTAAAGTGCTATCGCCCCCACAGTGTCGGCCATGAGTTCAGTTTCTTCATCCTCAACCTCTTCTGTGCTCTCTACCGCCGCGTCTTCACTGACGTCACTCGCACTCGCTAACTCTACCGCGCTCATCCAACCAACGAGTGACTTTTTCACAAACAGTTTCCCTCAGACAGCGTCCTTTGGCGCAGCAAGCACCAGTAGTGCCAGCAATAATGACGACGATGGAAATAATAACAATAATAATAACACACTAGCCGCATCGTCGTCTCTGTACCTGTACGTGTCGAATCAGTCTGTTTCATGCTTATTTCATCCGTCATCCCATCACCTGCACCGCCCGAGACGTCCGACTCAGACTCTTTGACACACACACTCTCCCACCATCCTCTTCATCTTACCACTCCCTTCCTCTGCTGACTCGATTACACACCTACACCTATACTGACTGACTTCCCTTCCATCATCGCTCTACTCATACCCGCACGCCCTCAATCGACCAAATTAATTAACTATTACATGGCATGGCCTCTCTTCTCATCAACAGCTTCACTTTCCTCGCGACCCTCCTCCTTCTCCTCGCAATCTCCTGTGCTATCGTAATCCGCTCATTCATTATCCGACGCCGTTTCCATCGGCGAGTCCAAGAAGCACTCGCAGATGGTTCCGTGCTCCCACCCCATGCTCCCGGCCCCGGCGGTTTCGGCGGCATCGGCGGGGGACGAAGACGCGATTTTGGCGAGAAGCCAAAGTTATGGGATGCACATCTCAGACCTCCCGCGCCGCTGTCGTCGTCCCTTTCTTCTGAGTTGCGGTGGGAGAACATAAAGGTACGTATGCGTCCACTACGTTACGTTGCCTGTTGCCTTACCGACCACGTCCATGTCTAACGTAACGTATGAAACCACACGTAGCCTGTCTCGGCCAGGATCCTCTCCGACAAACTCTCTGGAGCTGGCAAACGACGCGTAACTTCCTCGACTACCACACCTCCCCGTACGGGAGGCTTCCTCCAGACGGCTTCGTTAGGACTCGTCAATGGACATGGCCGATCTTGGCGACCGCGATTCCTTCCTCGGCCAGGTCCTCCACAATCACCTTCAGCGATGACGACGCCCCCAGCGCAACCTCCAACCATCTCCGCGCCCATCCCTCCTTCCACTTCCACTTCCTCATCCCCATCCTCTCCGGCCGAACAAAGAGCAGAATCGAACTCAGAAGACGCCCATCTCCAGATTCACGTCCTCATCGCTATGCCATCTCCTTATCGTCCTCGCTCATGGCTCTCTTCCTCTTCCTCATCACAATCCTCTTCTTCGACGAATGTAGATGCATCTCCGTTGAAAGGCAAAACACGAACACCGTATCCCACAGTTTACGATAACGAAGATGAGGAAGAAGAGTTACCTGATGTTGCGTTTGGTGTGACGGAGGTACCGTGGAAAGTCGCTCTTCCTAACTCTCCCGCTGCCCAAAGTCAAAATCCAAGTCAAAATCGGGGTGAATCGGGGTTTAGTAACGGTGGTGCAGGTAATGTTGGTGGTGAACCTTCACGAGGGCATGTATAGGATCGTAGGGTCATAGTACTACTCCGGACATTTATTGTGTATCAGTATCTTATGCTCATTCATTCGGACATTGGACGCGTTCAAGCAAACACGCAACATGAATACATCTCTTCTGATGGATTAAACATCCAAATAAATGAGCATACAAAATTTATACAAACCATTCAAGCACATATACGTAATCGACGAGTATTAATTAACTGACAATCTACCTCGACTCAACTCGAAGGTAACTTCTCAGCCTCCTCCCTCGCCCTTCTCCGACTCCCCATCATCAAATCAACGTAATCTGCTCCTCCTAATATATGTTCCTTCATATCATCACTGGATTGATTTCGGCGTGAGGAAGAACTGTTGACTGCTGCTGCTGCTGCTTTCTGCTTCAACGTCGATCGCCGTTTCGAGTTTACAGTACTATTTGCCAGAGTGGTTTTTGGAGGATTCGATGCTGAAGCTGATGCTGACGTTCTTGAAGGTGGTGGAGGTATCGATTGGACACCAGCAGGTTTAGAAGAGAGCGTTTGGGACGTGCTTGATGCAGTTTTTTTCTGTTCAGTTCAAGGAAGGCATAAGTTATTATCCAGACTCAAGTAGGGAAATAGGGAAAATATATTGAATTATTGATTATGAAAGACATACGACGCGTTTGTGCACTTTCGCACTTCGACCCATCCCTGTTGTGCAATCCCTGCCCTTTTATTTCTTATGGAGGGCCTGAAGTTCGTATGGATAGTGGGATTATTGTAAGAGGGAAAGATGATAGACAAGACTCAAAGTGTGTTTCTGTTCAAGTTGCTTCCGCGAACTACGAAAAGCTGTATACATCACGTGCATAGAGATGATTGATGAATTAATATGCAGTTTGTGGTTAGAAAGTTATTGCTCTCATCTCCAGATTCTCCACCATGCCACCATCCAATCTTCCTGAGGCATCGAAAATTATCACGCCGAGGGGGAATGAATATCCAATCGCGGAACGCTTACCACCCGAGATACTCGCACACATCTTCAAAATCGGGACGCATATGAAGAAGGCGTTCCGGATGTGAGATACAGATTGGGCAGACTACGACAACTACCTTTTCCAGCGTGTGTGTCGCATGTGTGTCGACTCTGGACGTATTGCGATCGATGTGCTTTCACTATGGACAAACCTCGACTTTATGGAGTGTCGTCCTTTCGAGACGAGCAAGATGTGGCTCGAGCGTTCGAAGAAGGCCCGGTTGGATCTCGTCATTGATCTGACGCCAATTGAGGATAACAGTGACTTGGATAAATTACTCCTCTTTTATTTCTTGTAAGATGTATGGCTATTACACCCGTTTGCATAAATAATGAGACTTTTCGATTTTGAGCGACGTGATGTAATGTAAGAAATCACATGATTTTTTAGACTTAGAGGAAATTTGTGGGCACAAGATAGCGAATGAGACACGTTGTGCCAGTGTCTATGCATATATTTTGAGCTGCTACAATCATGGGTAACTGCTGCATCAGTAGAGACCTCAAAATCTGCTGTCTAAGACTGTATGACCTCAATATTCTAAGCTTGGACGACATTCTAAACTGTGTGAGATTCTCTCGGGCTACTTTTTTTCACATTTGCAAACTCTGGGAAGAAACAGGCAATGTCATTCGCCCAACAACTGCTCAGCACAATAGTAGCAGAGGAGAAGCGACTTTGATAGAAGTAAGACATTATAGCACAATAGAATAGCAATAGACAGGTTGAAAAGTTAGGGACAGGTAGCAGGAGGTAGACTGTATGCACAGACGCTGGCACGACGCGTCTCATTCACTCTGTCTCGTGCTTGCTATTTTCCTCGCTAAGTTTAAAAAATCATGTGATTTCTTACTTTTCTTCACTTCGCTCAAAATCAGAAAGTCTCATTATATATGCAAACGGCTGTAAGATTATGCTAAGACAGAGAGCTGGTAGACAAGTCTCGGCTTCTCTTCTGAGTCTTCAAGCTGCTTTTGGCGAACAGCTGTCTGTATCACGTGCACGAAATTGATTAACAAAATATGCATGTGGTAGTTCGGTTGCCATCTTACATTTTTTCTTATCATAGTGCCAACTCATCACAGAACGGCCACTGCTCTTGCCCCCACCATGCCACCATCCAATCCCCCGGACGCATCCAAAAATCCACAACATATCGCGCCGAAAGGAGATAAACGTTCAATCGTAGAACTCTTACCGCTCGAGGTAATTGAATATATCTTCGAAATTGGGACGCGTGCAGAAAGGGAGGGAAAACGCTGGCGCAGACCACCTTTTCCAGAGCGTGTGTCGCATGTATGTCGACGCTGGAGAAGTATTGCGATCGACATGTCTATACTATGGACAAAACTCAGCTTTACCGAGGATCGTCCTTCCGAGAAGAAAAAGGTGTGGCTTGAACGGACGAAGAAGGCCCCTTTGGATCTATCTATTGACTGGTTTCCAGTTGAGGACGGAATTGATGTGGTTAATACTGAGGATCAAGGCGATGAAAACCAGGAAGATCGAAGTGACATGGCTGAACGACACTTTGACCGCACCTTAGACTTGATAATCCCTCATGTCTCTCGCTGGCGTTCTTTCCACCTCGTAGTGAATCGATACAAATTCATGCATTCAGCACTGGAACGCCTAGGAAAGTGCCCGACAGATCCCGGCGCACCAATTCTCCAGACATTGTTTCTCTGCTGCTCTGGAAACGCTGACGAGTTCGCTCCGGCGGAGTATTTCGAACGTTATTTTCCATTTGGAGGGCACGCGCCGATGCTCACTCGAGTTGATTTTAAACGAGTTCACATAGACTGGAAGCTGCTTATCCCTCCCTTAGAACGATGTGCGCTTTCGTCATTATATTCAACACCAACTTTCACAACCAACCTCACCGATCTCAATTTCGCTTACCACTCGCGGGACGTCCGACCTTCTTACGAAGAGTTCATAACCATACTCCGATGCGCACCGAACCTATCCTCTCTCGAATTCTGCATTTCCTCACCAGCTCCCCGCCAGCAAGGACCCGTTGCACAACCGATATTCCTACCTAAATTGCGAAAACTTCATCTCATGTGGATTGGAGAGGAAGATGCATGCGCAATATTACGTACGTTCTATGCTCCGGCCTTAAGGAATATCACCCTCTACTTTGACCGGGAGAGCTATGATGCGTTTGTACGCCAACTAGCAGCTCCAATGCCGTTACCGAATCCACAATCGCCCAATTTCAGGGATCTCATTTTCCTTCCACCGTCACCAGGCGATGATCCAAATTCATCGTCGTTACCAGAAGAAGGAGAGGAGAGCGGACGCTTCGTCGACCCTAGAGAGCCAAAATCCATCCTACACAATGTAACTGAAGTGACCCTCTTGTGTATAGACTGCTTAACAGACGGTCCACAACACTTCTACTCCGCGAGCCCTAACCTTAAACGACTCTCCCTCAAGATGAACAACCTCCCTCTGGAGTTCTTTTCTGTCTTCATGGAAGATCCTGCTGTCCCAGGCTGTCAAGGTGGCGGTAGCAACACCAGTCTTTCTCTTTCCTCAACCACAAGCGCCGCCGATCTAATGACTCCGCCCGGAACACCACTCTGCAAGCGCCTCGAATCACTAGACATCACCGGCATCCCGGCTTGCCAACTCATCCCATTTGTCAGAAAGCGCAAAGCTCAGGGTATCCCTATACGAGAGTTGATTATCAGGATTGAGCCAGGAGCCACTGTGACGGGAGACGAGGAGAGTTGGCTGATCGCGAACGTTAAGACTGTCAAAATTGTTGATAGCTTTGATTTCAGATTGCTTCATGGATTTTAGAATGCTTCATGACTGGGAGGGAAGGGTAAGATTCGATGGGCGAAACTTAGAGATCAATCAAAGTATGGACATGATATAATATTGCTGTATTTACTTGGCTGTACTTACAACTTGCACGTAGCTTATCGTGATTTAGAACCAAAATACATGGACCATTCTCCTCCACATTGCAAGACATGCTCAAAATGTATTAAATTGGCTTGTTTAGAAATGCTACAATTGCACAATAAAACTGGGCCTCTTCCTCATCAAGATCCTTGTTGACGTTGACAGAAGCAGAATCATTGTCCCCACTGAAAGGTAAAACACAAACTCCGTGCCCTATTCACAATAACGAGGACGAGGAAGAAGAGTTGCCTGATGCTGCGTTTGGTGTGGCGGAGGTGCCGTATACAGTTTCTGTCCCTCCCAATCAAAGTCAAACCCGAAGTCGAGGTGAGGCTGGAAGTAGTCAGTTTATTGGTAATGTAGTTGGTGTGGGTGTGATTGGTGAACCTTCACGAGGGACTCTATAGGATCGGAATACCAATTCGGACACTTATTGTGTATTAATATTTTATCCTCATTCACTCGGACATTTGGACGACTTCCTCTTTTCCAGTGTGTAAATTTAAAATTGTGAACCCCACTAACAGATAGACAAAAGCTGAGAGATAAATTACTAGTACATTGAATGCACTGGAATAATGGCGTTATGTTGCTAACATGTATAAGTCATTGAGTACGTTGCGAGGTACAACAGCTCACAACTCACCTTCCTCAGCATAAGAAAGATAATTTTCAATATTACAGTAGTAACTTCTCTCAGCTCGACCCAACTCAACCCAAGGGTAACTTCCCAGCCTCCTCCCTTGCCCACCTCCGACTCCCCATCATCAGATCAACGTGATCTGCTCCTCCAAATACATGTCCCTTCGTATTCGTATTATTACCTGGTTGATTTTGGTGTGAGGGAGAACTCTTGACTGCTACTGTTGCTTTCTGCTTCAACCTTGATCAGCGTTTCAAAGTCGCAGCCCCTTTTGTTTGGGCTGACAATGACGTTCTTGAAGGAGGTGGAGGTATTGACTAGATAGTAACAGCAGATTTAGAAGTGTATGATTGGGATGTGCTCGACGCAGTTTTTTTCTGTTCAATTCAAAGAAGTTATTAGTCATTATCTAGACTCGAGTAGAGAAATAGGGAAGTATATATTGAATTATTGATGTTGAAGGACATACGACTCGATTGTGCACCTTTGCGCTTTGACCCTCTCTGTGTGCTATTTCTGCCCTTATTTAAATTTCTTTTTTGTGAGGGTTTGAAATTTGTATGGGTAATATGATTATTGTAAGAGGGAGAGAGCGTAGGCAAATCTGGGGTTCTGTTCACGTTCAAGTTGCTTCCACGAAATGCTCTTTGCATCACGTGCACAAAGATTATTGACAATTTGACAAAGTTTGCATCCGGTTGTGCTGTAACTGTTACCATCTTCACATTCTTCTTCTCGTAGTGCCAACTCGTCACAGAAAAGCTACTGCTCTCGCCTCCACCATGCTGCCATTCAGTCCCTCAGAGGCATCCAAAAATCCACGACAAGTTGCGCCGAAAGGAGACAAACATCCAATCGTAGAACTCTTGCCGGTCGAGGTAATTGAGTATATCTTCGAAACTGGGACACGTGCAGAAGGGGCGGACAAAGGCTGGGACGGCGTTCGGAATGACAAGCATGGCTTGAACAGACCGCGAAAATCACTTTTCCCAGTGCGTGTGTCACATGTGTGTCGACGCTGGAGACGTATTGCGATCGATGTGCCTTCACTATGGACAAGGCTCGACTTTATGGAGCCTCGTCCTTTCGAGAAGAGCAAGGTGTGGCTTGAACGGTCGAAGCGGGCCCCATTGGATCTGTCTATTGACTTGTACACAGTCGAGGACGGAATTGACGTAGATGATACTGACTCTCAATATGACGATACTGACTCTTGGGATGACGATATTGACTCTTGGGATGACGATAACCAGGGATATCAATGTCGAAATGACTTAGCTGTACAAGACATTGACTGCATCTTAGACTTGATAATCCCCCATGTCTCTCGATGGCGTACTTTCAGGCTCTCAATGCGCTTCTACAAGCACGCATATTCAACGCTTATACGCCTAGGAAAATGTCCAGCGGATCCCGGCGCGCCAATACTCCAGGCATTCGCTCTCTATTATAACAATAGTGGTTCTAGCTCCCGGTTCCCCAATCTTGAACATAAACTTCCATTTGGGGGGCATGCGCCGATGCTTACGCAAGCTGTATTTCATGGAATTGATATAGACTGGAAGCTTCTTATCCCTCCTTCAGAACGATCTGCGATTTCGTCATTATATTCAATACCGACTTTCACAACCAACCTCACAGATCTCGATTTCAATTACCACTCGGGGGACGTCCGACCTTCTTACGAGGAGTTCATAACCATACTCCGATGCGCACCGAATCTAGCCTCTCTCAAATTCCATTGTTCCTCACCAGCTCCTCGCCAGCAAGGACTCGTTGCACAACCGATATTCCTACCTAACTTGCGATATCTTCGTCTCCGAGAGATTGAAAAAGAAGATGCATGCGCATTATTGCGTATGTTCTATGCTCCGGTCCTAAAAAGTATCTCCCTCAGCCTTGGCGAGGAGGTGTATGATGCATTTATACGCCAATTAGCAGCTCCAATGCCATTACCGGATCCGCAGTCACCCGGTTTTAGGGACCTCATTTTCCTTCCATCGTCATCAGGCGATGTTCCAGATTCATTGTCGTTATCAGAAGAAGGAGAGGAGGCCGGACGCTTCGTAGACTCTAGAGAGCTCAAATCCATCCTACACAATGTAACTGAAGTGAACCTCACTTGTATAACCTGCTCAACAGACAGCCCACAACGCTTCTACTCCGCGTGCCATAACCTTAAACGTCTCAGCCTCGATATGATTTGCATCCCTCTGGAGTTCTTTTCCGTCTTCATGAAAGACCATGCTATCCCAGGTTGTCAGGGTGGCGGTAGCAACGCCAGTCTTTCTCTTTCCTCCACCACAAGCTCTGTCGATCTAATGACTCAGCCCGGAACACCACTCTGCAAACACCTCGAATCATTATCGATCACGGGAATTTCGGGTAAACAACTAATTGCATTTGTCAAAAAGCGTAAAGCACAGGGTATACCTTTACAAGAGTTGCATTACTGTCTAACGTGGAAAGACATTGCGACGACGACGGAAAAGGAGAGAAGGTTGCTGAAAAGGTGGCTGATTGCGAACGTCAGGAGTGTCAAGATTGTTGGTCTTAGATTAAAAGGGGGTTGATGACGAAGGAGAAGGGAAGATGCGATGGACGAAATTTAGAGATCAATCAAAGTATGGGCATGATATTGTACCACTGTATTTTCTTAAGTGTACTCACTTACAGCCTACATATAATCCATCAATTTTTTAAACCAGAGTTATATGGGCCATTCTCCTTCACATTGTGTAACATGCTTGACTTGAAAGGCATTAAGTCAACTTGTTTAGAAGTAATGTAATTGTACAATTAAACTGTGCCTCTTCCTTATTGAGATCCTTGTCAACAGAAGCAGAATCATAGCCTCCACTGAAAGGCAAAACATGGACTCTGTGTCCTGTTTACAAGAACAGAGACAAGGAAGATATATAATGTTATATTTGGTGTGACAGGGTTGCTGTGGAAAGTTTCTGTCCCTCCTGACCAAAGTCAAAACCGAAGTCGAGGTGAGGCTGGAAGTAGTCAGTTTATTAGTAATGTAGTTGGTGTGGGTGTGGTTGGTGAACCTTCACAAAGGACTGTATCAGATCAGAATACCAATTTAGACACTTATTGTGTATTAATATTTTATCCTCATTCACTCGGACATTTAGACGACCTCCTCTTTTCCAGTGTGTAAATTTAAAATTGTGAACCCCACTAACAGATAGACAAAAGCTGAGAGATATATTAGGACATTGAATGCACTGGAGTAATGGCATTATGCTGCTAGCATGTACAAATCAATGAGTATGTTGCAAGGTACAATGGCTCACAACTCACCTTCCTCAGCATAAAAAAGATAATTTTCAATATTACAGTAGTAACTTCTCTCAGCTCGACCCAACTCAACCCAAGGGTAGCCTCCTCCCTTGCCCACCTCCGACTCCCCATCATCAGATCAACGTGATCTGCCCCTCCAAATACATGTCCCTTCGTATTCGTATTATCACCTGGTTGATTTTGGTGAGTTTTTTTTTTTGACTGCTTCTGTTCCTTTGTATTGCTTAAAGTCATTGATTTCATTCTGTCCGATTACAGTAATGATGTGCACGTGGCGTGCATATAGGTCATCACTTGCAGTTTGACTTTGTTTACGCGCTTCACCTTTCTCCTTTCCACAATGCCGACTCGTCATAAGAAAGTAGTTACTTTCATCCCGACAGTACCACCACCCAATCCCCCGGTGACATCTAAAAATCCAAGATACATACCACCAGAAGGAGACAAATGTCCAATCGAGGAACTTTTACCACCGGAAGTACTCGCATACATCTTCGAAATTGGAACGCGTGCGGAGGAGGCGGACGAAAGCTGGGACGTGGAGGAAGACGATGGGGATGAGGATTACGAGGACGTCGATGACAGCGATGATGATGATGACGATGAATTTAGCGAATTTGGCGATGGGCGATTACCTGGATCCTTTAGCCTTGGAAGAGTCAAACTCATGAATGGAGATGACGACGTTCCGGATGGGAAACACAAGTCGGACAAACCACAACAGCTACCTTTCCCGGTACGTATGTCGCATGTATGTCGACGCTGGCGACGTATTGCAATCAATATGCCTTCACTTTGGACAACACTCGACTTTGCTGAGCCTCGTCCCTTCGAGAAGAGCAGGGTGTGGCTCGAGCGTTCAAAGCAGGCTCCCCTAAACCTGGTTATTGACCTTTCAGTTTTCGATGATGAAAGTGATTCGGATACTGATTTTCAGGACGACGGGGAGGACCGCGAACTCGTCAAGGACAGGCAACTCTCATTGGACCTCAATTACATCTTAGACTTGATAATCCCTCATGTCTCTCGGTGGCGTACTTTCGAGCTCTCAGTAACCTTATACAAACACATATACTTAGCGCTGAAACGCCTGGAAAAATGTCCGGCGGACCCTGGTGCGCCACTTCTAGAGACATTCGCTCTCTTTTGCCACGAAGACAGTGACGACTTCGACGCTGATAGCTTTGTTTTCGAGGAGTATCGAGAACATATCTTGCCGTTTGGAGGGAATGCGCCGAAGCTCATAGAAGCTGGACTTTGGGGTGTTCACATAGATTGGAAACTACTTATACCACTCTCGGAACGATCTGCACTTTCTTCATTATATTCAACACCAACTGCCACGACCAACTTAACAGATCTCGAATTCGCTTACCACTCACGGGACGTCCGACCTCCTTACGAAGAGTTCATAACCATACTCCGATGCGCACCAAATCTTACTTCCCTCAAGCTCTCTGGCTCCGGACCAGCTCCTCGCCAGCACGGCCCTGCCGCACAATCATTATTCCTACCCAACTTGCGATATCTGCAACTCGGGTTTCTTGAAGAGGACTATGCGTGCGCGTTGTTGCGCTTATTCTATGCTCCAGCCCTGAAAGGCATCTGCCTCGACTTTGACGAGGGGATCTACAATGCGTTTATACGACAACTGGCAGCTCCGATGCCACTACCGGATCCACAACCGCCCAACTTTAGAGATTGTATCTTCGTTCCGTCGTCACCGGGCAGTAATCCTAATTCCTTGTCGTTACCAGAAGAGGAAGGGAAAGACGGACGCTACATAGACCCTACAAAGCCAAAATCTATCCTCCACAACATTATCGAAGCCAAACTAAGCGGCATACCCTGCTCAGCAGAAATCCCACAGCATTTTTACTCTGCAAGCCCTCTCCTCAAACGTCTTTACCTCAATATGAACTACCTACCTCCCGAGTTCTTCTCCGTCCTCACGGCAGTTCCCACCCGCACTGATTCAACAACAACTCAGCCCGTAACACCACTCTGCAAATACCTCGAATCACTTACCATCTCAGGTATTTCGGGTAACGAACTCGTTGCATTCGTCAAGAAACGCAAATCCCTCGGTGTTCCCATCCGCGAATTGAACATTGACGAGACGGACATTGTGACGGACGAAGAAGAAAGTTGGTTGATCGCGAATGTGGGTAGTGTCGAGTTCGTTGAGATCAGTGACGATGAGCTGGTTGATCTGGAGGTGGAAGATGCGGATGAGGGTGAAGGTGAAGGAGGGGAAGCGGGACAGGGACAAGGCCAGGGAGTGGGAGAGTCGATGGACGAAACGTAGAAACTTGAGTCTAGTCGAAGTTATTGGCTTAACATCATATTACTGTATTTACTCAAGCATACTAACAGCTTACACATAGCATATCATTGTTTATAAAATCAACAACATAGACCGCACTCCTGCATATACAACGTGCTTAGAATATATTATCAGTTCGTATACTACGAACAGTACCATTACACCAGCCAAAATCGCTGAAGTCTGAGTTGGCGATCTGGATTTACGAATGCATACAAATTATAAAGATTCACTGGTCTTGTGGTTATGATTTCTGTCTAACATATTTCTTGGTCTTCACAGAAGGTTCCTGGTTCGATTCCAGGGTGAATCACTGAGACTGATGGATACCCCTTTTTTGCCTTGCTGATTCTACTTTCTACATTTCGAAAATACCATTACAAACATCCAGCTAAAAAAAAAAGCTAGGCAGAAATTTCAACCAACGACAATAAAACTAGAGTTTTACTGTCACAGAAATACTGCACTGTACCCCATCAAGAAAGGTTTTTTACTAAATGTCAGTCTATGTTAACACTATTTTGATGTTCATGCACACAAGTATGTATCTAGCGGCTCTTTCACTTTGACGGGTGCCTAAGGATCAACCGTGATATCAATTCGTATAGATCGTTTCATCAGAAAGCTAAATTAACCAACACAGCGAAAATAGCACATGCAACAAAAGGCAACATGGCATATCTAGTTTACGTAGCGAAGCAAAAGAATACGACGTAGCCAAATGAAAGGAAAGAAAGCAACAGGCGTCCACGGTGACTAACGATTGAACAAAACACAAGCTAAGGGACATGCAGGAGATGAAACTTGAGTGTCCGTAGACGAGTAAGGGTGTGCGAAAGGAAATATTACACAGGCGGGACAAAGGAGATGATTGCATACCGCACTATGAGATATTGTAACAGTGTAAGGGCGGAGGGGGGTAGTCCGAATCATTCGATTCATTGAATAGTCCAGGAGGAATCCGATTCCGGGTGTAACAACAAATTCGTAGAGTGGGAGATAGCGTCGGCGAATCATGTATTGTCCGTCATAAGATCGACACGTCAACTAAGAAATGGATATGTGATGATGATGAAGGTATGGGGATGAAGGGTAAGAGAAAAGGGAGTCAATGTCGTGGGTAAATGCAGAAGGCTGACGCAGACGTCGTTGCGATTAGGGAATATGGGGATGATGATGCAGAAGTTCAATTTGTCTTTATAATCTCCGAGAAACTTTAACACCCGTCAAACAAAGAATTACGCGGGAAGGTATAGCCAGCTTGAGCCCAAGTAGTCAGGTTGGGGTTCGAGTAAGCATTGATATGGCTGTAGGTGAAGGGAAATGAGTACGTGACTCAAATTTGTCCAATCTGAAATCAGGACTAGACTCACTTATTAATATAGTCCGCCGTCGGCCGTCTCTTTGGGTCGCAGCCCGTGTTCTGGACGCCCTGCCTCTGGTAAACACGGATCCAGTCAACGTACATCGAGACGGGGAACTTGAGATTCTTGAAGTCTTGGGCCTGGAAACTCGGTGACATACCCAAGTTCATAATGATGTACTACATAAAGACAACGCAGTCAGAACGTCAGACAATTCATAACAAAAAATGATGACCTACGTGCGGCTCTTCAGAGATCAACCGCTGGCTGACTTGCGAAACGCTGTCCGGGCCAACAGAGGCAGCCGTCATTTTCCAAGCTGGCGTTCCAGTACTCTCCCATTGAACGTAACCTTCATTACGATTATCTTCGTTACTCCACCATTCAAAACCGTACGTCGCAAAACCATTTCCACCATAGTTCGCACTATCCGTGTATGTCAGTGCACTGGTGGCTTGTTGGAACACGCTCCCATTGTACGTGTTGAACATCGTTTGCGAACTGTCATAGATTGTCGTTACTGAAGGATCCCTATCAAAGTGGTAATCGGCATTGTAGGGTGCAACCTGGGAGGACTGTGAGACCTGGCCCTTGCGAAGACTGGTATCAATCTGTGCCTCGAAAATATCAATTTCGGGCACCCCGCGCCCAGTGCCAACATCCGGTCCTGGATGATCAGAACCATCGCAGGTGCAAGCCGAGGCGCGTTGGCCAGGAAGGAATGAAAGACCGTCTACAGCAGTGGGGTTGCCGTTCGCATCTGTCTGATTCGGGAAGGTGCCAAGGTCACAGGCCGCGTACGTGTAAGGCCACATGCCCTCCGTCGTTGCGCCGTAACCCGCCCGTCCAAGGTTTCCCATAGTCCAAATCGCTGGCCAGAGACCAGGTGTCTCCGCATCACCAGGCAAACTGACAGACACCTCAATGATACCCGTCGTAAAACAAAATTTATTCCACGACTGTAACATCCCTAGGTAAAGACCAGTCAGTTAATGTTCCGTTGACGTAAAAGAAGCCTTACCGCTCATAAAACTAAGATCATGGTTTGGGGTTTCCGCCATAGTAAACACTAACTTGCCATTCGCAGTCGTTACTGCGGATGGGTCATACCACTCTATAAATAGAATGTCAGATTACACACAGACAAAAGGGAGTAACCGTAGGCTCATACCCAGGTCGCCCGTTGGCCAATAGTGCAGGTCCACCGCTTCCCAGTATGGATCATCACCAGGATAAAACGAGCGGCCGTCGACATTGAACTCGTCAGAGAAGACCAAATTATACGTATTCCCATCAGAGCCCTTCTTGGTATAAAGGTCGGACGGGGTGTCTTTATCAATTAAAGTCGGGAAATTCGGGAGGTCTGGTACTTGGCCAGAAGCATTTATCCCACCGAGATTAAAGCCCGCTACATTAATCGACTTTTTGGTAGTGTCGGCAATGATTGGGTAGCCAACAAAGAGCGTGATGATTCCGACAACGATGAGTGTAAGTACGGAAGCATTAGCCCAACCACGCCACGAGAAGAAAGTGAACGAGCGATCTAGGGCAGCGTCGCGTATCGGGTCGGGGTTGTGCAGGGGATCATCGAGATCAGGGTCTTTTGCATCCCACATGTAGGGTGGGACAGTTGACGTCGCCGCGCCTGCTGCTTTCTCATGGCCAGTAAGAGACGACTGCTCGGACGGCGTAGCGCTAAAGTGTGACTCCCGGTACATATCCCCTCGTACACTATCAGGACGATACTATATTACACGTGCGGACCGTCAGCCTCGCGACGGAAACAAATTTCACCGTCGGTGACCCAAATGGGTCAACAGGGGATGTGCAGACTAGTACTCACAGAGTAGGGACCATAACCAGCTCCAATAGCACCTGTTTGCACATTCTGTGCAGTATCTTCAGGCCCAGGGCGACGTGAGTACGATTGCTGCGGAGTGCGCTGGAATCCGGGATCTACGGAAGCGCCTAGAGTATTCTGACGGGGAGGTGAAGACGGTACTTGGGAGTAGACATTTGGCGGTGGCACGCGGCGCGTTACGTGCGACATTGTGTCAGCGACGATGTGGCTTGCGACGACAGCAGCAGGGAGGATGAGGAGGATAGGAGGGCAAGAGAGATGAGAGTGGGATAAGAAAGAGATTGGGAACGGCCTCACGACGTTGGAGCTGCCTGCACCGCCGCCGAACCAAGAATAACCTCCTTCCTCATTTGGAAAGGCTCACTCATCACTTGCAGGAGAGAACGTGACGCGTCGCTCAAAATATTGAACATTGCTGTCACACCTGGTTGATTTTCTTGTTCTCTCTGCTGTTAAAACAATTCGGATAATCGCATATGTCGTCCGTGCATGGCGAAGGAATTTTGTCACAAGCACGCGCGGCAAGATTTAAAATTGCTGTTAGAAGAGCGCAATCAGCAGGTGCGTCCACCAAATTTATCGTCCCTAATTCATTTTTTCTTTTTCTTTTCTTTACCTCTTCACAAGAGTCACAGATTTACGTTGATTGATTGCCACAGAACGCGTTTCTGCGCGCTCAGCTTGCCGCACGCATTGAACACACCGCACATCTCGAGACTCGCCTGCTGAGCACGTTAGACACGCTCGATGAGCTCCAGGCATCCGCGACACGCGACCTCGAGCAAGCACATCGCGAGAATGCGCTCCTTGTCAAGAAGCTCGATGTATGCGACGCGATTGCACGCGCCGCAGATAGGGAGAAGGGTGATATGAGCAATGCTGTTCTGCAGCTTGTCGCAAAAGGTCTGGTAGATCTAGCCCATTAACATCCACGTCCACTGACTAACAAGACATTCTAGTGGAATCTTGTAATGACTATTCGAAATGGCGCGCATCTCGCATAGAGTTTAGCCATGACATTACTCTGCACCCAGTACGACCTTCCAAGACCAACCGGGGCCAACCATCCGTCGACGACTTGGCGGAATGCACCTGTGCACACGCATATTTGCCTGCTGTCGTTGAAGAGCTTTCCGACTCCCTCGCACGAGAAAAACGCGCACACACTCTTTCAATCGAAGAGGCCGAACGCCGCATTGCAGCTCTCCAATCTCGTGTCGCCGCACGAGACGCTGAAATTGCGCGACGAATGGCGATATGTCGGTGTCTGCCCACTTCATCGACTCTCGAAGCGTCTACTCACTTGGAACTAATATCGGAAGAAGAACAGGCTAACGTTGCCACTCGGACTGCGGCTATGGATCGCGTACTGGAGTCTGATATAGCTGCCATTGAGAAGAAGGTGCTGGAATAGTTATTCGTACTGCAATCGCGTGCTTATTCTCTTTTAAATAGTTCAGACGAGAAAGACGAACTCATAAAACACTTCGTCAAGTAGATCAATCCATCCAGACCGATCCCGGGACGCTTCGATCGTTTGGTCCCTCCCGTGCCACCGGTTCCGATCCTCTTGCTAATCCTGTCACTAAAGAAAACAATGATGACGAGATACCAGTTGCTTTAAACGCTTTAAACTCGCAGATAGTCCATCTGCGCGAAAAACTAAACGATTTGGTAGCGGAGAAGGAGACTCTTCGCGAGATTTTACATGATGAACTGGGTATGCAAGATCCCGAAACATTGCTGAGGCATCAGAAACAACGGATAACGGAGAACTCAATTGGCAAAGATACGGACGCCAACGCGGACGGCTTTGCCAGGGATGAGCGTAACACCAAGTTCAAAGACATCCTTCTTTTAGAAGAGGAATGCATTCGGTAAGGATTCCTCCGCCGCTTGCTCAAGACAGACTTTGACCACTCCACATGCGCTTTGGTAGATTAATGCGATCCGAAGAGAGCCTAAATAATAGACTCGTGCAACTACAGCATCGTGAAGCTCGTCTAAGCGAGGAGAACGCACGAATGAGGGAGGAAATCTCAAGGCTACGAAGTGCAGAGACTCGGGTGGACAATCAACCACCTGCGACTTCTCTTCCTCCCCTTGACATTTCTGCCGTCGACTTAGCTTTTCCTCCTCTGCAGCCGGATGCTATCTCGCCTGTATATGCGCGTGCTTGCGAAGGGGACAACACATTACCTATACCATCGCACCGAAGAGGGCGGACCGGCTCTAGCTCGTCTGCAAGCTCGTCTTGCCCACCGGCTACCCCGACATCATTAATCGACCCCAGCGAGATTCCGTTACCAATCACACCAACGTTTGACGATGCTGAAGGCGAAGGCGAGCCTGATGACGATCGCATTGCACGAGAACAGGACTCGCCATATCCGAGTATAACCGATACCCCCTCTCCAGAGCTGCCTCAACGATCTGTATCTCCACTGCGATTAGAGTCGCCCACGCCCGCCGCAGGAGCGCGCAACGCAGAAGTGATCGCACGCGAATTAGCTGACACGCGTGCCGACGCTGAGATGCGAGATCGTGAGATCGAGGAAGTACGTGAGTTAATGGAGGATCTCGTCACGCGAGTCAACAATGAAATGCGAGGTAGATAGATAGATAAGAAGGCTTTGCTTTTCGGATGAACTCGGTTTTCTTTGGTTTGGTTGGACTGTTATGGTATACTCTTGGTTTTCCGTTCACGATTTCTTTTCGATCTTGTTTTACCGGAAACGTGTAAGATAAATTCTCGCTTCAATCTTGTTTATACGTTTCCATGCATGATGATGTTGTTCTTTATCCATCAATTTGTAACATAACGCCCTACTTTGCTGTCTAGCTAGGTCTTACTATTGCTTTCGTATTTTACTATCCTGCTTGGATTTATTATCGTCGATCTTGTATTACCCACATTTTTGTCATAACGGTGGATGTTGGATTTAAAAAAAACTCGATGATGTAATTGCTTTCTGAGTGAACTTGTGTTACAAAGCTTGACTGCGTTCAACAACGTACTACTACTCGCGAACTTATACACTGCACGGTGAAGGAATCCCAGTTATAGAGATTCTACAAAAAGGTGTACCCCCTTAACTTACCTTTGTGCGAGTCATGAAACGTAAATGAATTATGTAGGAGACTAATGGTTACAATACAGAGACTTGGACAAAATGCATGCATGCAATACATGTTACGCTTCTTTTATTCGATAACTAGGCTTTACCCTTCTGCCTCAAGTATTCCTCGTCCTCAGCCTGGAGTTCCGCATCCACCTCCGCGCCACGCGAAGGTTTGTTTCCATGCCTCTGAGCTGGTGCTAGAGGGTCCTTCGCACGTTCTTCCCGTTCACGGATCTGTTCTTCCGCCTTTGCCTAGTTCGTTATAATAACAAAAGTTTAGTCTGCCAGAAAAAATGATAAGGGGGTGAACACTTACCTTTGATGCAGCGTCAAGCTTGTTGGAAATGGATTTTTCGTCCTTAGAGTCAAGTAACTGATGCGAGCCTGGTTGTCCTTCCATATGACGAATTGGTGCTGTCTCTTTCAACGCTTCTTTCTCCTGTCGTGTGGGGTTTCTACAAACGCGAAAAGTATTAGTGAGTAACAAGAAGTGGAAATACTAAAAGACAATTAAAGTATGCACGAAACAAACCGTTGGTCTCCATCGTTATATATCTGGGGATTGCCCACTTTCGACTGCATTGCTCTGTGAGACATCTTGTATGAGAAGAGAAAATGAGTTGTTCAGGGTGGCAAGCAGTCTATGATTGATGTTGTGGTGCGTGAATAAGATTTACCTCAGTCCCTTCTTGCTCATCGAGATTATATGCAGGGCTATGGAAACTCGTGACGTCAGGATTTCAGTCATTGAGTCTCATTGTGGGTCCCATCTCCAATTCCGACGGTAGCCATATATAGTATAGCACGGTCCTGACACGGAAGCAAATCTATAGTTTCTCGATTCCTACAAGTTATCATGCTAAATTTTATTCCGGCTCCTAAATTTTCAGAACTTATCTGAGTCCCGAGTATCTAGAAACCTAGGTCCTTCCTTGCTGTACATTCCCAAATAGTAAGAAATACTCATATTAAAGATTACAAGTTATATAACTAGTAAAAGAAATAACAATAATTTTATAGTATCTAACAGGATACACGTTAGAATTTACTATGACAGGAAATACTGGCTGCTATACGATTGACTCTTCTGAGAGACTAGTTCTATACAGGCTTGATAATTAATATATTATTATAATTTAAAATTAAATTATTTACTAAAAGTGCTAAAAGACTTAATCTATAACTATATACTTCTACATGATATAGGCCAGATTAATTTACACAAGCTTCTGTTAGAGCTGCATTGTCTCCAAGATGCGCAGCTCAGCCTTTACATTCTAACCTACTAAAACTATTATTTAGAAAATAATATTAATACAAGTATATATTTAAATAATTATAATATCTTTACTATTCCCTTTCAATATATTATTATTGAGCCTTATACTACTATACTGACAGGATAATTAATACTACTAATAAGAAGAAAGTATTTAATTATTATTGCTGAAAAGAAATACATATATAAAGTAAATAGTAAATTCAGACAGAATTTTAAAATCATTATAATAACAAATAGTTGCAAGACAGCATCAGTACTACAGTCCAGTATCATGCAAAGGCAACCTGCCCAAAATCGTTCTTCATAGATAAAAGCAGAGTACAAAGCTAGTTGGCAATGCTGATGATCCTTTCGGAATTTCTCTAGTACTCCCTTTGCATAATACAGTACTGACAGACATGCCGAGTTGCCCTTTTCTGTCTTGCAAGGCCCAGCTGACAAATCATATTCAATCGAGACAGAGCAAAAGATGCCGAGGACTTAGGTGAAGCGTAAGTTTCATGCCCGACCCGTTGACGGCTGTTTCCATATACACTTGCCGGAGCCTGAGCATGGTCAGCGAGACATCGATATCGGCGGCGGAAACACGTGTAAGATCCATCAGCAACCCCGCCAGAGTCGGCCCGTTGTAGCTCGTGGTTAAAAAGCGGGAAGGGACTAGACCACTCATATGTGTCTTGGCACATGGTCATTGCTGCCGTGGCTTCAAGCCCACGTTTGCATCCGTAGAAATTGCAAGCACGCCGCAAGTAGTCACCGTCCCTGACCAGTACTAGTAAGGAAGGGACATGAGAATGGTGCTCATGGTCAGTTTAAAACGTCCGAGAGTCATTTGCCCTCTGCTATTAAAAGACATCCTGGGAAAGAGAACCAATTCAAGGTGCCGAGGTTACTTACTGGACGTTCAGCTCGATAGAATGCTCCCTCGGAATCGGATGTCGACCTGTAAACATGATCAGATCCCTGAACTGAATGCTATGGGGCCTTCGAGCTTTCTGCCCCTAACAGATTTCGTTCCCGAAGCAGCGAAGCGACCCAACTAACAGGCGTTAAAGTTGTCCTTAACGGGAGCAGAACCAGGGGAAGGGAAGACGATAGATTACCTGTGCAAGTATTGTATTGAGTAACGAGCAAAGGTTGTTTCCCCGCATGGCATCATCGGAGTTCAGCTCCCCTATCTGTACAAGTTTGAATACACATTATAATCAGGTCGATCTTCCCGAGCCTATGATACATGACAGACTATTCATTGGGGATCGGACAACGGAAAACAAAAACTAGTGCCACGCAGATATAGAGACACATCAGAAGGTCAGCATCGTGACTTGAATATGTGGCACGGGAGCACTAAGGCATGTTCATTCGACAAACAGACCCATGTCCGGTATTTCCATCGAAAACAAAGAAATTTGCGATCGGAGGTTCCCGAGCGGAGAGCGCCTTGAGCATATCCTGGGCTAGCATACCGCCGACCACCGCGCACACAGGCGAGAACTCATGTGCAGCGGTAGTAGAAAGTGTTCTATGTCGCAACCCGTCAGTCAAGTTTAATAATAAAAAAAGAATTCAAGCTTGGCCAATATGGAAGAGGGGAAAAGCAGGCAATAGACGGCACAGAAGGACGTACTGTGTGATATCCTTGGGCATGGATCCTAAAACGCGCTTGTTAATATTAGCTGCTGAGAATAGCGCGCTCGCAATATCGCCCAGTTCATGCGCACATTCGTCTTCATCAGGCAATCGACCTCCATGACGGGCTTGGAACTCCCAGAGAGCTACGTTCAAAAGATTGAACAAGCTCAGCGAAGATGCCTTTGGACGAAAATGTGTTTCAACTTACCCAAAACTGAGAAAACCACCGCAGGATTCAAGTCTTTGGTCTGTACTCGATTTAGCTTTCCCCAAGAGTACGGTTTCAAAGCGGTCTTCAGTGGACAATAGTTCAATGATTTCTTCACTCGTTTGCTGGGGTCTTTCGGATCCGATGCATCCCTATGAAAGTTTGCATGGAAGACATCGTCAGCATTGGTCCTTCGACTGTAACTTTGGAAAATAATCACGGGGCGAGGTATTCGTGATCGGAGAGGTCGGCAAAGATGAATCCGATAAGTCCATAACTTCCACCTGCGTAAAATGGCCTTTTTTGGAGGTGACAAGCATCGCTCACACGTATCTTTTTACCGCACGAGGCGACACAAGCGAGACAAGTATACAATTATGAGGACGTCGACCGTTCATTTGCGGCGTTTATCGGCGCGAAGCGAGGTAGGACGTGGCACATACGAGGGGATAGTTTAGCATCATTTGACCACCCGAAAATTTGCTGTGCCAAGCGCGTACCATTGTGTCCCGGTCCGCATCTGTTACGCATATAAGGTCTATGTCTTGAAGGGTTGCATCTAGATTTTTTGGCTCTAAAGGAACAAAGGAAGGTACAGTCTCAACTGTTACCAAAGGATTGAGACTGTCGATTTTCGACTTCGCTGCATCCACTCTCTGAAAGGGATAGTCAAAATAAAATCCGTTTTGACAATTAGACTTTGATATGATGCTGGTGCAAAGAGATAAAGTCATGCTTTGCGAGAAACAAGCGAAATAATTCCGCAAGAACAGCGCACGTAACGCAATGGAAACGACAGAAATGACAAACACAAATACCTTTTTGCCCACGTCGTCTTCACGAAAAAAGAATCCGGCGCCCAAGTCCTCCTCTGACACAACCTCGTCGTCAACAACAATCAATTTGCCAATGCCAGCAAGGACAATGTTTTTAATAGCTTCAGTCGCAATGCCTTTTAGTCTGACTACCATTATTGTGGCATTTCTCATCCTATATTTTTGTCAACATATATTGATAAATTTGTCATGCGGGAAAACGGGATAAATCAGCAATATAGCGGAAGAATACACAGGAATACGATTCTCCGTTATGAATGATTGGGTTGTCTTGAGAGAAATAAGCGTTTGGCTGTACTCACCGTTGTTGCGCATCAAGCCCCCACAATCGGATTTGGCGGTCATAAACCGCGGCTTCATCTACATGATAATAGCAAGAAAAGCACGGTGAGCGAACTTCCGAAAGACAAAACACAAATGATGAAGAAGCGGCACTTGACGACACATCTCAGTCATATGGTTAATTTGGTTTAACCCTCTTCACGGATTTACTACGGAAACGACTGTGTGAGCAGAAGTACAGTTACATGCGATTGTTCGCATTGCAATGCATCCACGCGCTCCGCAATGTTAAGAAGGTGCTCGTATATGATCCAGAAATGATTATCATGAAGGCTCCACACGTACCTTCCGTGATTTGAAGCGGGACAACTTTGCTGCTAGTTTCTGGATCGGCCAGCATTGAGCCTGAAAGAGTAAAGTCTCGCGAGCGGGGATCGGATTGTCGTTGGCGTTATACTATGCAGACGGGTCTGGCTGAAGTCCGAGGCACAGAGAAGGCGCTGCCGTTGAATAACGGCAGTCGGAAAAGAATAACACTAGTACAATTTTGAGCAGGCCAATCTGGACGTGCCTCAGCTACTGAGAATGCTGATTGTGGAACGCAGCAAAAGAGTCCGAGAGAGCTCTTCCAGCTGGACAGACGATGGTGGTTTGTCGAAAGTGCAGAGGCGCGCTTCAAAGATCGACGCGTTAGAAGTCGGCACCGCCCGTGATAGTTCAATAAATAATTTGTATGTGTGTTACATAATTCAGCCTACGAATTGTACCCACTTGATGTGTTTAAGCGGCATATGTCCCTGCGAATGGCAGCATTGGATTAGTACATGTGCACTTTTCATTACTCTACAAAACATACACAAATGTGCGTTTATTTCAGGAGGAAGGCCTTGATTGGAGGGGACTGGCGCTCGCGGGAGTACCACAAGCATCAGGAACATGAATGGCAGGCGGCAGTGCAGCAGCGCAAATGTGCAGAAGGGAAATCGTAAAGGGGAAGACAAATATGACGATGTAAGTGCAAGATCAGAATGACATAAATACATCCGAACACAGGCAAGTTACGCGACCGTTAAACAAGAGAGTTAAATACAAATACTACCAGTTAATGTAGAAAACAGCGCAGAATTGTGCGATGGTATAAAGCGCTGCACGAAGCAAGCCCATACATGGAAACCAAAATGTACATGTAACAGACATCAGATGTCGGGACGAGGACAAGAAAAATGGGAGGGACAACGAGGAGGGGTGCTAGGTAAAGCTAGTTCAGTTGTTGAGTATGGTTGTCGAATCCCCGCTCGAGCCGCCATCACGGTCGTCGTCCAATCTAGAACGATGAAGATATATCAGTTACAATCACCAATCCAAAGGCAGAACGGCTACGAACAGATAGTTCCTTTCGATTTCGGATAAAATTGAAAGGAAGTCCCCTAAAGTTAGTTGCGAGAGTGAGTCAGACCAAGCTTGGGGTTCCAATAAGAATCACGTACACAAGTAAGCGTGAGCACGGGCAGCCGTTGCAGGTGCAGTCTCGGCTTTGCGCACAGCGTCCAGAAGACTAGATGCGACAAAACGAACCTTGTGTACAAGTGAAGGTCCGTTCGTCGCGATCGATTGGATTGGTATTGAATGTAGAACGTTGAGCAAGTCACTTGCTACTGCTTCGCGTCCCTCTGCCACGACGGCTTCCTGCTCTTCAATGATCCGCATATCGGTTGTTCCACGTAGTTGTGCAATCAGTTCGTCCCGATACTGTTCAATCACGAATCGCACAAGTTGCTATAATTTGCGTGCGCAGAGAATTGTGGAGCGGGAGAAGTTAGCGTGAGTTTTAATCGATCGTGAGAGGCAGAGAAATGAGGAACGAGAATAAGACGGAAGCGAGTGGGATAAATGTTGAAGAAGGGCACGATAGATACAGAGCCCGACGTAAGTACATACCTGCGTGACATAAAGGTTTGCTTGCATAACAAGGAATGCATTTGATGCGTTTGCACGGCTTGCATTTGGGTTGTCAAAGAAGTCTTTGACCTCTGCAAATGTTGCCTGACGGAAGCCTGCACCACCAAGTTCCGCGGGCATGTGCGACGCTTGTACTCCTGCACTCTTCAGACGCAACGGAGCAGGCGTATGCATGAGGGCAGACATGATCCGAGTGTGCAGTGACCGAACTTCTTCTAGCCGAGCCGTCGCAAAATGTCCCTGTGGTGGGGAGCGTTTATCCACCCGAATGCGCACCTGTATCTCACCGAGCAAAGCAAAGATTCGCGAGATGTAATTCAGTCCCGATACGATGGCGGTTTTCCCGTGTGGTTGCGGAAGAATACCATTTGGCGTGATACTAGGAGTGCAAACGTTAGCCATGTTCATTGGATTAACCTCGGAGAAGTCTCGGCGGGACGAAAGTGGGAAAAAAGAAACTTACTACTCATCGTCGACCTCTTTTGGGAAATGGAGCGTACAATCCTCATCGCGTAAACAGATCGGGCGGCCCAGCAGGATTGACATGGACTTGTCTGCACCGAATAACAGCCAGAAAGTCCGCCGGCGTATTTCGCACTCGACGGGATCAAGGCCTTCGTATGACGTCTCTTCATGCATGTGTAATGTTACGGCGATGTGCGCTGCCTCTCCGAAAGACGCGTGAGACGTTGCGTCGTGTCCCTCACAGAAGTGATATACAGTGTCGCTGATTCCAAAAGAGTATACCGATCGCGTGTAAAGACGGCCTGAATAAGCGAGAAAATCAAAATGGAGGTAAAAGAATACGTACAAGTAACGAATGACAACATGAATTGATTGCGGAGGGTCGTACGATGCCACAGATATGTGCCTGCTTGATTCATGGCATATCTGGGCGAGTTTGCGCACAGTATGACGTTCCATGGGTAGATAGGAGCGTGGGACCTGGACAAGTGTGGAGGCGCAGGTCGACATTACCAATGCGAAAAAGAGCGGATCGCGCTCTTCCCTCCGTGAGTGCAGATCAGCCATGAATGACGGCTTGTGCACGCAAGGTGTGAGCGGATACACGAAATCGAAGAAAAGGTTTATGATGAGCATAATTGTCTCCCGGGGAGCCACGTCTTCGAGCCGATGCGGCCGGTAGTAATATGACAAGGGGGGAAGAGCGTTGGGTGGTGGCACGGGGAGCTGGGCTTGCTGCTTGTAGGCTGCAGACCAGTTATACAGTGGGTAAGTGCTAAATGCGTCAGATGACGTGGAATTGCTCATTGTAGAGCGCGGAATCCCTGAAGTCGAACCAGAGGTCGACGACTCAGACATACGTCGAGTAATGCTTGGGATGGTATGCATACCGGGATAATGCGGATGATACGTATCAGCGGCGATGGGATATCTAGAGGGAGATATAGCTGCTGATGCCGAGATATTGTTGATGGGGCTGAGTGACGATTCAAGGAAAGGGGACGTCGCATTCTGTGAAGGCACGACAGTCGGCGGCTGCGTTGGACTCTTCACACTTGCAGCCGCTCCTGGCGATGTTGCATCAACACTGTCCGTGCCGTTTCCAGCGGCTTGTGCTGCTGCTGCAGCCGCTGCCGCTTCTTGCAGGCGACGCAGATATCTTCCCGCCCAATTAACAATAATATTTTCGTCAATAAGGGACGAATTTCTCGCTCACAAATTCGGTGGTCCCCTCTTCTTGGGCTGGTAGTCGTATGTACATGGTATGCCGAGGGCAATACAATGCTTACAAGACGTCTGAGGATCGTCCTGATTCTCCCTTGCGCATCGTACTTTGCGTGCTCGACACGCATCACAACCTACAAGGCGCGTTCAGCTACCGGGCCGGAGCGGAACGGGGCGCATAACTCACTCTGAGACTGACGCCTGTTGTTTGAAAAGACCATTGAGTAAGAAATCAGAGGAAAATTCGTATAAAAATCAAGGGGTCGGAGACGATGCTGGGAGAGGAGAGTGGGTGCTACAGAGGGACGGACTGGGCGTGGACGGGCGTGTGGGGAAGGGCTGGGGTAGTAGGGGTACAAAAGCGCGAAGATGGCGGGGAAACATCGGCTGCTTACTTTCTCTTGATAGGCTTTAGATTTTTTCCCTTCTCAGCGGACGCGTTCTCTGTGGGAGTGTTGGTGTCCGACGGAGACGTGGATGCGGGGGACAGCGATTCTCGCTCGGCCTTTGTGCGCGCAACTGGCATGGCGGGACGAGGGAGTCACGTGCACTTCTGGGGTATGAGGAGCAGGGGAATGCAGCTAGTCTTAGGGGGCAACCGAGCAGACGCAGAAAACAGATGCGCGGGCGCAAGCAGTGAGACTCGGAAGCGGGGGGCAGGTGCGTGTGCGAGGCTGGAGTAAGCACTTGAATTTATAGAGGAGGGGATGAACAGAGAGAAGGTTCTACGAAACGATATGCGGGCAGAGGCAACGGATCCGGCAATGGACGAGAAGGTAAGTAGTCGAAGATCACCAGCACTAAATAGTCTACCAATTTGTATAGTCTTTTGTATGCACATCACGTCTATTATACTACTAAATATTAAAATAATCCGTCCACACTGTCTCTTGACTACCCTCCGTATGTTTTTTGTCCATCAGCTCTCTTCTATCAATTTCCTGATATTCACGTTCTATGTTTCCCCTGACCTCCTTCACTTTCCGTTGCCTTCTTGGCTTGCCTGTCGGATCCCGGCTCATTGCTCTCTACAATCTCCTCTCTACCTCAGCAGTCAATCCTCCGCAGCAAGGAACGATCGCCGAGTGGCTGTCTCTGTCCCTCTTTAATATTACTACCTGCCGCCCCCGTCCTCGGGGTCTCTGCCGCGTCATGAATGCGAATGAAAATGATTTTCGGACTTCTCGATTCCGTAACTGTCTCCTAATCCCGTGGCCGTCCAGCAAGCCCGACAGCTCAGACGGTCGCGTGGTCTGTCCACTCTCTCTTCTCTTTCCGGTTCTATTAGTGAAACATATGCTCTCCAACCGCATTGTCTACTCAAGATTAAACATACTTTTGGCCCTCTATGGCTGCTCTATGTCCTTATCAAGGCAACCCGCCTAATTCAGTGATCATCCGACCCCCCACATTTGCCTCCACCCTCCCCATCGCCTGTGCCTTCTCAACCATGACTGCTATCGTATGACGTAGCTCCTTGTGTTGATCCGAGTCCCAGGGCATCTTTTCTTTCATAAATTTCCGCCAGAAATAGAAGGCCATCTCTGGTTCCTCAAGCCGTAGAGCGGCACCGACGCATCGCGCACCTAGTTCGCGTGTTGTAACTATCTCCGCACCTGTCTTCGTGGTAATTAAGGTGTAAATCTGCCGAAGGAACTCATTAAGCTTCGCTGTTTTATGTGGAGACCACTTAATATTCGGATCCCGAGGAGTCAGACAAGCATCTAGACAAGCACCGAGAAGGGCAGAGGTTGTTATTGGGCCTATTTCTTTGTGACCAACACGCACGGCGCGTGAATATACGTGGCTCGCAAGAGATGTGTTTCGACGTCGAATCGCCTCAGAAATGATAGTTGAGAAAGAGACAGCGCTCAAATGCATGCCTCCTTCAAGCATGCGCACCAGAATCAGTTCCGCTCGCTCTGGGTCCCGCGTTGCCATCGCCTTTATGACAACATTCATATCATGCGTGTCTGGCACTTCCTTTCGCTGAACAATACTCTGTAAAGAGCGCATACTCTGCCGTACGAGTCCAAGTATGTCTGATGCCCGTGCTAGTGCGCTCAAATCATAGTGTGATGCTCTACTCAGAGGCTCTTTTGACCTCTGAAACGCGTCGAGTACCTTGTATGCGAATGCCAGATACTCGTCGGGCTCCGGGTTTCCGGGTGAAGTGATCCTATTAACCGGTTCGGCGACGCTGCTCGTGCCAGATTGCTCTGCATTGATGGTTGCTCCAATATTCTCGTTCCTGTTCTGACGTATGTCTACTGAAGCTTTCAATTTGTCTGTTGGTGCCGCGTCGAGACCGGCATCTTTGTCTGCACTAGCACGAGGCGTGGTCGCACCATTACCCGTTTCTGTCATCCCTAACGATGAATAGTTCGTGTGGACAAAGGGAGAACCAGATGCATCATCCGTCACGTCCTGCTCAAGATCAGCATGACTATTCACATCGGGAATATCATGATTCGAGATTCTATTGCTAGGAGGTCCGTGTGTTATCTCTGGCATTATCGTCTCATCGACTGCCTCCTCTGACGTCGTACCCGCATCAGTTGATTCGTTGACCATCTGATAGGCATCGCTGGAATATTTGAACAACTTCACTACGTTAATCATACATCTTGCATGTCCGGTAACCAAGTAACCTAACGGCTCCTTAGTGTATTGTTCCCAAAGTGCGTGTGTTTCATCGACAAAGCCGCCCTTGGCACAGAGTGCAATGACCTCCCCGCGATCGTATGGATATATTTTTATTCGCGGCTTGACGAGGTATTCGACAAGAGACTTCCCCAAGTGGCGCCTCTTGCTCTGATGAACAAAATGGTTCAGTAGCCAAGGAAGAACTGTCCTCTGTTTTGGTCCCTTCACATAAGTGTCGCGCCGGGATGATAGTTGCAATGCTGCAAACATCGTTTCTGCAGCGAATACCGCATCATGACGACGAGCAAGTCTGAAAAATCCTGCGAGCAGCGAGTTGTCTAGTCTGAATTCAGGATTGCAAGATAAAATGTAGTGTATAAACTGGCTGCACTGGCTGAGTCTTGCGTCATCGTCGACCAATGAGGTGGCAAGAAGATCGTTAACGATGTGCTCATAATCACCTTGGGATTCTGGCCTCGTCAGGAACTCTCCACGCAAGACTTTGATTGCTTGCCTTGTCCAACCATAATAAGCACATGTACGCATGAGAATCATCGTTACCGCCTCACAGGGGTCATCTCCATGGAGAACCCGAATAGCCTGGGGTGGAATAGCCTCCTTTTGCACGAGAGTCTGAAGGAACAAAAATGACGCATCATACATCTCGTTATCAAGCAAATGTCGGATGAGACGAAACAAGCTCCATAACAGTGACACTTGTGGATGCTTTTTTCCTCCTGGTAAGGTGTCCGGTATACGTGTCGACAAATTTGCAACGAGTTCATCCAAAGACAAGTTCCGGATGCAATTATCGAGAGCTTCCAAGAAATCTACATTGCCTTTAAGCCAATCTGAAGACTGATGGACGATGGACATCGCAACACCATCCAGGCATTCAGCGGTGATATTCGGTTGGATGCCATCCGGCCTTCGAGCCAAGAGAATGGCCTTACAAAGGTTGACAACGCGTGCGTAATGCTTAGTAGTCGCATGGCGTTTCCCATTCTCGAGGTTTGAAGTGATTATATGGAGAATTTCTTCCCAAGCACGATAACGTCGCGCGTCCAAATGATAAACAGCGTCTTTTCTCTGGGCGTCGGTGATAGACAACACATCGTCAATTACGACACCAAATATGTCCTTTTTTCCTGCGCGCAGAGTTGACTGGACTACGTGAACGAAAACTGACGGAGACAGTTTCAAGAGTAATTGCGTCCCTCGTCGACGCATCTCCAGATAGACCTGTACGTGATTTTTACCCGGAATCCGATAAATCCTGCGTTTATGAAACCTCGGAGGATTGTTTCGAAAATGAATTAGGTGCTTCATTAGCCGCAGCAATTGCTTGTTCCGAAAAGTGTATACTGGCACGTCAGGTTGCAGCTCCGGTTTGACGTGCTGTTCCACGGCCGGCCTGAGCAGAGGGGCAGGACTAGGCCTAGTTGCTGTCCGTACATTTCTAAATAGCGTGAAGATATAGGTATGAGATCTTAGCGGTCTGTTCTGAAGAGAAGACCAAGCGTGTAGGGTATGCGGGGGATACAATTCGCGAAATGGGCGTGAACACAAAAACATGAGTTAACTAAATAAAAAAAGTCTTGCTTTAGGTATTGCAATCCAGACGAGATAATGCTACGATACTCACAACACTGCCATCCTAGAAGCTCCAGACAGCTTGATGCAAGAGTGCCCTGAGGGAGTACACGCGACGATGAGGATGTGGTAAAGGACCGCAGATTTTTTTGTAGAGGTCAAGTCACGTGCACGTGTAATACGTCAGCGGGGCATGAAGTACTTAGTACTTTCGTTGCATCGATTATTCAATAAGTAAATCTGTATTCCTCCCACCAAGCCATAGATACTGGTGACTGCAAGAATAAGTTTCTCACAATGCGTTGCAATGCCTGGCTCGTAAACAATAATCCTTATGGCCCATAATTTGTTGCTCGATTCTCGCTCTGTGCCTAACAGGCTAACACTTCGGAAGCTTACCTGGTTCTCCTGCGTCAATATTTTACTGAAGTTCTCTGGCTCCTGAAGAGCACAGTGCATGCTAATAGAGTTGAATGCAAGTGATGGTATCGATTTCGGATCTAGCAAGGCTTCCGCTCATGTGTCCTTTCATTGGCACTTCCATAGGAGAATCCTGAGCTTGCTGGCAAATTGCGTAGCCTTTGAACAGCCAGCGATGTAATATTCGGGCACCACTGCCAAAAACCATATCCAATACTTCTATTCCTCTACTTGAAGCACAGTGCATTAGACGCTCTCCCGGATATTTGAGGAGCCCGAATTCAACTAGTGAAGGACATCTACTTCAAGCGACTTGTGCACCGAAGGCACAATCATTTGGACCTTCAGGTATGTATGCTAATTTTTCTATCCACTCATAATTGAATGTGGTATATGTATGCATAAGAATATACCAACATAAATGCAATTCTCACCCTCTTGAGCGCCCTGGGGTCCGACCAGGAGATTCTCAGGGGATACTGATTGTAGATGAGCTGGAGAAGTCTCGGCTGTCATCTCAAAAAGCTCCTTTGAAACCGGTATGTTTCAATCATCAATTTGCAGATCATAAAGTATATGCTCATGTGATAGACTCGATGCAGCTTCTGGATGGCGGCTTTGCACATGCGATTGACAAGACCGACCCGCGGCCAGCAATGCGGTTCCGTTCGGCAGAGTGCCGGTTGAACGTCGGTTACACTTTGGAATGGTTGCGGGAGAATGCATTAGACTAATTTTCAAGTTCATGCGGGGTGTCGGGGACAGAAGGAACGTACAAATGTCTCTGCGAAAGAAGGTCTGTTCCAGAAGTTTCAATCAAATTGAAACATCTACTTCACTATCACAAGGGACACCTTTCGAGGCAGGCATTTTTCGGCGCCAATATGGGAGAGTTTTTGCAATGCTTCGACTCGACATTTGTGTAAAGGAAATAACTCATGTCATGTGCTTCGGACCCTTTTGCTTGCAGGACTTGGGTCTGACAGCTAATCGTTAGTTTGTGATGGTGCAGTTATTCTGCAGGAACTCAGACTGTACCGATGTCCGTGGCACGGATCCTAATACGGCCATATGTAATCTGCAGAGTTCCGAAGGGCTACCAATCCGTTAGTGGACTGTAACAAAGATAAATCAGGACATGTCACTTTCCCAGGACGACCTTGCTAGGTTACACGACTTCATCTCACTTAATATGTGCAAAATATAGTTGTTTGATGTACGATTGAATATCATGATTTTTGATCTGTGAGGTTTCTTTGATTGAATGCTGCTTCACAATGAGCAATTTCCTTTTTAGTACTTGAGATGAGTACGTAATCCACTGTATGCCAAATGTGAATCTGTGATCATAATTGGTAATAATTCTGTACACCTATACCTGCTTCCAGTTGCTTGCTCAATACTAGCTGTTTCGTGCTAGGCAATCTATCTGCTTCGTATATTGTGCTGGTTCTCAGTAAAGAGCTGCCATGGGTGCAGGCCAATCGGTGCCAGATCAGGGAAAAGCACCGTCTCGTGGTCTTCATGTACTGCGTGTAACACCAGGTTCTCCAGCTTCTCAGACAGATATCGAGCCGTTCTTCGACTTCATAGTCGGATACGAGGATGAGGCGTATTCAAGTCAAGTAGCAAACATTGAGGCTCATGATTTCGAGCGTGTCGTGGAAGAACACGAAGGACGGCGCTTACAGCTGATTGTATGGAATAGTAAAGGGCAGACGATACGGCGTGAGTGTGTATCTCAATCTTCTCGCTTCTCACCATACTCAAATAGAAATGCTAGGCGTTTCCATCTTTCCCTCACGCGAGTGGTCGCAGTCGCAGCAAAATGTGGAGGAGTCCGATGGCAAAACCCCTGCTTCTCAGCCATCATTACTTGGTCTGAGCATGCGCGTCTGCGAACCCGAATTTTCACTTGATCATGTGTGGCACGTACTGGACATACTGGAGAACAGTCCTGCCGAAAGTGCTGGTCTCGTTCCTTATGGTGACTGGATTGTTGGGTGGTCCGGTGGTGTATTATCGGCCGAGGGTGACTTCTATGATCTGGTCGAGGCCGTAAGTGTCTTGATAACCGGTTAATCCGCAAATTAACTTCTTTTCGTGTAGCATGAGGATAAGCCCCTGCGAGTCTACGTCTATTCTTATGATTTTAAGTACGCCATTCGTTCATTTCCCGGGATTATCCCTCATTATGTCTCTAGCACTCTGAGAGAAGTAGTCCTAGTACCAAACCGCCAGTGGGGCGGGGAGGGTCTTCTTGGTTGCGTATTTGGGTAGGTCATTGTCGCCTATCAACTCCCTGACATTATCTTAATATGCGTCACCGTAGCTATGGGCTATTGCATCGAATACCACCTGTCAATGAAGATCAGCAGGAGGAACAGTACTACGATGACGCAGAGGTGTTCGTCCCAGCTGACAACGGAGACTACCAGGGGTATGGCTATAGCACCGCCGAGGAACAGCCGCAAGATCATGAGCGGCGCACGGCCCCAACGCCCGTCACGCGTGGCGAGAGTACCATGAGTACAAGACTTAATTCTCAAGCGGATCAGCCACATAGTTCTCTCCACTATCTGGACCCTCCAATCCGATCTGCAGTATCTCCTGTTCCATAGACGCATGAGCAACCATCAGCACGATTATTGGGGTTGCTGCGTCGTATGCAGTTGGTATATCTTTGGACGGAAGAGACCCCAGTTTCGTCTTTTTGCTCTCAAGCGCTCATGCTTCTTCATCATGCAATGCGAATAAGCTTCGTGTCATTTTTGCCACCGCTTTGGCGCTATTTCATCGGGCAGCAGGGTATGCACGAGATCTTTCTTATATTTATGCTATAATTTTGTCACAGCGGGCCGCACCGTTAATGTCAACTGAGTTACTGCGAACACTGGATTTTCGGCCTGCCTGGAAACCCGCGCCTCTGGAGCTTAGACGGCCTTTCGCCTCCCTACTCCTTTCAATACTAAGGGGAGAGGGGGAGGGGGAGACAAGTTCTTTGCACAAAGATCAATAGATATGATATGATTAAATTCCGAGATGGACTATTAATGTTATCGGCACACATGTCACCAGCGCACCCCTTTTCTCTAGGCGATACAGCTCGTTCAGTGGTCGGGATAATTGTCTAAAATGTTTGGACCTAGGGAACGTCCGTGGCGAAATAGCGAGAGTACTTCAGGCAACTGTTCCTCCTTGTGCGACTCGTGTTAGCCATACCTCAGAAATTGAGCTCTGTCTTCATTTGGCTTTCGTTATTTCGTTGCGCATAATCGGGTATAACCCATTCCCCGCGGCTTGTCAGACTGAACTCGTTTCTCTCAAGTTCTGAGACACGCACAAGATCACGGCAAATTTAGGTGTGAATGTTTATACCGGCTTCGGTGACATCGTGTAAGTTACGAAATAGCTAGTCGGATGTGAGCGATGATCATCAAGTCAACGGCCCCACATAGACGCATTCAGGCCAAGCATTCGCTCAACCTTACCCCCGTCGAAGGCCGAAACTCTTTGAGTTCGACGCCGCACCAAACACGTCACTGACAGTCCGCCTGGAAGTTGGTATCATGCTAATTGGGTCGGCCTCGTGGGCCCGCTTCGTGCGTAGCGAAACCAGCGTCAGATTGACTATATTTTTGACGAGATTGTTCTGGACTGGATCCTCGACGAACCAAAGTGGCAATGTCTCTAAGCTGCGGTTGCCGAAGGCAAGAAGCATAGTTAGAAGAAGCGAAGAACAAGACGACCTTGTGGGTGCCTTCATCTTAGCAAAGAAACATAACGTCCGGGCGGAAATTTTGAAGGACGCCGCCCTTCTTGCAAATACATCTAAAGTAGTACCAGTTCGTGCTTGTAAGATTGTTCACGCACCTATTCTGAACTCATTCAGGTGACAGTATTTGTTTGTGGTGTTACCATCGTGTTGACAGTTCCTTATGCGAGGCAACCCAAATCTGTCCAGTCGTTCACATCACAGAAAGGAGATAGCGGAGATAAGTGAGAGAATGGAACACGAAATAAGAAGCGCCGATCGCAGTAATGTCGGTGCCTGTTCATTTGCATTGTTTTTCCAACCTTCGGAGGTAATGGCACAGCAAAAACACCAGCGGGCTTGAACCATTGCGGGAAACCTTTGACACACGCATATATACATCTCACCATTCATCAAAACTAGAATTATTAGTTGAGCGGGAATAGACTCCGACATTCACGCTGGGTTTTCGCTATTCCCTTCTCTAGAATCCCCACTCGCCAACTCGGAGGCACGCGGCCGAAACTCAAGATTCATTGCAATAAGAGGCCAAACTGTAAACATTGTAAAAAAAGGACATATTGAGTAGTCGAACATAATTTACTTGCCTTCCTCGAAACCCGGATGACGACCAACGCGTATCTGCTGCCATACTGCTTGCATTGATTGTGATGCCCTTATTTCGTTCCAACGTTCCAGGAAAAATGCAATTTGTGTCTGATAAAACATGAATTCCGAGATTATGAACGGAAAACTAATCTGACCTTGCGGACATCCTCAAACCTGAAACCTTGGTAAAGAAGAAATTCCGGCTACAAAACGGGAGAATGAACTCACGTTGATGAGAATGAGGAAAACATTTCATACGGAATATTGTGTATGGTCAAGGATTTAACAATGTGCTAGAATACTGTAAGTCAAAGCCAAATAGATGTGGGTAGATTGACAAGCTGTTACCTGAAATGCTCTACTTTTGAGCTCAGAAAGGCGGAGTTCTGGGGGAAGTTAGCTACGAATCTCCTCTCTTAGCGATAACCTACTGTCAGCTACACGGTAGACTGCTTTTGCAGAACATGGCATCGGTTTTCCTGGATTTTGACGTTCCCATTCTCTAATCCACGCGATCCTTGTCGTCGGCCCGGCTTTATGCTGCTCGTTTTGTATCATTGGCCGGCTCGTGAAAGCGGTGTTCATGCTCTGGCCCTCGCCCTGCGACCGATGCGGTGGCGTCTGCAAGGACGACGGCCCGGCTGTCGATAGAGGTCCAAGAAAGGAAGAGGCCAAGGGCGCGAATGTGATAGCGTCTGTGTAAAGCTACAGGCATCGATGTAACACATGCACAGTGACAAAGAGATCGATGAACGTACATAATAAAGAACGGCTCGGTACGTAGTGTAAGCTACATCTTTGACGACTACTCTGCACCTTGCGCCTAGACTTTTCGATGACCTGCTCGCATCCCGCCGTCCACTGGCGCTCCGACCGTTAACTACTTTACTTTCATTTGGCAGTCTGCGGGGGCTTGACGGGTGGGATAACTTGGCTCGGACGATCCTCTCCTCTGTGACAGGAGCCTCAGCCTGGCCTGCGGTACGAGAATCCGGGGTCTCCTCGACTAAATCCGTAGCTGTAGAAGCGGGAGGAACCCCGGCACTTGTTTCGTCCTGGAGAGATGGCACAGAACCAATTCCCATTGATCCCCCATTGTGCTCCTTTAAGTCGGGAAGCGATTTAGGTTCAACCTCGCTAGGAGAGGGTACATCATCCGCTACCTCGCTCTCACCGTCAACTTCGGTAAGCTCCGCTTCATCTTCTTCATCGGAGTCCTCGAATTGGCGTGGGTTTGAAGATGCTACCGAATCAATCTCGCCATCGGATCCCCCCAGAGTGTCCGATTGGCTCGACGGGCTCGACGAGAGCTCAATGTTTTGCGAACTCGCCTCGGCAAACCCAGAGCCAAACACTGTCAAAGGGCCTTAGTAAAGATTCTAGCCCACCAACAAGCACGTACTTGACTCGAAATATTCTGCCCTCCGTAGAATGGATCGTGCGGCAAAGATACTACGTGGCTTTCGCCCTCTAGATAGTCGATTAGGTACAACGAATTCAACGTCGGAATAAGCTGGATCATCCAATAGAGAGCCAATGGCATCTAGCAAGTCTTTTGGAACAGAGCGGTGCGGTACAGGTGATGGCAAAGAAGGTATTGTAGGTGCCGACGAAATGGTGCAAGTTATAAGAAATGCATCGCTGTTTCGGACAGTATTAGGTTGATAGTAGATTGCCTCCCGGCGTGCAAATTGCGCCCATCCCCAATTTGCTGTCTGAATATTGGTTATTCCTCGAAAAACTCCGCATTCGATGAAGCTAACATACCTTCCAGGAGAATGAATGGTCGTTCGCCTCTTTTTGATTAAACAAGATTGTCCTTGATAAGCTGGATATATGCGTTAGGAAAACCCTCCGGATTCATTTCCATTCGAGTGACTGACTTGCGAAGCTCGAAGCTAAACTTATACAATCCAGTGCGAACCCACCTTCACGGACTTCAGCTCTGATAATATTCGAGACAAAAGCAAGGGTGATACATACTTTCCATCAATAGCACCGTCTTTTTCCTCCGGTGTGGGCTGAAAAATAGCGTTCAGGCATGTAACTGTCTAAGAAAGACCTCTTGAAACAAACCTCGCACGACAAGTACAGGCTCACAAAGGCGCCTCCTTCGACCCCAGCATTAGGGTAGAAAAGCACCTGCCATCTTCCTCCTCCAAACTTTACAGACTTTGTAACTTTCGACTTCGATTCTCCTTTGCTACCAAAGGCTGTGAGCACTCGTTCTGGACTGAAACAAGCTGAGCTGCAATCAAAAACACGATGAATTCTAACCTTGATTCAAATAACTGCTTCAACCCGCGTACTGTCCATTCAAGGCGAACAGTCGTGCTTTCTTGGAATTCTTGGAATTCCATGAATGCAAGACCATGAATGCGAGGCTATAGATGCCCAAGTCAAAGCAAGCACCGCCTGCTGTATGTTGTTGGTGTTTGTGAAACTCGACATCATTGTAACACGTGACATTATATTTATAGTACGTTACATCATATGAAACACGTAAGAAGATTATGGCAGTTTGAAATTTGGAGTGGTTGAGTGAGTGAAATAGCGAGTTCCAACCGGCATAGTGCATGCGATGGTGGGACTCAGCCCAATAGTTTCCTGAAATCATCCTGACCTCTCCCTGCTTTTGGTTGTGATGCGGACGAAGGTTTCCCCTCATTGGAGCTGGGTACGCTTGGTGGTATTCGAACGGATTTTTTTGAGCTACCAAGACCCGCTCGAGGACGCGATGCTGCATTCCTAGGTATAAACATTGAGCCTCCCGACGTAGGCTGATGAGCATTCGAGCGCTTTGAGGACCCCTCCAAAGGTTCCTCAAAAATGTCGAGTGTAACGCCATTAAACTGCAGAGGCTCTTTAGCAAGGAGAAGTTTTCCGGCATCCTACATGTCATTCGTCATAAAACTTAGCTCTAGTTCTGTTGAACAATTTGTAGCTTACCGCTGCGCTTTCAAGTTCGGCAGTTGCTTCCTGAAGATCCTGAAAGACTTCCAATCTCTTCACCGGAACTACTTTCTCAAGGGCCTGCTGTAGCAGTCCTTCCTGCGTACCAGGTGGAAGTCCTTTGATTCGGACGGAGCGACTTCGAACGTCGCTGCGTCTCCCAAGACCACTCGCTGTTTGTTCGTTCTTATGTCGTGCACGAACGCGGGAGTCGGACATGGTAACAGCGATCCTACGATTTTTCACGTCGTGATTATTTGCTTGAAGTGCCCTCTGAGCAGACGGCTGATAAATGCTGTTGAGCCACGGAGTTCACAAGCTTGAACATCGGGACATTACCTCATCTTCGAACTCGACGAAAGCTACGCCTTTGCATAAACCAGTATCGTCTTTGGTCACGCGGATGTCCTTGACAGGCCCAAACTGTATGCCAGTTCGTCAGCAGAAGCACTGATTTGGCAAGCAGGACTTACTGTCTTAAACAGCTTCTTGAGATCATCTCTAATGACGAATTTGCTTAGACCTGCAACGTACACTTCTCTATCATCCGCGCCAGCGTCCGTCCTCTCCTTCTTTCGCTCAGGGTTCGATATAAAAACGTTCATCGGCAAACCTGGTTCCAACTCCGTTCCATGCAAAGAAAGAGCGGCTTGGGCCGCTTCTTTGGACGTAAACTGCACATAGCAGAACCTGCGGGTCGCTTTAAACTTTTTACTGGGCCAGCGCACGTCGAAGATAACGCCAAACTATTGGTAACAATGAATATAACCTGGTCAGAGCCAAATTCTAAACAAAGAACAGAAAATTCACCTGATCAAACAGTTGACGTATATAAGCGTCATCGACCTTTTCAGGAAAGTTCGTAACGTAGAGCGTGGACTGCCATGCCAAGTGTACCGATATCTCTTGGCCATTAATGCGTTTCTTATCTTTAGTGAGACCGGCTGGGACACTCTCCTGTATAGAACAATCATTGACAAAGTGCAATATCCCTTTTATGTCTGACACGTACCCTATCGACGAATTCAATCGTTGCAACACGAGAGTTCGCCAAGCTGGTTATTTTGATCTCGCGAATATCTCCACACTGTAACAGGACGTCAGACAAATCCCAAGTGGGTAATCTGAAATGACGGACATCTTTAAACAGCGCGGTTAGGTCATCTTCTGTGGCCCCTGAAGGCAGATCGGCAACGAAGACGGTGCTATTCTCCCGGTCGCGTTTCAATGGCGGCGTACTCCCTGTTACGAAGTAAGTCGGAGGTTTTCGCCATGATGACCTAGTGGTGAGAGTAAAACATACCCATTTTTGCTTTTTTATTCCCATCGGATCTGCCAGCGGAATCCTCAACCTTACGTTTTCTGGTCGAGTCAGACACTGGTTCGTCGACGTCCATGGTGGATGTCGACGTGGCAGGTGGAGCCTCATTCTGTGCAGAGGCTTCTTGTGCAGCTTCGCCAATGAGTGTGGTGGAGGCCTGCATTCGACTGGATGCCTGAGCAGCCTCATATGCCGCCTTTTGTGCTTCCTTAGCTCGCCTTGAATTGACTTGCTGTTGGGCTTTTCCAACCCTATCCAAACAATCATAAATCTCGTCCAAATTCCCATTGAGATGCTCAAAGTTTATCCATGCATCGAAAACAACCTCCGGCCAGTCGAGTCTTTTCGTTACGATATCCTTGAATACGGTTCGAACTTCGTCGTACTTCTCTTCCTTCCTAACCGCGAAACTTGTCAGTACATTTCTTTCTGAGATGAGGACAAACACTAACGTAAGAGATTCAGTATATTGTACCCACGCCAAATAACTTGTCTTGTAATGTTTTGCAGTAGACTCCCACAGTTTGCTGGATAGTTCGTGCGACTCGATGAGTTCAACGTACTAATTTGAAAAGGTGTTAGAAGACAAAGAGACTAGCTGCAAGAGGAACGTACAAGATCGGCCAGATATTTTTCAAGTCGAAAGCGAGGATCACCTTGGGGAGAGGCTGGTCACCCAGTGAGATCATGTCGGGTTGGGTACATTTTTAATGTCAATTACCTGAACGGACCATTTCAATACCCTCCTCGAGAACCCTGAACAAGGTATTGGCAACATCCTCGACTACAAGTACATCATTAATAGTGCACAAAACGCTTTACATCAATCTCGCCTTCGTCCATTGACTTGACCGCCCGTCTAAGGAGACTGGCACGTGCCCGGACAAGCGGAATGACTTCTTCTACATCCTTCTGTATTAGACCGGTAGAAAACGCCTTGTCATAAATTTCTGGGACAGCATTAGGACCAAATCATTAAAGCACTTGATTCAACATACCAGATGTAGCTTGCAAAACGGAACTAATGTCGTCGTTTGTGCTTTCCTATCAGCTGGATCAGTTGGAGTTGACTTTGCAAACAAACAAAAAAATCGAACTGACAAGAAAACGTATATATCTTGCCCAAATCACTCCTGAACCAGGAACACTTCTTGTCGCTCTTAGAAGAACAGATTGTTGGCGATCAACACTTTCACTGTTTGTCCTCTTGGAAAATCAATCAGTTCCTTTGTCAGTGTGAAATATACTTTCAGGATCCTACCAAAACATCGCAATATCCCGACCAAAAGACCCTCAAAGCAGCTTCGGCATTTTCTGTACCTTGAAACCGCCTTTTTGCTGTGTCCGAAATCGCTCTTTCGTAGAGCATCGAAATAACTGGCAAATCAATTTTCCGTGCTCTATGCTCGTAGGTCAGATAATAATCATAAGCTTCCGGCGAATAGTCTGATTGTATCTGGTGTCAACTAAGCCTGAGAGACATTCATTCAATACACAAACTGATCATCACGTACCAGGAACTGCTCATTTCGTTCTCGCCTCTGATAGGCTTTGATAGCTGGTGCTTTTGCCTTTGACGCCGATACCAATAATTTCTCATATATATCCGCTGGTTTGTTGTTGGTCGTAAATGTTGAATATGATTGGAACGTTTCCTCGTGGGCTAATTAAGAAAGGTTAGTTGGATTTTGCTTGGACACTACGATAATTCCAGTTGCGCACTAGAATGTGGCTGCTTCAAGCGTTCGAGAAGTATATCCTCAATCCTCAAAATAAGGTCGGCGCTTTCATGGCAATAGAAGCAACTTATTAAAAGCATGCTCTGAGATCAGTGGTTCAGGACTGCTCACCGTTCTTCACTTTGCACATGTGGACTATCCAACTGTTCCATCTCCCAGTTAAAATATGCATTCCACACAAGATGCCCCTGATTCTTGCTCAGAACTGTACAAACAGCTTAATTAAGCATAACTCTACCTCTGTTAGGTGACTCGACGCCTTTTTGACGACAGATTCAGCCATCATTCTTGTCCACTCTGACGAGAAAGTCTCCTGCAACTCTTCGGCCTTGGGATCCAATGAGTGAAAATAAATATGTCTTTCCAGCAGAAACTCGATATGTTTCTGAAGCATCGGTATGGCTATTCATGTGACATAAGTTATTTCCAAAAACGAACGGAACAAGTGGACATACACAAGTAGTCTTCCTCAGCAGTCTGGAAGAGAGTGAGCACCTCAAGAGCATCTTCGACCGTATCCGTGCCTTGCGAAATCCGAAGGTCGATTATTGGAAGCCATACTTCATCGCCGGCGGGCCAATACGCGGTCAACATCTGTCGCGCCGCGGTTACCTGGTCGCCCATTCCACTGGCCAGGGCCAACTGTACGTGTTGTGCATGTAGAGACAAGTCATATGGATTGGTCGAAATATGGGTGAGGGTTTCAGACAGTGCCTCCAAAGATTTGGACTCGTCCTCCATAGTGTACGCGTTAAGGATTGAATCAATCAAGCAGTGAGTGAGCACGTCCCTGGTTTAGTGCGTCACGTTACCTCTCTCCCATGTTCAATTGGGCTAAGCCCACCCAATGAATCTGGCTTCTTGCTTCTTCCAGGTTCATCTCGGCGAGTCAGATATTACACGCTCATGTTTTTCATCCATCACAATACTCGTTCGGATCCGCTAGAGCATGATGCATTATGGTCTGCAATGTTGACTTAATGAGGAAAGCTCAAACAGTGCTGTGCCGCTAATTCCCACTTATTGTGTATATTGTACGTTCAACAAGCGGAATTATACTGGTTCCGGCATGATTAGGAGTCTTTATTCACGATCTTATTTACAATCGGTGCGGTATTGTCCGGCTTGACTCCCGCGGACTCATCGAAGTCTCTCTGCTGATGCTATTTGCTTCTGCGTTCTTCTTGCTTCACTATCGGAGCATGCCATAAAAGCCCACATAAAATGCGCTTGCTAACTCCTATCCAGACACTTCCTTCTTCTATTGACTAGCATGCCGTCCCTTCTCAAGCGTCGATACAGGCAGAGCCTTAGACTTGATCAGCCCTCGAAGCAGCTGCTAGAATCAAAACTGAACGTCTCTATGAACGCAGGAACATTGTATGGGTCCATTCATTAAGCAGATGCACTGTGCCAGTGCTGATTGATTACTGTAATTAGCACAAGGGAAGTCGCAGCATCGGGATGTAGTGTTCGACGGTCTCGCTCAAGAGGAAAGCACAGAACTCCTCGACGCACCCACCTTCCCAGCAGATCTCCAACAGCGAGTAGATTTCTACGTAGAAGCAACGCTTCCTTTCACTCCCCGGTCTCAGGAGCAATCTTGCCTGTCGAGCTACTCCTTCGTATCTTTCACCTGGGCGCGGATCTCCATTACGAGTTTCCAGTTGCTGTCTCGCAAGTATGTTCACTGTGGAGATCTCTGGCTTTACAGAGCCCGAAGCTGTGGCAAGTAATACGCCCCGATGCAAGACGAGTACTGTGCAATAGGCGTATCAGACGGTCAAGAGGTCTTCCGCTACACGTCGATATTGTTTGGCCTCGCGGATTGATGACAGGCACTTCCACAATGGCTGACGTTCACTCTCGCATGACTAGCGTTCTCCCCGCGAGAAAGCAATGGCGTTCTTTGTCACTTAGATTTGACGGATACTGTCCCTTTTTGTGGAATTCTGCTCTATCAGGACTTTGCGCAAGACCGTCACGAAGTACTTCTTCTGTCCCCGAGCTAGAATCTTTGTCACTAGTATATCCAGCGAATGACGACATAAAGGAGTTTCACCTGTTCGCGGACCATGCGCCAAAACTTCGACACGTTATGCTGCATGGAATACGACTCCAATGGTCCCCCCTATTCGCGAGCCTCGTTTCGCTCGACTACACACATCACGGATTCAGTATGGGGTATGAAGCGGTGCATGAAGTACTGGATATGCTTGCCGCGTGCCAAGGAAGCCTGGAGACGTTGAGTGTCAGATTTCCAGAGACTTGCGGATCCAGTCAGTCTGACATTTGGCATATCGACACGTATTATCTCCTCGACCTTCTCGAACTTCAACGCGTTAAGAAGTTCGTTATTCGTGCCGAAGGCCACTCCGTTCCACCAAGGGAGCTTGTACTACTGGTATCGAAACTCTTGCTTCCGTCATTGATCATGTTGGAGCTCGACACATTGGACAACTCCGGTGTTTTCAGTCGGAAGGTGATCAGGTCGACCGTCAGACCGTTTTGGCGGCATCCACAAATTAAGCAGTTGATTGTCCGGAGAGCCTGGAACTACGTACCATGTATCAATGGCCTCGCGCATTCTCTGCCTAACCTATCAGAATTAGTGTTAGAAAAGATGTAAATAATTGTAGTTTATATGCTGTAATGAATAGTTGACTGAAATAAGTATTTTGTTATTGGACACGGGGAGTCCCGGAGTCGCTCATGCGATTACATAAACGAATTTGGACAGTCCGTTTTCTGTGTCCGCGACGTTTGGTCAGAATTATTATCTCCTTCCTGTCGGTTTGTTCGTCGTCGTCGTTCGTCCAGCTCGTGCAGTGCCATGCTAGCGTCGAGTCTGCGTCGTTCTCTCCGATGCGCTGTACGCAACCCAGTCAGTGTTTGTTGCCTATGGTTTATTTTCGATGAACTGACGTGGACACACTTCGATTTGTGCAGCGACCATTACGATCCTTTGCTACGGTCGTGAACCCGACGCCTACAACTGAAATTACTACTCTTGCCAATGGTTTGACCGTCGCGACAGAATCGCATCCGCATGCTGAGACAGCGACTGTCGGTGTCTGGATAGACGCAGGCTCTCGAGCTGAGAACGACGCAAACAATGGTACCGCTCATTTCCTTGAGCACATGGCTTTCAAGGGTACAAACCGTCGTACCCAGCAGGGTTTGGAGCTAGAAGTAGAAAACATCGGTGCACACCTCAACGCGTATACTTCGCGTGAACAAACAGTGTATTACGCAAAGAGCTTCCGCAAGGATGTAGGCAACGCTGTGGATATCATCAGCGACATTCTGCAGAACTCTAAGCTTGACAACTCAGCGGTCGAGAGGGAGCGTGATGTCATCCTTCGTGAGCAGCAGGAGGTTGACAAACAACTCGAGGAAGTTGTTTTTGACCATCTTCATGCTGTCGCTTACCAAGGTAGAGATAGGATTCCATTCCAATTGCAGAAGCATAGTACTTAGTATTCCACAGGTCAACCACTTGGTCGCACGATTCTTGGACCGAAAAAGAATATTCTCTCGATCAAGAGGGATGATCTTGCCTCATATATCAAAACGAATTATACGTCAGACCGCATGGTTCTCGCCGGTGCTGGCGGTGTTGACCATCAGGAGCTTGTCAAACTCGCTGAGAAGCACTTTTCTGGCCTTCCAGTGTCTCCTAATCCAATCCCTCTTGGCCGTCAAGCACACGGAAAGAGTGAATTTATTGGCTCAGAGGTGCGTGTGCGCGATGACACCATGCCAACCGCACACATTGCCATCGCTGTCGAAGGTGTAGGATGGAGTTCGCCAGACTACTTCCCAACGCTTGTCATGCAATCAATATTTGGTAACTGGGATCGCGCTCTTGGCTCGTCTCCATTACTCTCGTCACGCCTCTCGCATATTGTCTCTTCCAACAACCTCGCGAACAGTTACATGTCGTTCTCAACTTCGTACTCCGACACTGGTCTCTGGGGTATCTACCTCGTTACGGAGAACCTGATGAACATTGATGACCTCACCCACTTCACACTGAAGGAGTGGACTCGCATGTCTATTGGGCCATTGGAGAACGAGGTTGAGCGGGCAAAAAGCCAGCTTAAGGCCAGTTTATTGTTGACCCTTGACGGAACTACTGCAATTGCAGAGGATATCGGAAGGCAGCTTGTCACGACTGGTCGCAGAATGTCACCTAAGCAAATTGAATTCGCAGTGGATGCCGTGACACCAGCAGATGTCCAGCGTGTTGCGCAGAAGTACCTCTGGGACAAAGACGTACGTGAAAGATGACAATATTTTCTTGGTATTTCTTTGCTGACTAGAATTTTAGATCGCGATTGCCGCAGTAGGACGAATCGAAGGTCTTTTGGACTACAACCGCATTCGGGCGGACATGTCTTCTCTACTGTACTAGGCCTATCTTAGTGTTCCTTCCTCAGTAAATTAGAGACGCTGGTGTCTGCTAGAAAATAAACCCTTCCACCGTTTAATATCTACCTTCCTTGATAAATTTACGTCCGTATTGTGACTATCGTCATATGTGTCATTTTGGCAAGACCGACGTCACATGAAAATTATAGAATCCCGTGACGGAACGGATCAGCCATCCGTTTAACTCTGACGTTGAGCACCTCTTCGTCTGCCACCCGCGTATTTTATAAGACTTGTATAATGAGGCCATCTGCAGTTCCATTATTGAATATACTGGTGCCCGTGAAGAGGTATGGTGAACACGGCTATACGGGGAATGCTTTTTGACCGTGTTCTAGGTGTATCGACTACACAGTGAAGATTCGCGTGAACCCACAACAGACCGGAGTTGACACCAATGTCAAGCATTCCATGGTTCGCCTTCCCGTCCTTATTTTCAATTAAGCTAAGTTAACTTGTTGCGTAGAATCCATTCGATGAAATTGGTACGCGTTGCGCTTCCTTCATCTCAAAGTCCGACGGCGTAAGTGGATGCTGATAAAACTACGTACAGCTGTAGAAGAAGCAGTGCGGCTTCGGGAACGATTAAAGGAACACGTCAAATCTATCAAGGCTCTGACCATCGGTCCACCAAAAGCTGTTGATACATTGCGGACAGCATTGGCAATTGGTGCAGACGCCGCTATTCATGTTGAAGTTCCAGAGAGCGCAGCCCCTCCGGAACCACTGGCCGTTGCCAAGGTCATCCGCGCGGTCATCGAGAAGCAAAAAGAGTCTGGCGGCGTGGACTTGGTCATCATGGGAAAGCAGGCGATTGATGACGATGCAGGCCAGACTGGCCAAATCCTTGCTGGCTTACTTGATTGGCCTCAAGCAACGTTTGCGAGCAAGGTCACTGTAGATGTAGACAAGAAGACAGCAAATGTTGTGAGAGAAATAGATGGCGGGCTACAGGAGGTCAAATGCAACCTACCCCTCGTCGTTACTACGGATCTTCGGTGCGCTGGAGCTATGATTAATGCATGATTCTTTTGCTGATAGTCTGCTCTCTCGGGTCCAGATTAAACGGTATTGGCTATCGTCTACTTTACGGATTTCACACGCTCACTTAAGAAATGTTACCAGAACCCCGATATGCTTCGCTCCCGAATATTATGAAGGCTAAAAAGAAGCCCATCGAGAAGTTATCGGCCTCCGACTTGGGTGTTGATCTTTCCCCGCGATTGGAAACTATTCGAGTTTCAGAGCCTCCCAAGCGGGTTGGTGGAGGGAAGGTACATTGAACGGCCCAATTATTTATTCATGCATTGATTGGTTCTTCAAGGTTTCTAGTGTTGAAGAACTTGTGGCAAAATTGAAGGAGGCGGGAGTTGTCCCAACATAGATCGTAACACTGTTCGTGAAATTCGGCTAATCGGCATCTGAACTGATTGTTCTCAGTTAGAGCGCTTGTAGTTTAGTATAGCTGCACACCATTTGATACATACGGCATGCGCACTTGTCAATGCGTGATTTACGGATTTCCACCACAGGTGCTGACGTTTATCCCAGAATCACCTTATTTCTATACTGAGGCATCATACAAATATGATGCTTGACGACTACTCGCTCTAATTACTGCATTCCCTTCATCAAAGCTCTGCGTTGCTAGTATTCAAGATCAAAATCAATTCATCACGCGCGCGATTGATCGCTTTCCCCGTGCTTTGAGCACGATTGAACCCAGAATATCTCGCGTACTCTGTTTTTCAGAAGATTTACGTTTTTGCTGTGCATGCCTCGCCATAGTGCTAATCCATCTCGTTACCCAATAGGCCGATGAACTGTAACACCTTCAACCTGGCTGTACGGTCTAGTGAATGGAACGGAAACTTCGCCAAGTACTCGAGTCGATCCCGAGGCAAATTATTGAATAAAAGCGCGCCACTGGGGATGTCGGTCCAGCGTAGAGCCCATCACTGATCAGAACATATAGCTTTGACGTGAATCATTCGCAACCTGCAACGGTCGTCGGTGACTGTGAATTCACTTCATGTATCTCTTGGAGCGGCCCGGGGTGGCGTCCTTTTCCATGATAAAATCGCCATTGCCGTATCCTCATCCCACTTCTAGCTCTGCTGGTCAGACCCTTCGAGCCTATGTCGAACAGCTCTCACGGGGCGTGCATTGCCTTCCTTTCCAGTCTTTCCAGCTTCGAAGGCTTCGACCATTTCAACGGCAGCCATGGCGGACACTCTAACGATGGTTTTCAAACGAGAGGACATAGCCAGTTCGACTTCCAGTTCGACGTTTGTATGTGGTTTGCAAAAACCGTGTACGCCCTGCATCACAACTCCTGCTTTCTAAACGTCACCTAACGAGAAACGCACAGAGTTGATGGACGATATTATCTTACAGCTTGTGCAATCGTCCTTTTCCTCGATATTATCCTGACACTGGATGTGGAGATAGAACGCGTCTGGAACACCAAATTCACCAAAGCAAAACTTTTGTTCTACCTCGTAAGCACAGTGCACTCGTCTTCATGCGACGAGTACTTCTAACTTATGTAGAACCGATATCTGCCTCCTATACTGTACTCGATCGCCTTATTCGGTAAGGGATCTACGATATTTGAGGCTTTTTTCTTGCTGAAGGAGTTGCAGGTTCAAATCATCCAAGTCTATCCTCAAAGGTCTGCCATTTGCAGTGTATAATATTAATGACCTTCTAAATTACGCACCTTTGCTTTTTCGGTACAGTTTTGCACCAATTTCTTCCAAGAGATCCTGCCCGTGCTGATTGTCTTCGGCGAGGCTGCTATCGGTGCCTTACTGATTCTAAGGACCCGAGCACTGTACCAGGAAACGAAGGGCCATTTATCTTATGTGGTTCAGGGCGTTCTAATCATAGTCTACCTTGTCCAAATAGCCTTATCAGTGGTCCGTACCATGGTACCTGATCTCTAGTTCGTGTGCTTAATGTCTCTTTGGTCAGCTCGTCGCTAAAGACCTGAAGGCTGTGGGTCCTCTTAGACAAACTTTTTATGAGGGGTGTATTTTATTTTTCCACCATTCCGAGTGAGTACCTAGCCTGTGGTGACTTCTTTTCGACCTCGCGTAATGCTGACCTAACCGGTGTACTATAGTACTTCACGTGCGTCAACTGTAGAATTCAAAGTTATGTCTATGCATCACGGAACTGACAAGCGAATCAGATTTATTGACTCTCTGGTTCACGAATATCTTCTTCAACGTGATTGTCTTCATGTGCACTTTTAAAAAGACCGCAAAAGCACATTGGTCGGATCCTTGCCACGCTGTGCACAGTCGGATTCTTGTTGATGGTAGGTAGATGAAGTTTCATTCGAGATTCATTGGTTAACGGCGTTTCACTTGATATAGCAACTGTATATTTCATGTAAGGACCAAATATCCTGTATCATTTCCTTCCCTATACTGATGAAGAACTAGAGCTGTAATGGCAGCGAAGGTTATGAATTTGGCAATGCTAGTTGTATGTCAATATTTCTCGAATGTTGGGTTGCCAAGCTTACGTAGAGAACAGTTTTATCCGCAATGGAATAGCATTAATTGGATCTCAAACCACGTGTAAGTTTGTTCCTCTCGTTGCTTGTGGCAATTCATCAGACTTACGCATGTCTTCCTTCCCCAGAATCGACGTATGTCACCGTACTGTAGATGCTACTTTCCTATTTACTAAAACTTCACTCAGGTGATCCTCACATCCCACTATTTCCTCCATCTCCGGGAAGAGGGTGGAAAAATGATCAGAACGGGATGTACGTCAACAGCGAACGGGTTTCCTAGGGTCGACGAGAATACTTGTCACCCACGGCCTGCTATTATCATCCGCATTGACGCACGACCCATTGGATCACCGTCGTCATTATCCGAGGAATGTATGGAATACGTCGATCGTGATTACTCGTATTCGCCGACCTGCTATAACAGGAACAAACCTCTACCGGATATTGAGCAGGGTTGCGTCGGTCTACTTAGCCCCGTGCCTATGCCTGTATCTCCAGGAATCAGACGATTTAGTCGCCTACCAGAAAGCGTTCGACTGTCGGTGCAGCGGGCAATTGAAGAAGTACTGGCGAGGGAGGGATGTGCCGAGATACTTGTGTGTACTAGTAGTGCTTGCGGCGGTGACGTCAAGCTACCCTTGGAAGAGGATATCAGTATTGGACGAAAGTCCAGGTTTAGTACTTGGACTGTTCCTGCAGAAGCACCTTGCAAGCGTATTCGTAGTCGGCGTAGGAGGCATTCGTTAAGTTAGGATCGCGCCGCTGTGGACATAGACGAGCGGTGACCTCTCCAGGCTGCTAGAGTACTCATTCTTTCCTTGCGTGTATACAGAAATAGTCAAACATCAATTGTACACATACGTATCTTCAGTGTAAATGAATATTGGACTGTAATAAAACTTTAGTTTCTGTAAGTGATCTTGAAGTGGTATCTGCACAATGCTTTTGGGAAGACGCAAAATTGTTTTGTGGACTGATGTAGAAAACAGTGAATTAACAAGGATACGGTTCATGATAAATGAGACAATTATTGCAAGCAAAATAGTTTGTGTTCAAATATCGGGGATATTGACTGAATTGAATGCACGTGCAGGAAATGCGACGATCATGTATCCAATTCGGGATACGTGTCCCACTGCTCTTTCCTCTTCGTAAATTTCATTCAGCAGACCATGTGTAACCAGATCCGCGACATGTCAGATCGCCATCAGACTCAGTAGTTACTCGGCGTGTATATGAGTATATGTGGCTGTGGACTGCTAGTACCATCACCAAGATGCCGGTCCTGCTTCAAGCGCACAAGAAATTGTTCCTGTGCAACACTCGAAGCGCGAAGAAAACCGAAGTTTGCTGCCAGTATACAAAGCAGATAAAGTACGTGTCGCAGTCCAATTAATGTCGTTCGTCATTCCTGCAACTTCGCATCCAGGGACACCCTATTGTTGCTAAAGAAGCAGAATTTGCTATTTCGATCCCTATTATTCGTCGTGACCCGAAAGATGCATGTATATTGCAAGAATTCTCATGCCAGTATCTTCTAGGAAGAGTTCATAAAGCGAACAGTGGCTGCATCCCAGCGACAGGCCGAGCGTGATTATAAGACCATAGTGCGGAGAAAGGCCAAGAAAAATAAGCTTGGAATAATCCGTCAGTTCAATCTCGTTCATCAATATACCAGCCGTTGTCGTGGAGAGGGCCGACGAGTTCTTCTTGGAAGGTATTATTTACTCATCATTTCTGAACTCGCTCGATACAGCGCTCAGCTCTCTCCCCACCCTCCCTCCGAACAGACCTTCTGACGTGGACGCAAGATGAGTTACCACAAGCCATCAAGAAGTCAAGTAAATCTGCGAAGACTCCAGGCCCCACATCTACTTCCGTGCTACGAGACTTCGTTGGAAACGAACCGCTCGCTAGCATACAGCCGGCGAGCTCGTAATCTAGACAGATTATTCTTGCAGTATCAACAGAATTTATCTGTGAATTGTTAACTCGCCTTGATGCCGCTGGCTGTGCACATTGTCGGTGTTAGGATCCCAGCCCAATGTTGTTACCGTGATCATCGACTGATTGTACAGGAATACGTCAAGACGCCGTATCATCCGATTCATCAGAGGTATAACCTCCTGTCTCTTTTCAAAATAGTACGAAGATGCCCCCAAATGCAGTTTTGCGTCCCTACGAGCGTCCAAATCCTCATTAGAACAAAGCATGGAACCAACAGTCTTGATGTTCACACATCGATCAACTGTAAAAGAGCGCTATCAGGATCGTATAAAGTGGTCAAGAAATCACGTACTTACAGTAAAGCATTTGTATACTTCTTTATAACCAACAGGCCTATTGAATCTGCTTCTGTCATGATAACTTCGGCAGAGGCAAGCGTCATTTCCATCTCCATGGAGGCCATCCTTTACGGTACGTGGGTCCTGCTGTTAATATGGAAGCTTACAGGCATTGCGTAGGTATTTCGGTACCGATGTTCATCCTCACTATGTGGATTCTTCGACAGAGACAGAGACGAGGCGTACACTATGCTATGATAATCTCAGCCTGCGCACTGCAAACTTTGGCTACAATGGTACACAGTCGCCACTCCACCAAGTGGAATGCAAAGCTTGCATTGATTCGATATACTTTTAGGAACTCATAGTGAACATTATCCGCATCTATCAAGACTTTCTCACTATTGGCCCCTTCCTGCCTCGCGGACCAGAACAATTCTTTCAGGATGTGACGCAGAGAACGTGGATTACCAAGAGCTGGCTATACAATATTCAGACACTAATTCTGGATGGTGTCGTTGTGCGTTACGTCCAACATAAAGTCTTTGCAACTCTGAGCTCCCGTTTTTCCATCACAGATCTATCGGACGTACATCGTCTGGAAGAAAATTTACATCATTATTATTCCAGTCCTAGGTTGGCTGGCCCTGCTTGGTATGTCTGGACCTGCACCATGTAGCAACAAAGATATCTCTAACGTACTACTTTCAGTGACGTGTGTTTGTCTAAACGTCGCATTCGCTACTGCCGTGGAACATAAAGACGATATGTTTGCTAAGCCTACAGGTCAATGGATCACCGCCGTATACACAACGACTCTAGTGACAAACCTCTCTGCAACAAGTGCGTAAGTCCCTGTCGAAGTAACGGTTGGTCAATGTATTGACTTCAATTAGCTCTCCTCGCATTGCGTATCTGGCGCGTAAACCGCGAAGCTTCCGAATATAGATCCCAAGGACGCGTGGCGTCGGTCCTTCGCAGCGTCATTGAATCCAGAGCAATATATTCAGTTACAGCAGCGTTGATCACATTCGTTATCACATCCTTAGGAGTCTACGTCCTCTTTTATATGGTATATCGTTCATCAAGGACCCTACACTTCGACTATTACTAAAGTTGTTTACCAGACCTCGCCTATAATATCAATCGTCTTCAATATGATCATTATCAGACTCGGGTTTGCGACCGAGTGTCATTTACCAGTTGTCAGCACCACAGTACAGCAAGGAAGGAGGTTCGAGCCTTCCAGTCAGGGAAATCGTGACAGCATTCGAGCTTCTCGTGAAAACTCAGGATTCGGGATGAAATCTCTAGAAGTCGAGATCACACAACACGTCGAGACGGACGCAGATGCGACTTCCATCGCCGAAACGGGGAGGGAAGAAGGAAGGAGGCTAGCTAGTGAAGCGGCGAGAATACCACTCTAAACACTTAAAAACCTTGCATCTTAATCTTAAATTACCATGCTGCAAACGTTGCTCTTTGGTTTTGTTGTGTATTGACCAACGTGTGTCTCGGTCTATTAGAGATTCAGAACAGAATGCTCTCAATATTTTTTTCCTGTTTGGTTGTCGAGTGACGTCTGCCCATACTAGCTAATTTCCATCACCGAAAGTTGTATGTGATTTGCTTCTAAATTAGTAAATAAGCACCACAGCAGAGGTATTTCCAATTCAAATTTCTTTTCCTTCCTGGATGTTGAGTGATGTCCACTCATACCAGCCGTTTTCCCTGTCATCAAATGTTGTATATAATTAATCTACATAAAATAGTACTACAAGGAAAGTTACATCTAACTCAGATTTCTGGTGGACAAATAATGTATAAGGGTACTGATTAAGTCTGTATGAGAGCTGGAACAAGCAACAATCTTGTTCTGCTATCCATTCCCCTTTGGTTCTACAGAGGAACAAAATCATTAATACATAATGTTAATAAACATTAATTTGATTTATTTCAAATGGGAAACAATGCATATCCTTAGAATCAAATAATAATAATTACTCATTTATGTCACTGTACAAGCAACTGATATACTTATACATCCATGGACAAATAGACAATAATCACAGCACCACAACACTTTCCTTGCAGATGCCTTCAGAGCATGTCTAATAATCTATCTTATTATCATGCATGCACGAACTGAACAGCAGCAAGTAATAGACTCACACTAAACACCTTACATAACATATAGTAGACAACACAAAACACTCAACAAGCTTACCTATTCACCTGTTATTCACATAGCAGAAGCAACCATACAGAAATCATATCGGGACATCGAAACATCGAGGCATAGAGGTGGGACAAAGTGACAGCAACAAAAAATGCTGGGTATATATGCAGCAAACAAACAACTCAAACATACGACACGTATCGTTAGAAAGGTTGTAAAAGTAAGAAAAAGTTCGGTGTCAACGACTCAACCAGGACCAAAGAGCAAAAAAAAAATTGATAAAAAGATATTGTTAAGAATGAAAGAAAAACGACCAAAAAAGCACAAAATAAACAAACCCAGACTGACAACTTAAATTACTTGAATAAAAGATGAGGGGGGTTTAAGAGTAAGAGTAAGAGATGCCTGTCTGCCGGCCAACATCAAGCATAACAAAACGAAAACGAAATGCTAAATGCCGAGACAAACGGACGGATAGAGACAGACAGAAAACATCTGTGCAATCTAATGAAGGTCACCCAAATCGGCACCCAAGAAAACAAGATGAGAAAAAAAAAGGCCAACAAACTAACGACCACTACCAAGCAAAGAAAAAAAAACGCAAAAGCAAGCACCAGCTTGGGATGAATTCGGATTGATAGGTGAGAGCCTTCGCAAGAGAGGGGGAGGGAAGGAAGAGGAAGTTGTTGAAAAAGTTGCCGCCTGGAATATGTTTGAGTTTGAGAAAAACAAAAAAACTTCCAAAATAGCCATTTTGCGAAAGTAGGGAGGGGTAAAAACTTTCAAATATCGAAAAGAAAGCCCCCCCGAGTTCGCGTACGTACACAATGCCCACCATCTCCATCACTCCTTACTCCCACACATTCTTCTTCGATATTCGAACACAAAAAAACGAAAACCACCTATCTTGCTTCAACGAGGGGGAGAGCAGACGAGACGAGACGCAAGGGAGAAAGATCACCAATTCAAAGTGTTATCCCTCAAAATCGGCGCTGAGATCGTCCCAGGCGCAATAGGTCTCCGTTCACGCATCATACCCGCAACACCCGCGCCCGCACCGGGAACAGCACTAACATTATGTCCACCACCATAAAGATCTTCCCGCATCGAAGGCTGCGTGAACCCTCTCAACGAGTCCTCCGCATAATAGAACGACCTTCTTCGTTGTCCACCTACCGAATCCCGGTCAAAGTCCTGTCCGGGCGCGGGGACCACTTCCATTTGCGGGTTTTCAGCGAGTCGGTGGTGTGCTGATTCTTGACGTCGTTTGAAGTTCCGGTACACAAGGAACACCAATATACAAAGCGCAATACCACCCAATGCGGAACAAACGCCAATAATCGCGTCGCGTCGCGAGTTGCTCGAGCCAGAAGACGAACTCGAACCACCAGATGGCGAATTTGGATCTTGGGAGATAGGGTCAGGCATTGTGGTGACGCTGTAGGACACGTCGATATGCTGAGCCAGCTGGTTGGATATGCCCGTCGTCTTGGTGTACAAATTGGACTGCTTGGCCTTGATTGCTTGCTGAAGTGCGGGGACTTGGTCGGAAGGTATGTACAAGATGAATAGAGTTCGCAATTGGTCCTTGTCATCAGGAGACGTGTACGTTGACGGCTCGAAGACTTGAAGCGCAAACGTCTTCACTTGATCCGCTATCGTAACAATACATCAATCAGTAGGCATGGTATATAAAAGGTGCAAATTATCCCTTACCAGCGAGACCCAAGCCGACCTGCAACGCTGGAGGGAAAAAGGCGAACATCTGGGCAGCGCTGTCGGTGTTGGTCGCAACAAAGTCCCAGCCCAGTGAGTCGTCAAACATAACAGCAACAGCCGTATAATCATTTAGATCGTCGTTAGCTGTCACTCCTCCACTGGCTGGATAAATCCGAGCAGGAAGACCGGAAGGCAGTGGCACAGCCGTGACAGTTGCACCACTCGTCGCACTCTCTAGCGTCGCAGTCGTCGTCGGCTCATCTGGGTTTGTTAGAGTAGTGAGCGTAGATGAGGTGGTAGAGTCAGCGCTTGAGGTGAGCAGGCCGGTCTGCGTGAGGAACGAGTACTGCGAGTTAATTGACGTCGATGTATCGACGGAAGACGTCAAGGTGATCAGGCTCGTGGTATTGGTGGCTTCTGCAATGGTTGTATTGGTCGTTGGGAATGTGATGGTACTCGTGGCATTATTGATCCCTGTGGTTGTAGTTCCGTTTGTCCCAGTTGTAATCGTAGTGCTATTTGAATCAGTACCAGAAGTCGTCGTACTGTTATCCCCAGCTGTCCCTGTCGTTGTAGTCACTGGAGCAGAAGTGATTGTCGACGGGAGCAAACTGCTGGTAATCGAACAAAGGAGTCCGGAGCATGACGAGGTTTCACTGGCTGTCGCAGAACTACCCGAGCCGGAAGGTACATTAGACGTGACGGTCGATGTACCCGTTGCAGAAGAGACAGGAGTACAAACGAGGTCTATACCGAGAAGCCCATCGCAAGAAGTAGATGGGGCTGCGGAACTTGATCCAGAAGCAGTTGACGCTGGTGCACTGGTCAGTGTGTTCGAATTTGACGATCCTGAATTTGTGCCAGAGGGCTGTGGTGCCTGAGATGAGACAGGTGTACAAACGAGGTCCAAACCGAGAAGCCCATCGCAAGAAGTAGATGGAGCCGCGGAACTTGATCCAGAAGCAGTTGACGCTGGTGCACTGGTCAGTGTGTTCGAATTTGACGATCCTGAATTCGTGGTTGAGGACGCCGGTGCTTGGGACTGGGACGAGCTTTGCGTACTGCAAATGAGGTCTATACCAAGAAGCCCATCGCAAGAGGTCGTCGGCGCCTGAGAACTCGATGATCCAGAAGCAGTCGATGCCGGCGGTCCACTGGTCAGCGTGTTCGAGCCCTGATTCGAACTTGACGATCCTGGGTTACTCGCAGAACCAGTTGACCCCGTAGTAGACGCCGGCGGCGCTTGAGACTGGGACGAGCTCGGCGAAGAGGCAGTAGAACAAAGAAGCCCGCCTACGTCAAGTCCAAGAGGGCATTCGGTTGTTACAGACTGGGAACTTGATCCAGAAGCAGTCGACGCTGGAGGTACACTGGTCTGTGTGTTCGAGCCCTGGTTCGAACTTGACGGTCCCGGATTACTCGCAGAGCCAGTAGGTCCTGTAGTAGTTGCAGGCGGTGCTTGAGATTGCGACGAGCTCGAAGTAGCCGTGCTTGACGGTGTGATGGTGCTACAATCGAGGCCTAAAAGACCGCCGCATGAAGTTATCGGAGCCTGGGAACTTGATCCAGAAGCAGTCGATGCTGGTGGACGACCAGATTGCGTGTTCGAGCCCTGATTCGAACTCGATGATCCTGGATTACTCGCTGTAACACTAGACTTCGTAGTTGCAGGCGGCGGCGCTTGGGAGTCAGACGCGCTCGATGTAGCCGTGCTCGACGGTGTAACTGTAGAACAAAAGAGGCCTAAAAGACCACATGAAGTCGTTGGCTCCTGGGAACTCGACGTCGTCCTACTCGGACTCGAGGCGCTAGTGATTGAACTACTCGAAGAAGATCCCGAAGAAGACGAGCTGCTATCAGATGACGGTGAAGATTGCTTGCTTGACGGCGCTGAACTAGTCACTGATGATGATGATGACGATGATGCACCTGATCCCGTCGCCGAATTCGTCCCCGAAGTTGACCCAGTCGTAGTAGCCGAACTACTGGGCGGCGGTAACGAGGGAGACGAGCTGGGAGCCTTCTGAGGATCATCGACTGGAAAAAAAGAATAAGAGAAATGAACGCAGGACATTCCCAATTCAGTCAGTCAGCTTTTTTGTAAGACGTAAATGAATGTGCGGAAAAACACGAGAAGCAAGAGGTGCGGTTGGTGTTTATGATGAATGATGAAAAAATGCGGACCGACGACAGCGAAAAAGACTACACGCAAAAAAAGCAGAAATTCAGAATAAAAAAACGACAGGACTTACGGAGACCAAGAGAAGCAAGACCAGGAAGATTCACATCCGCAAGCCCCCTTCGAACGGCATCATGAACAGCGGGTGCACGCCTCGCGTTGGTGTTGGCTACCTCGAGACTCCTACGGGCATGGGAACGTTTATAGGACGAGTGCTCCGCGTTAACCGGGGCCGCGAGCGATAAGCCCAGCAGAAAAAACACAAAGAGGACGCAAAACAAAGAGGTGGGTCGGAATAAGCCTAAGGAGGAGAGTGAGGAGGGGGATTGTGCCATATTCCGGTAGCTATGGCGGGCAATTTGTGGGTGGGTGGGTTACGATAGATACTACTACTGATGAGAGGACGACGAAGGGTCGAAACGAGCGACGCGGGTAGAAGGTTGGATTGAGCGTTAATATATATAATGTCTATAGAGACAGCTGAACGTCGTGAGTGGATGCACGGTGAGTGCGGCGGCAGGGGGTACAAGGAGGGAATATGAGGGGGAGGAGGAGAGGACCGCTTGCAGGGAGACCAGTTGATCTTTCACACGCGTAGTGCGATTCTGGACCCGCTACTGCCGCATCACTCCTTTTATATTTTATATCAATATTCTTAGCCTCTCTGATCCCTTCCCTCGCCCGCTCCTTACTGCCAGCTCACCAGTCCTCTTTATACTTGGAACGCATCATACGCTATTCCCACCGCACTCCTTTTCTGTCTCTTCCCCTCTTTCACCGCGAAAAACATACATACCCATAACATACTCTCAATCCAAATGGGGATTTCTCGCTCTCTCCCGTCTCAGCCTCATATCCATCTCCGTCCGTATTCACATCACCCGAACTATTTCACCGCCGCGTTTCACATTTCATACTCACATCATCTCATCTCATGCAGCATGTCATATATGTATTTATGCCTAGTGTATATAGAAAGTACGGATCTGCATATTCTGACCGCATACAATCGAACAATCGAACAAGCAAATGAAGCACATGAAGCACACAAGCTCAGCTCAAATGAACCCGATCTATCAGCCAGCCATCGCAAGAAGTCCCGTCAGAACAATGATAATCACACTACAGAATCACGAAACACCGCGCAATTCAACTCACCTTGTTCGCAACATCAAGTGCATCATGGTCCGCCGTCAGTCGTACGTACGCTTTCTTTTTCCCATCAGGTCTACGTGTGCGAGCGGCGTACAGGATAACACAGGCACAGAAGTACGGGAGATCAGTAGCATACATCGAAATCAAGAAAGAGAATCAGAGAATTGCAAAGTAGGTGGAGAATCAGTATGGTAGATAAATCAGAATGGCAACTGTACTACTAACCGGATGAGTGTGTTGACAGATGCAGCCTGTACCTCCCACAGCTCCTTCACAGCAGACTTGATCTGTCGCTTGTTCGCCTTAATATCCACAAGGAACACCAACGTGTTATGCTCCTCAATCTTCTTCATCGCCGACTCGGTGTTCAACGGCGATACAACCGTCCGGTGCGCATCCATACGCGGTACATGCGGGACACTCTTGCGTAGGTATTTGGGTTTCCGCGGAAGACGCAAAGTCTTTGGTCGGTGGAACGTCACAGAGTAGCGTACTTTACGTGCACGGTGACCATGTACGCCCTGCAACGCCGCCTTTTTGGCATTTTTGGCCTTGGCCGTGTCCGCTGCAAAATCGAAATGATGTATTCGTGTCGATAAGCAATTTGGTCCTCTTGATTAGTTTTCCAGAACACGCACATTTTGCGGCAGGCTTGCTAGTCTTTGCAGCTCCCTTTGACGCAGACATGGTCTGGAGTACAACAGTCAGCAAGTGTGAATTAGGAGCGAGAATGTAAGAAAGGAGGCAAAGGAGCAGCACAAAAGTCTACGCTGAGCTTTCGTTGCGAATCCATCCGCCATGTCAACAATCCATCCACTCCCAATTCGCCCAGCCAGCCCAGTTCATCCGCTCCAACAGTTGAATACGCATCTTAATCGTTCCTAAAACCCGTCGTATCGACAAAGATACTCACCTTGATGAATGTTTGTCGATTGCGAAGAGAGTTTCTACCAGTCTTCGTGCAGTACGACAATCTTGCCGTGCCTCCATTCGTCCAAATTAGGCATGAGTCACGTTTTCAATCCACTCCCGCACCAAATTCAAATTACGTATCAGTATTTATTACTCCATTTCATCATTGAAATTTGAATGGCATTTCAATGCTACAGTATAGGCTACAACATCAATAATATTAAGAATTAAATAATACAGCGTATGTCCATTCATTCCCATTCTTCGCCGTCTGGTTCAGCAGTTGCCCCGTCTTCGTTCCATATTTGAAGGAACTAAAAATAAAATAAAATGAGAACAAATGCGCCTTCGTATGTATGCACAAAGCATTGCTCACCGTCGCCTTTTGCAATTCCACATCCTCATGAGTCCGTATCGGCTTCACGGCATACGGCATTCGATCCCAAGAAATCACAGTCTCCTTTCGACGAGCAGCAGGTCGGTCCCCAACTGCACTTTTCTTCCCAAGAACAAACTTCTGACACTTCCTATATCATTTGTTAGAGAAGCTTCTGATTAAATATTGCCGGTATCAACTCACTCCTCCGATAAGCCATACAGAACCTTCAGATGTGCTTTTAATAGCATGATTATACCAGCTATGCACGTTGATCTCATTAACGCGAGTTGCTCATCAAAGGGCAGAGAAGAGAGCCCTACGAGATTGCCGTCAATATGTGTTAATTCTGTCACAGACAAGCTGCTTACCTTGGCTTGTTGATGATGCACCCTCTGGAGGCTGAACCTGATTTTCCATCCCCTCTTGAGTTCGCGGTGCTGATTGCAACTGAGCCAGCAAGTTTCCCGGCGCAATACGCTCAACTAAAAGCGATCCTGATTCGGCAAGTTCCCGTGTCAACGTCTTCAGTACAGTCAACACCTCTTCCTGCGTCCGATAATCAAATGTCGCAAAGTTCTCCGCCATGTACCGGACAAAGTTCACCGTATCCTCTTCGGTTTTACTAAAATCACGTTGCTCGAACACCTTGAGGACGGCACGTAGAAACTCTTGCCGAGTCGCTCGCTTTTCTCGAACTAGAGCGTACCATCGCCCGAGCAATGCGGTCGGTGTCGGCTGCATGCGGTATCCCCGTAATTCATGATTACCGTTATCGGCGGCAGCAAGCTTCTTTTGGTAGTTGAAAGACTTCCGACAAGCAGCGACAAAACCCGAGTTAAGCAATGAAGTATGCTTGTGATGCAAAATTGTATGCAATGCGACAGCACGCGAGCTCAGTGAGTTCACTGGGGAGGTCTCCAGAGCAACGATAACGGGGAAAGACTACCGATACGCAATTATTAATTTCAGACAACAATATTGAAGTCGGGTACAATGGAATCTTACCAAAAGCGGATGGGCGAGACCCTGCTTGACGGTGAAACTCAAAATGTCCACAGCTGACGTCTGGACTTGCGGGACAGGCGAAAATGCCGCCTCAAGAATGTGACTGAGGTAACGCTGCACTATAGCCGAGCTGACGCTGCAAACACCATGTTAATACTTAGGAAATTTAAGATTAGTGCAACAACGTACCCAGATTCGGCGAAGCCGTGAGTATTTCCTACCAGTTCGTCCATATTTATGCTTTCGCTCGGCTTACTAGGACCTATTAATGCCAGTCATCACCTGCATTGTGAGACAAAAAATTATTAGGGAAACCAACCGCCTTGCTGTGCGGAATGCTTAGCACTCTCGGAGACCAAAAATTCCTGCATCAGCCTGAGCAACCGCCCACGGTTGTCTTCCTCAGATGACGCAAATATAGCGTCCATCATTGTCGCTGAGCTTTCAAGGGTCATTAAAGTCGGCCGAGCTCGGAACAGGAAGCCCAAGCAGACAAGCAACCTCCCGCGGATACCCCCCTCAGTGTATTTCTCATACAGCTGCAGAAGGCACCTGTAGATATGTTCAACGATGGGCCCCTACAAACACAATTAAGTAATGCAATAATCCAATCATGAAGATGACCAACCTTATCTATGGCGTCTAATTGGCCAGACAAATCTGTGTTTTCTGTCCTTAGTTGGTCGAAATCGAAATGTTCACCAAGAAGAGAGACAATTAGGACCAAAATATGAAGAGTCCGAACACCATTGGCATCGAGGGTGTTACCAGGTTTCGTAATGTATTGTCGTACTCTCGCTAGAAACCTATTAGGACATCGCACTTGTAAATTAAGAAATGTCGCACCGATACAAGACTTCAACAAAGCGACAAGGCGGGTGAAGTCGTGGGTTAGATGTCGTACCACCGCGCATAGGCATGCTACAACTTCTTGCAGTGACTAAGAATACGAAAAAAAAGCGCATTAACGAAAGCCATCGGTGAGTTGTTCTGATAACTTACTGTCCCATGGAGATTCGGCTTGAGCACCATAGGTTGGAGTATGGCTTGCAGTTCCTGTCCGAACTTCATGGAAGCCTTAGGCATATGCGGAATTGATATACGATATATCTTTAGAATGTAGTCGGAAGCAGCAACTTCTTCGCTCTGTTATAAGTCAGTATACGATCATCTAGTGCAATACGAAAAAAGGCTCACCGAGGTTGAATTCTTCAGGTAAGGTAGCAAAACAGATGCTTTGGAACCAGTCATGACAGGTGGATATGCTACAGTAAACAAATGAATTGTGCGGATGCAGTTCGTGACGGACTACGCGAAAATTGTTAATAAGATGAGGATTCGCCAAAGTAATTGCTCGCGTACAAAATTGACGAAGTCAGAAGCGTCAACAAGACCCTCAATCATAACATCATAAATCTCCGTGAAGCGAGAACGAAGTGTCGACATTGCAGAAGCGTCAGCCCCTTCCTTTCCAGAGACAATTCTGCCAAGCATGTCTTCCAACGGTGCTTGGCGGTCTTTGAAAATATTACAAACACCCATTATCACAGAAACAATTCCGAGAGTTGCACCCCTGTCTGTCTGGCCGGATGTTGCCGTTGGCAAGAACCAAATCTCCTCCAAAGTCTTGACAGCCAAATCCTAGTAGCAAAAGTTAATACCCTAACACTGCAATGGAAAAACAATAAATGCAACCTTGACAGTGTCATCTTCGTCTAGCATCCGAAGGACTAATTTAGAACAAGTATCGACTTTCCGGTCTAAGTCATCGGTAACGTAGAAGAATGCTTTTAGTAGCTTTATCACCCTCTTGCGTACACCTAGTCCAGTATCCTGTGAAGGACGTCAGTTTATATGCGACTGTACCGGCCGAGCAAAGTTGACATACCGCTATACGTTCGGCAACTCTATGATAGTAATCTCCTGCTACAGCAGGAGAATCTATCATATACTTCCCAATCAGCTCTACAGCCGCGTCTCGAACCTGCGGTGAACTGTCCAAGAGGTGGCTTTCGATGGCATGACGAACGTTCGGCTGAGACAGAAATTTCAGGAAATGGACTTTGGATCACATGGACGTATGGGAGTCTTACGTTTGAGAGCACCGTCGAATCGACTGACAAAATATGACTCAGTGCACGTAATGCCTTCGTTCGGACAAAAACTGGGGGTGCATCTAAAGCCATGACTACCACATTCAGAATGGGGTCAAACGCGTTCTTCAAAGATTGTGTCGTTCCCAGTTGTCGGGAGAGCCTATCAGCTCTGTCTATCTCGTCCTGCGTCCTGTGGAGGGTAAGTTAAACACTGCACGGAGTCCACAGTTTAGACGTACGCGTTGTCAAATACGTCCGTCGGTGCATCTTTCCAGATATCTCGAAGAGCGGACTTCGCTTTACTGCCAATCGATAGATATTTGATCCTCATATTTGAATCCCAATCTTCTTCATGCGAGCTTGACAAAGAGTCGTTCAACTGGATCAAAGCAGTTGCAAGTTCTTGTCCCCAAATCACCGCGTTCAGTTCTCGAGCACTCTGACAATAGATCAGAGTCAATCATAATCACTTTCAAGAACGCCCACCTCATAACCGTGATCCTCAGATGCACGCTTTGACAAATGAGAAGATACTTCTTGGTGTACGCTTATAAGCCTTTTCAGGGCATTCTTATCAAGTGTTGAAATGGACTGCCAATACATTAGCGTGTAAGCATAAAGACATAAATTTGCCATACTTCGTCAAGGCTCTTGAGACATGCCGTCCCAGCGTTCTGGTCCCCGCCGTCGCTCTCTTTGGACCATTTTTGCGCGTTGCTTCGTAGTCTGCCCGCAATTGTACCCAGGTGGTCGAGGGCCATCGCCTTCGAAGCATTATTATCATTGCCGGAGGATTTCACGTCTTCCAGCGACGAGATCTTCAATTTAAGGTGACATTAGACAGATTGGCGACGACATGAAATGAAAATAACTTACCATATATTTGCAGACTATGCTCAGCAATAGGCTCGCTGCTGGCCATTCCGGCCAGAAGAGGACGAGCAGAAGGTCAGATATTAGGTTGTCCAGAATAGCACGGTATTCCACTTCGTTCGCGTTCTTCGTCGATTTGCCACGTCCGGACCTTTGTGTAAGAAACGCAACGATCGCCTTGGCAGATTTTGTCGGCGCTTCCAGGCCACCAGCGTACAATTTTGCTTCCTATGCGTCAAACAAGAAAACATCAGTCTTTGAAGCTGGTACGAATGACTAAGCGAACCTCAATGTCTATTTGATCCATAAACGGCTCTTGAGGGGCAGAACCGTGGCTGTCATGGCGTTTCAACGCAAGATGCTGTTGACGTGACTTTGCTAAACGGAACGCCTCAACGCGGATGCTATGTGCTGATGTTTGGACGAGTTGTAGAAGCAAAGCAGAGACTGTTCGTATGGATCGACCATCTCGCAATCTGCATAATTAAGTATCGTCGCATCACAAGAGCTGTGTAAGTCCCTTACCGGAATATCCCTGCCTTTTGCTTAGAGTCGGATAACTTGATTAACGATGTCAGAATCTCCTCAATTATCCAAGATCGCTGGTCTTCATGGTAGGCAAATATCTAAAGGATGAACTGTATATATAAAACATCCGGGGATTGAAGGGGGAAATTGACTGACACTTCGTACAAGGGAAAGAGCCTCCAACCGAAGACCACGCATTCCACTGGCCCCCAGGGTATTTGTGATGACCGCAACTACAGTATTCTTCTTGGATTTATTATCAGAATCAGTACCACCTTCAACGACGAAGAACGGTCCGATGGCAATATAAACGGCCGGAATTATCAGCGACTCGGGCATGGAAAGACCATCGGCGCAGATGAGATTAGTAATGCGGGGGAAAACCGCAGACATCGTTTGGAAAATCTGTCCGATTAGACGCCGGTGGTCTGCAACATTGAAAGGCCCTGCGCCACCAGAGACTCGACCCGTAACGTGCATGAGAAGGGCTGAGAGATCGCGTGCGTCAGATGACGGGGCTTCGACAAAGGGATAAATGACATTCGTCAATGCATTCTTGATTGCTGACAAGCATGATGAAATAAGGTCTTCGGAGAATAACTAAATAATTTAATTGTTCATAAGAACTCGAAACTGTTTGTAAACGAACACAGTACATACCTGTTTTGCAAGTCGATCGCTCGTGAGCAAGGCAATACAACAGTCTGCAGCTAGAATGCTATCGCGGACGGTCTCAAGCAGGGTTGCAAGCTTGGAAAAGTCTTCGCTTGTCATATCTGTGGATTCCTTGTCCAAGTCTGTTTGCATATTGACGTCCTCATTCCTAGCCTCGTTCTTTGACGAGCCCGCTCTTTCTGCTTTTGTTTGCGCATCTGTCCTTTCGATTGAAGTAGACATTCTCTTCACCGTCGCCAGTTGAAAAGGATCCAAGTCTTCACCCGCTCGGACGCTCCTTTCCAGGAGCTTGAGCAAACGAATGAGAGTTGCAACTTCGACTTCGGCCATTCCACCAGCTTTGCGAGGACTTCCTGGAGCGGTTCCCTCCCACTGAACTGACGCGAGTCGTATTCGTTTCGTGGGTCGAGCAACTTTGCTTATTGCTTTGGTCAGTCGGACTATAATGGTCGAATGAAGAAGCGGCCTGGCTGGATCAGTGCTGAGCTGCGAGAAAAAGGTTCCAGGCAAAGAATCGGTATCAACATCCCCAGAAATATTATCTTCCGCCTCGAAAATGTCTTCTAAGAGGTTAAGGAATTTTTCGAGCGGCACTAGATGTTTATCCGGTGGATAAGTCAATAAGGCCACTCCAGGACTTAAAATCCATACCTCGGTCATCCCTATATCCAGTCCTTTTCCCTGTTGAGCGAGCACCGCTCATTGCGTCCTTATTACGACCATCCCTATCCTCGTAGTCCATGCCATATCCACCAAGGTCAGAGCTCGGCGGATTCTCATTTATACGTGACCTCGATGGAGTAACATAACCTTTCGAAGTAGGCGTGATTTCGACGTAGACCTGCATTTTCGGTGTACGGCTTGGCGTAATTTCTATCTGTCTATTAACCTTTGCAGAATTAAATTCAGAGGTGGTAGGCTGTATAGCTTGTGATGGTCCCATGTGTGAGCTTGTTGATGGGCGTTTACTTGGTGTATCAATGAGAACCTCTACAATCTTCCGTTTCCTCGGAGAACTTTGTGAATCAGGTAAAGAAGTGAGCGGGCTGGATGGTGGTACACTATCCATGCGCAACCGGTCTGGGTTTGATGCTTGTTTGATTGGCGTCGAAGGGCGCGAGTCCATCCGCGCATTTCTCTGCTGAACAGCTTTTGGGAGCTCCTTGACCTGGTCATTCAAGAAATTATTGAAAAATCGTGCTGAATCCGTCGAGTTGCTCTGGGAAGCCGGTAGTTGCTTCTTGCTTTCACTGGACGTTCGACGGTTGGTTGTCGGAGACCCAAGAGCATTCGCTAACGAGGACGACGCTGATGAGAAATTCATGGGAACTTGGGCAGGAGGCGGGGTTGGGTACACGTTATATGGAACCGCGTGTTGCATGACAGATTGTGCAAATGGAGCTGGCTGATAAGAGGAATATGCAGATGATTCGTTCCAATGGGAAGGTGGACATGGATAATAACTGCGGATTCTTAGACATTCCTCATCAATCGAAGGAATTGGATGGGCTAACTCACCTCGTTGAAGACTGGTCTTCCATTAACCGAAACGCATCACTCCGAGTTGCATCCCAATAAGTCCGCTCAGGACCGGTGTGAGGTACGTTCATCGCCGAAAGCTGCGCAAACTCGCTCTGGTACATTGGTGCATTTCCATAGTTTGATGGTGTCGAGTAATACGCTGGCTGAATGTACGACGGTGGTGCAGCGGTAATAGACAAGTTACTTAAGTGGCGAGCCACTGTAATATTGCACATCGTATAAGTAGGTTGAACATAAGTAAGCCTACTATGCGAGCCGCGAAATGTACGAACCATGAGTAGTGGGCGTTGCAGACGCGAATGGATACACGCCGAGTAACTGCTGAGTCTGATGAAACTGGCCACCCTTATGGGTGGCTCTAGAATCAATACTCTGGTGATCAGACATATCGCGTTTCTGGTTGTACATGGTCCGCTGAAAGAAATTTACAGAGAGTGCTAGTGTGCCATCGTAGAAGGCGGAGAGGAAAGAGCAGTGCGACACGTATCCAAAATTGGATATATGATCGTCGTCACTTTCCCGACACCTGCAGCCAATTCAATCGATATACTAACTGATATTTGAATGCTTGTAATAATGTCTCATTATTATAAACCTTGCATTATTTTTTTAGTATTCGTCCAATACCGGATATTTGAATCGGTACATCAGAAGTACCTTTCCTTATAGTATTATTTAGTGCAAGATAATGTCATACAACATTTGATGATAAATAAATCAGCCAGTATGAGTAGATATCACTCGACATCCAGGAGAAAATAGAACATTATGAGGATTATGAGACGGACATTAGTGAATATACAACATAGGGGGAAAGCAACATTTGCAGCATAATCATCTAAGATCAAGATGCGATGCTTTGAAGTGATAAGTGAGGTATTCTTGCCACATCACTAGTTAGACTTCTACCCTGTTCCTCTCCGTTTCAGCCATGGATGACGCATCTGCATCCGTCTCGATGTATTGTGTTATCTCGACTTCGAGAGATTTCAGCTCGTATCCTAAGTTTGCACGACACACTCGAATACCACTATGATTTTCTTGACTGGAAGGCTCGAGCCTCATACCTTGCTGTACAGTAGTGCTGATAGCTGGTAAGCGACTGTCGGACGCAAATCCGACTCTGACAATGATCATGTTGAAGACGATTGATATTATAGGCGAGATCTAGTAAACAGCTTCAGCAATGGTCAAGGTGTGAGGCTTTTATGGTCAACCTACCATATACAAGAGGACGTAGACTCCCGGAGATGCGGTAGCGAATGTGATCAATGCTGCTGTGATGGTCATGGAGTATATTGCCCCAGATTCAATGACAATGCGGAGGACCGACGCTAGGCGACCCTGGGACCTGTATCCGGAAGCTTTGCGATTTACTCGCCAAATACGAAATGCGAGGAGGGCTGGTTAAAGTCAATACATTAACCCCAAACACTACCTCGACAGGGCATGTAATACCATAGGAAATTACAGACCTGTTGCAGAGAGATTTGTAGCTAGCGTCAATGCGTACCAAACGGTGATCCATTGACCTGTCGGTCTAGCAAACATATTGTTTTTATGTTCCACAGCATTAGCGAATGCGACGTTTAGGCAAATACACGTCACTGGTAATAGTACGTTAGAGATATCCTTGTTGCTAAATGCTGCGAGTCTAAACATACCGACCAAGGCAAGCCACCCTAGGGCTGGAACAATAATGATGTAAAAATTCTTCCAGACAACGTACGTCCGATAGATCTGTAACGAAACAATAGGATATCAGAGTTATAAAGGCTTTATCTTGGACGTAACACATAACAACACCATCCAGAATTAGTGTCTGAATATTGTATAGCCAACTCATGGCGATCCAGGTTGTCTGTGTCACGTCCTGAAAGAATTGCTCTGGTCCACGAGGTAAGAAGGGGCCAATACTGAGAAAGGCTTGACAGATGCGAATAATGTTCACTATGAGCTCCTGAGAATAGATTAGATCAATACAAGCTCTGCACCCCATTTGGTGGAGTGACAACTGTGTACCATTGTAGCCAAAGTTTGCAGTGTGCAGGCTGAGATTATCATAAGATAGTTCACGCGCCGTCTCTGTCGATTTCGAAGAAGAATCCACATGGTAAGCATGAACATCAGAAACGAAAATCCTACGCAATGTCCATAAGCTTCTATGTTGACAGCAAGACCCACGTACCGTAAAGGATGGCCTCCATGGAGGTGGAAATGATGCTGGCCTCTACCAAAGTTAGCATGACGGACGTAGAACCAGCGGGGCTATTGGCTATACAGAAGCACGCTTATGCCCCACTGTAAGTGCGTGATTCCTTGGGCCCTTTATACAATCCTAATAGCGCTCTTCAACAAATGATCAATATGTGAACATCAAGAGCGTTGGTTCCATGTTTTAATCCGATGAGGATTTGAATGCTCATAGGGCTGCAATGTACATTTGAGGGTATTCTTGTACCATATTGCATATTGACAAAGAGACTAGAGGTTCGATTGATGAATCGCATGATACGCCGCCTTGGTGAATCCTGATCGGTCGATGATCATCGAGTAGCAACATTCGGGCTGTCACATATGAGCAAAATACAGAGATATCCTTTAATCCGATGGTGTAAAAAGTACTCACAGAACTAGAAAACATTCCAAGTTGGAAAGTACCGCTTGTCATTACTATGCTAGCGCACCGTAGAATGCTGCTATTTGTTCAGTGCCTGGAGTATGTTTACGCAGTGTGTGTGTGCTCCCGTCTGACAGCAGATGGGATGGGGCATCAAGAATCTTGGGTCTCTCTGGCGTCTTGATGCCAGTTAGACGCTGTTAAAATCAGACAAATACCTGTGTTTAGTATGGTGTCCATATCATGCATCGCTTACCACTGTCCGCGAAAGTCTTCTTCTGACATCTTAACACTGATGACCCGCGCCGCATGCAGCATAAAGGCGAGTTACCAATTCACAGACAAACTCTACTGATAGTGCAAGAACCATACTATCCAGACTACGAGCCCGCTGGCTGTATGCTAACGAGCGGCTCGTTTCCGATGAAGTCCTGTAATACGGAAGTAGATTTAGGCCCTGAAGCCTCTTTTGCAGTCTTACTCGACTTCTTAGTGGCCTGCGGTTTCTCTTCTTGCGTCCACGTCAGAAGGTCTACTCAGGCAGAAAGAGAATTGAGCATTTATCAAGTGATTTTAGAAACGAGGAATGTACCTTCCAAGAAGAAGAACTCGTCAGCCCTCTCCACGACAACGGCTAGTGTATTAACAAATGAGACTGGACTGAAGGATCACACCAAGCTTATTTTCCCTTGGCTTACCGAGATCCTTTCTCTGCACTATAGTCCTATGATCACGCTCGGCCTGTCGCTGGGATGCAGCCGCTATTCGCTTTATGAACTCTTCCTAGAAGATACTGATATGAGGCTTCTTGCAATGTACTTGCACCTTTCCGGCCATGACGAACAGTAGCAATTGAAATGGCAAATACTGCTTCTTTCGCAACAATAGGGAGTTCCTGGACACGTAGAGTTGCAGGAATGATGAAGGCTATTAATCAGACTGCGATACGTACTTTATCTGCTTTGATTATTCTCTGCACCCTGGATACGGGCAGCAAGCTTCGACCTTCTTCACGTAACACAAAGTTTTCGCGCTTTGAGGGCTGCACATGAACATTTTCTTGCGCACTCGAAGCAGGGCCAGCATCTTGACTGTCTTGTTCCATGATATGATGGTAGTTCACAGCCACATATACTGAATTCAGGACTGGACCGTGGACGTGTACTACATCCGGGTGCACGTGATCGTCGTGCCAGATTGCGACCGCCAGGGAAAAGTCGAGTTGCCCTCTATACCACAGCACTTGCCAAAGTGCAGGTCACTCTTGGCGGTATGCAGACATGGGATTCTTTGCATCCCGAAAGGCCGAGACATCCCCATTACCAGTGAAGCATGAGAAGACTGGATTCACCGGCCACCCCGCCAAGTCGGTTGCTCAGCTGCTTCGAAATCGTCTGGTGAGCCGTTTGCGCCTGTTATGTCCCAGTTTTATTCATTTCCGCGTGCTCCTTTCAGAACGGAAGGAAGGAACGTACTGCAAAGCTTGGTTCTTTGCATTCTACGGACTATACCCCATCTCTTGACTCTACCAGCGATATACCAATTCATGATCCGGACCATTCAAATCGCGTTTACGGGACTGGGGTCGAGGGTGTCATTTCTCAGAAAACGCGTCCGTCTGACACAAATAGGAAGTCCACAGATGCTGTCACGTATGTTCCTATGATACTTGTCTATTCGAAGCTCTTTTTACCTGCTTTATACAATGTAAAGATTGACATTGGCCCATAAGCTCAATGAACTTGCCGCAGCGAATGCCGATGGCTTTTTGAGGTGGGTGACTATTTCCCCTACCTCTCGCTTCTTGAAAAGAATTTATGTGCCTTCGTCAGTGACGATGATTATCGCGTTCTGAGGCAAAACTTATTTAAGAGCTTTGTTGCCGTTTCCGAGCCTCCAACAGAAGTTCCAATTGTAAAATCGGTTGAGCCGGTCCCGTTTCGTAGGCAATCAACCCATTTTTTGTTGTTGTAACTCACTGGATTCTAGGGTTTCCTCCTGCGTCGCATGGTGACTACGCTGCGTCAACCACAACGCGTCTTACCCGTGCACCATCCATGCGTACGACAGCTTCAAATACTTCCACCATCTCAACCTTATTTCAACGTGTCTTGAGGCGATCGTCTGAGACACGTAGCGTGAGGGACCAAGATCAGATGTCGATAGCTTCTTCGTCGCGACCTGCGCCTATCTCTCCCTCGATGATCTCAGTTGCCCGAGGATTGAGCCGCCAGGTATCAAATAGTTCTCTAAAATCTGATGTCTCCCGAAATATGACATCGGACATCCGATCCATGTCTTCGAAGCTCTCGGTACGAAGTATAGGGACAACTTCGGATGCAGGGGGTATGACGCGAAGAAGCACGAGAAGCCTACGAAGTTGCATGCCACCTCCTTCGTCGTTTAATGCGAGGCACATGGCTTCCCCTCTTTCACTTTCAGATGGAAATGAGGATCGGTTACGACCTGCAGAGGATATTCGGGCCGAGATTCGAGCTACTGAAGCAGAGGAACAAAGCGTGCTAGCAGCTTTATCGATATTGGCGCAACAACCTTTCAATCCAGCCATGCCTAGCTTCATCCATGCGCTCGATTCTCGTCCTGGCTGGCCTCCACCTGTGCCACCGAAAAAATCGAGTCCCAATACGGGGCAATCCACTTCGCCCCTTGGGACATCCCCAGCAAGCCAAGGTTTGACTACTGCTTGACCCAGTCCCTATCTTGTCTCTAACTTTTTTACCTAGACTCGACAGAGCTTGATTCGTCTGAATATCCTGTGGAGACGCAACTTGCCGAAATAGAACGGCGAAGAGCGGAAATCACTGTGCGCTATCAGCAACGTCTTGATTACCTGAGGGCTCGGCTGAAGGGAGCCGAGATACATGAGCGACTTCTGCGCAAGTAGCTTGATTGTTACTATCGCGTGGCTGAGGATCGGGAATTGTTATTAAAAGGAATATGCATCGTGTACATATATCCATTGGAGCAGTGCTTTCGATAGTTCTCATATGTCATTCTTCGTTCTTTAGATCACGAGTTAAATTGATATTATCAATAATGTCCAGTTTGCACCACTTTTTTTTGGTTTTGGATGAAGGTAAGCGAACAACGGCCTGTAAAAGAAGGCGAGACGTGTATTTTCTTTACCGTACCTTGCGGCACTCTTGTGGTTTTCTGGATAAATAAAGTTCGTACCTTGAGCTATATGAAATATATACTCCGCCAAGCCATGTCTGTCAAGGCTGACCTTTCCACTTCACTCCCAACATACTCTGAGTGTAATGCCTTAGCTATTGTGTTATATCAATTATTGATAATACATTCAACCAATGTCTTTTGACGTCACAATAGTACATTGCTAACTGCTCTAATAAAGGCTGAAAGGGCTGTGTTTTAAATGAAGACTCTTCTACACTTGGTTTTCATGCGGTACTTTCAAGCAAACAAGAATTCGGATTTCAAGCTCCGACTGAAATAAACAATCATCACGCGACGCGTCGCGTCGCGTTGTATTACTCGTAAAGTGCCTTGACCTAAACGCGTCAGAACTTTGAAATTGGGCAAACAGAGGTATGTCTTTTGTGGAATGTGTCAAGTATGACAAAATGCTATCCTACAATAGAAACACTAGCGGTGCAACCCAGATCTTTCATTTGCGCATGTCCGAAGATATTCTGTTGGCAATACCCGAGGAGTTCCGGGCCTTCCCTTACAATGCACCATATAAAATCCAAATCGATTTAATGCAGCATCTCTACGAGGCAATTGAACGGCGAAAATTAGCAGTTGTTGAAAGTCCTACAGGCACAGTATGACAGTTCTTTCGTCTAGCTCATTAACAGACAAAAGTGTTTAATTATCCTTGACAGGGTAAAACACTAAGCCTGTTGACAAGCTCCCTTACTTGGCTGCATGACCACAAGGACCGTAAAAAGAGGATAACGCTGGAAAGCTTGCGCGGCTCCCTGGACTCTGCGGATGGTGAGCAGTGGGTTTGTCCCCAGCGGGCCACGTCTCATGTGTCAAGTAGACCCAGACTGGGTCATTACGCAGACCCTTGACCGCATGAAAGCAAAGATTGAAGAAGAGGAACGTGCCTTCGAGGAGCACCTTGCAAAACTTCGATACGAAGAGCAGATAATGAGAAAAGGGAGCGCCCGAGTGACAAAACGACCTGTGCGTGAGTTGAACTTAATTTTACCGATAAAACCCAACGATTATCTGAATTTCGCGACAGAGATTAATGGATCGTGATGCAAGCCCCGTAGCGGGTTATGACGATGATATCTTCCTTCCCGAAGACCAAGATACTAGCACGCACCGTATAGATGTGAACCCAATACTGGACTTACAAGATTCCAAGTTCGTCTCAGCGGTCCATTGTGATTGTATTCGCTATTATTCATTTATTTTCAGACAGACTGTATCGCCGGCCTCAAGCACGAAGGTGTGCAATGTCTAATGAACACTCAGTGTAACATCCCGACTTGTTATCCTAGGTTTTCTTCGCTTCTCGAACTCACTCACAACTGTCGCAAGTAATACACGAACTAGAAAAGTTAAAACCCGATGGTTTCAATCGTGAGATCGAGGAGGACAGTCGCATTTCTCCAAGAAATGGCAATGGATCATCATCTCCCCTTCCGCGTAGCGTGTCTCTGGCTTCTCGTACCCATCTATGCATAAACGAGAAGCTCCGTGCCAGAACCGCTGATCTGGATGAGGGTTGTCGCGAATTACTTCAAGGTACGTTGCATTCCCAATTACGTACTATTTTAAAGTAGTACTTACAGTTCTATACAAATACTAGGCCGTCAAGAAGATCGCTGTCCCTATCTACCCCAGCTTGGTGAAGAAGATCGTTTGCATGACATCCGCGACAGGATACTGGTACGTACCCTATCAAGTGTAGCCTTGTGTTCTCCTGAACACAAACTTTTCCAGGCTTCCCCCAAAGATATCGAAGACTTAGTCTCTACAGGCAAGGAACTAAGACTTTGCCCATACTTCGGCTCTCGTTCAGCCGTCTCATCTGCAGAGGTGAGAACATATCTTACAAGAGACGTTGTGGAGAGTGTACGCTTACTAACGATTCGTCTTTCTGTTCAATACGGGAAGCTCGTCACACTTCCTTACAACCTCCTATTACACAGCCGTTCTCGTCAGGCTCTCGAGATAGATCTAACTGATCAGGTCGTCATCGTCGACGAAGCCCATAGTACTTTACCCCTTCATTGACGCATAATGGGGTCTGATATAGAACCTTTCTAGATCTAATCGAGACGCTCTTGCAATTGCATACAGTTGAGCTATCGACTAGCTTACTACGACGCGCGATCCAACAATTAGCAAAATACTTTAGTCGATTCCGTACACGGCTTACTACTAATCACGCTGTCCATCTAAAACGGCTTTTGCTTTTCCTACGAGCATTGGAGAATTTTGCAGGAAGCTGCTCCAACAAGACACCCTCAGTGCCGGAGCATGAAGTCGTCATGTCCGTATCCGCCTTCGTAGACAACATGGGAAGCAAAGTCAACGATATCAACTTCCTTGAACTGCATTCCTACCTCACCACAAGCAAGGTATGCCAGATAAGTCGAATATTACAAGCTCCGTATTGTAACTCCTCCTTTTAGATAGCTCACAAGGTCAGTAGGTACTCAGAAGAAGGCGAGGTTGGCACCGAAGGTCAGAAATAGGCATAATCGGTAAGGACTGAAACTAACTGGTAGAACCTACAGTCCAAAAGGAACGAGTTTCAGGCTCTGTACTTCCCGTACATGTCGTCGAAGCATTCATCGCAAGCCTTGCAAACAATGCCGAAGGTACAAATGATACTGCAACGCTTCACCGTCAACTCACGTACTAACTATGTTGCAGATGGGATCATTACAGTCTTCGCGGACAAATCATCACCAGACGAGAAACGAATTCGTTACCAACACCTAAATCCAGCTACACATTTCGACGAAATAGTTCAAAACGCGCGTTGCGTGATCCTAGCTGGAGGTACTATGTCTCCCGTCAGTACAACTTCCTCGTAATCGTGTCCTTTTGTACGTGTATGCACCAGCTACATCCTAACTTTTGTTTAGATCCCTGACGTGACTTTGCAACTGTTCCCAACAATTCCAGAGGATCGGTTATCCGTTTTCTCATGCGGACATGTCATCCCTCACGAGAACCTCAAATGCGTCGTCCTAGGCAAAGGTCCCTTAGGGAGAGATCTCGAGTTCAAGTACAAAGCCCGAGACGATCAATCACTTGTCAGTTTCTCAATCAATGACGTGGGTTGCCCATACTCACCAACTGTTGTAACGAAAGACGGACGAGCTCGGACAATGCTTATCTAACTTGGTCTCTGTGCGTAACCAGTCAGCACTTACACAACACACGCATTTGCTCACTATCTGGTCTAATTGTGCACGTAAATCAGATTAGCCCGAACGGCATCGTCGTTTTCTTCCCTTCATACACCTTCCTTGACAGAGTGAAGAGTCGGTGGACCTCTAACGGCATCCTAGACAGAATTCAAAAGAAGAAACAAGTCAGCCTTCTCGATCTTGTCATTTCATCTAGCCAACTGAAAAAATTCATTCAGGTCTTCTTCGAACCACACGAAAGCAGCGAAGTCGAAAACGTCCTACGCGACTACAGCATCGCATGTACCCAGGTAGTCAACCACTATTTTCTTCCACACCATCTCACTAACGTAGCTCTAGACAACCGGACCGACCAAAGGCGCTCTCCTACTCGCAGTAGTCGGCGCAAAACTCTCCGAAGGACTTAACTTCGCCGACGAACTAGCTCGAGCAGTCGTACTCGTCGGGATTCCATACCCTAACCTGGGTTCCCCTGAATTACGAGAACGAATGAAGTACCTTGACAAAAAGATGGTTGGCAGAGGGAACAACACCGGTAGAGCAGGCAACGAGTTATATGAAAACCTTGCGATGAGGGCCGTCAACCAAAGCATAGGTGCGAACCAGAAAGAGCTCTCAAGCTGTTGTAATAGATTTTGACAATAAACCTTTCAAATACCAGGTCGTGCAATCCGACATCAAAACGACTGGGCAGCCCTCATCCTCATCGACAACAGATACAAATCTCAAAAAGTCCAACAAAAGTTACCCGGTTGGATACGTCAGAACATCACAACACCTCAGTCATTCGGACAGGCAGTCAAAGAGCTTGGCGAATTTTACAGAGCAAAGCGCACTAGTAGATAAATAGAAGTTCTCTGCTATATTAAATGGCCTAATTAAATCAACTTGGGAATATGCGTGAGAACTGCGTGTGTGAACTACTACTAAAATTACGAAGAAGGGAATAACTAGCTAATTGAAAGCAGCGGCCAAGAACTGCTCAATCTCTTTGTAGTGAAGTTGCTAATGAAAGAAAATTCAGATGCGTCCAGGTCAAGAAAGAAGCAGTAGGACTAACCTTGCTTCCGGTAGCAACAGAGCTAGTGGGCTCGCGTCCTGCATAGAGAGGATGCTTGCCCTTGTGGTGCACGGTCTCGTTAGCAGCAGTGAGGATTCGGGGTGCCACGTAGGTCCAGGCTCCGTTGTTAAGAGGTTCCTCCTGAAGAAGCAGCTTGTGTCAGTTTGAGTACTAGCATGCTAGTAAATGGGGACAAACCTGGCACCACAGAAGGTCAGCATTAGGATACTTGTCCAAGTGCGGTGTAATCTGAAACATCGATGAGCTTCGAGACTCGAATAAAATTTATCGATACTACTCACAAGATCGTAAGGGAAAGGTGAAATTTGTTCTAGACGGCTGATAGCAACGTCCTTGATACCCTTCTCTTGTCTCTCTTGAAGAAGGGTGTAGTATACTTGGCCTGCCAGAGGATCGCAATCAACGTTCTATCCACAATCTAACACGAGAACAACCTACCTGAGCAAAGAATGTGTCTACGGATGTCTTCGGGAGCAACAAGGTCTTCGCTTGCTTCTGGTAGGTATCTTTCGAAGTGCGTGTCATCGGTCATTTCCTTCAAGTCAGAGCGGGCCTTAGGATGTCTGAGGAGTGATTTCGAGAAGAAAAGGATGAGCTACAAATAAGACTATTTAGTAAGAGGCCATAACATAGAATTTCAACCTGAACCTACAGGTTTTCTGAAATCCCGCTTAATCTGACGTCGAAGTACATGGAACTACAAAATCAGTCTTCGTTAGTACAACACAAAGCGAGGAGGAATGAAGTATGTACGTAGTTCGCCGGGGTCCTAAGGCGAAGTAGTTAATACCATCAGTCAATCCACCACAAGCTATAATCGGGACTTACGACGGGTAAACGATTTGCATGTTGCAATCCTGGTGCTGTCTCTCTATTTTCTGCGCCGTCGGGAAGACATCGGGATGGTCATCACAAAGCTGAAGGAAACGTTCAATTCGTCCACTCGAATGCTCAGGTCCTTGGCCATCATATCCATGCGGTAAACTCATAACCAGGCCAGTTCGCTGGAGCCACTTCCTTTCACCAGACGCAATGTACTGATCAATAATACATTGAGCGTTGTTGGCAAAGTCACCAAACTGAGCCTCCCAAATCGTCAGGTTGTCGGGTGAAACAAGTGAGTATCCGAGCTCAAAGCCCAGGGCTCCGAATTCAGACAGTGACGAGTTGCAGACAACGAAGCGAGCTTGATTAGAGCCGAGGTTATTGAGTGGGACATACTGTTGCTCATTCTCTTGGTCATGGAGAACCGCGTGTCTCTGCGAAAACGTTCCACGCTCGACATCCTGTCCCGAAACACGAACATGTGTCTTTTCTAGAACCAATGAACCGAAAGCAAGGGCTTCAGCAGTCGCCCAATCGATGTTGGTACCCTCTTCAACAGTCTTCCCGCGATTTGATAGGATGCGAGCAAGATTTCTGTGCACAGTGAAACCTTCAGGATACGTAGAAATAGCTTTGCCAATACGTTTCAACAACTCTTCGGATGAACCTGTCGCGCGAGTTGGTAGAGTCTGTTCCGCAAGTTGCTTCGGTGAAGGGAACCCTTGCCAGGATGCAGAGAGCCATTCCTTGCTTGTAGGTGTGTAGTCTTTGGCGGCAGCCGCGGCCTTCTCGAGCATACCCCAAACCCATTCCTTATGTTCCGCGATATCTTTCTCCGTAAAAGTCCCGCGATCGATCAAGAACTTGGTGTATTTCGTCAAGGGTGTGGGTTGTCTTTGGATTGCCTTGTACATCCTTGGCTGAGTGAAACTAGGCTGATCTGTCTCATTATGGCCGTAACGTCGGTAGCAGACGATGTCAAGGACGACGTCCTTCTTGTATTTGGCACGATAATCGGCAGCGAGCTGACAGACGAAAGTCACTGCTTCAACATTGTCACCGTTCACATGGAATATGGGCGCGTCAATGCACTTGGCAATATCCGAAGGATAAGCGGTCGAGCGCGCGAAGCGTGGGTCGGTCGTGAAGCCAATTTGATTGTTAATAATCAAATGAATTGTGCCGCCGGTACCATAACAAGGAAGGTTTTGGAAGCCCATCGTCTCGTAGACAACGCCTTGACCTGCAAATGCCGCATCACCATGAAGCAAGACACCCATCGCCGTAGTATGGTTTATTTCGTCGTGTTCAAAGTGCTGGATCGCTCGAGTCTTGCCCAATACCACAGGATCACTAGCCTCCAGGTGAGAAGGGTTCGCTACCAACGATAACGAAACCTTCTTTCCAGACGGTGTTGGCCTAACATAGTTCGCGCCAAGGTGGTACTTTACATCTCCAGCTGGCCAATCGTCGGGATCGGCAGTTCCAGAGAATTCATTCAAGATAGCTTCGATTGGTTTTCGAATGACATTCGCCAGGACATTCAGCCTACCACGGTGAGGCATCCCAAGGGTGACGTGCTTGACGCCATGTTCGACTGAGCGGTCGATTAAAGCCTTCATTCCCGGAATGAGAGCTTCACACCCTTCCAGTCCAAATCGCTTCTCGTTCGGATATTTACTAGCGATAAATTTCTCGAACGACTCAGACCACATAAGACGGTCCAGGATCATACGCTTCTCGTCCACAGTGTAGTTCCAAGGTTTTGGAATTTCCACGCGTTCTCGAATCCAGTCACACTGGTCTTTATCAGGAATATGGACATATTGAATTCCAACAGCACCGCCTAAAATTTTTGAAGGTATAAAAAACTCTTGAAAAATACACAAACGAATGAAGCGTACAATATATCCTCTGGCAAAGTCTGATAATTTCCCTGAGGGACATTGTCTTCCGGTCTTCGGTGGCAAAGTGCGGAAGAATACCCGGGCCTAATGCTATTTGTTTATCAAGATCGGCCTCGGTGAATCCATACTGGCTCAGCTCTAATTCTGGAGGTCTAACGTCGGCTAGGTCTGCATCCAGGATGCCTAAAGGGTCAAGATCTGCAACATGATGTCCACGAACTTGGTACGCTCGCACGAGCAATTGGACCTAATCAAGAAACAAGGAAATAAGCAAGTGCCTCCGAGTGTTTATTATGCACTGCAGATACATACCTTGAGATGGTCATCTAATTTTGCACCTCCGCTGGCATTTAGAGTAGGGGCTCCGCCAACGGGTTGCGGAAGGAAGGTGGGAGGAGGTTGGAAGGCCTCATGGCTCGGGAGGCCCTTGTCCATGCCGGAGAAATAAGCATCCCAAGAGGCATGAACTGACTTGGGATCCTGCCGCCAATGACGGTACATCTCATCGACGTAGTATGCGTTGGTGCCATTGGCAAACGCGTCATTAGGAGAAGGCGGGGCGGCCGTGGCCAGGTACCGCGCTGAACGGAGTGTCGGACCGCGGCGACAGGCCAAGCTGCGGAGGACCTGCCTGCGCAACATTGCAGTTGACGAGGACAACTACGATGAGCTGGTGATGGTTTTGTGTGAGGAGAGTGGTGGTGACGGACAGCGCGTCAGAGGCAGGGCCAATGATGTAGGCTGTAGGGCCAGAAAGCCGAAAACAGTCGCCGAAATTCCCGCGTCTGCTTATGTCATTCCAATCTCGTAGTCCGTCAGTTACTTTTAGCCATTTGTTCTCCCGGCTCTCGGGAGGCCTTTTGGCCCGTCGAGGTTTATTTTCACTAGTTTCACTCCATTTTGAGCTCTTTACTTCTTGGCGGAGGGTCGTTATGCGCAGGCTCTTATTTGCCTCCGTATTGCCTCGATACACTCCTATCGCATCTATTGCGCTTAGCCTGAAGAGGCGACTCGTACACGTGCGCACACTTTCATCTGCGTCTGGAGAGGGAATCACTCCGCCTCTCAAAGGTGTCCGGATTCTTGACCTTACAAGAGTTCTCGCCGGTCCAACATGTACAATGTTACTCGCAGATCTCGGAGCCGACGTCATCAAAGTCGAATCTGTTACGGGAGATGATACCAGTAAATATTATCCCGGTCACTCCGATGTGAATGCGAAGTACAAACTATTGACAAAGTCTTCATATCTTCAAGGATCTTGGTCGCCCCCGTCAGCACCTTTGTCCGACAGTGCTCCGGCTGAATCTGCCCACCTCCCGTCTGAATCTACATATTTCTTGGCAATAAATAGAAACAAGCGTTCTTTAACTGTAGACTTCAAGACGAAAGAGGGTCTCCAAATCCTGCACAAACTTGTCAGTCGTTCCGATATTCTTGTAGAGAACTTCATCCCGGGTCGATTATCGGCCTTAGGTCTAGGCTGGGAAGACTGCAGCAGTATAAACCCGAAACTCGTCTATGCGTCTATTTCTGGTATTTCGGATTCTCTCTTGGGCCAATTTCCTTTCAATGTTTACAACAAACATATGTTCAGGTTATGGTCAAGATGGTCCATACAAAACATATCCAGGCTACGATGTCATCATTGAAGCTGAGGCTGGACTAATGCACATGTTAGTTTTCACAGAGCTTTTCTACGTCTATCCTGCTCATCCTTCGTATCTGCATGTCGCAATTATCACTGCTAGAACAGGTGAAGCTGGACGCCAGCCGTGCAAAGTCGGTGTCGCTGCTACTGATATAGCTACTGGTGAATACACAAATTCGGACTCTTGGCCTTTCCTTATATTTATAATTACTAACACATACAATAGGTCTATATGCCCATGGTGCAATAATGGCTGCCCTTATTTCCAAAGAGAAAACAGGAAAAGGCGTCTGGATAGACTGCAATTTATTCGAGTCTCAGGTAATCCTCTTTTTCGGAGTATCTCGACTCGGTACTCATCCCCTAGAAAGATTGCTGGATTAGCCAACATCGCATCAAACTACCTCATCGCAGGCCAGGAAGCTTCTCGCCATGGTACCGCACATCCATCTGTAGCTCCCTACGAAGTTTTCGAGTGTAAAGATGGGTTCATCATGTTTGGTGCTGGGAACAATAAACAGGTGTGTGATTCCGATTTTCTACCCAGTATTATGAATAGCTCTTAATAATAATTTCTTTTGTAAGTTCGCTATCCTGGCGGACAAGATCCTAGGCAATCCCGATATCGCAAATGACCCTCGATTTGCTACGAATGCTAGCAGAGTGGCGAACAGAGCTGAACTGAAAGAGTTAATCACGAACGTTCTTGTTACGCAAGACCGGGATTATTGGCTTGCGAAATTTACTGGAACCGGGTATGTATCTTTCCTTTTCTTAAGGATTTTATTCAACTCTAATAACGGTCCTCGACGACTGTCGAATGTTGAACGTTAATGGTTTTTAGCATTCCTTTTGGACCGATTAACAATATACAACAAACGTTCGAGCATCCTCAAGCGAAGGCACGCGGGGTGGTCGTAGACGTCGAAGTACGTTGTTCGATTATTGTCTTTATAAGTTCCTACTCCTTACTTAAATGCTCAATGTTGCATAGCACCCTCGAGCAGGAAACATTAAACTCGTTGCACCCGCAGTGAGATACAATGGTAAGCGAATGCCAGTTACTCGTCCGCCACCATGGTTGTCCCAGCACACTTCTGAGGTAAGGGGTTCGCAATACTTTCTCTGAGGTCCGGGGCATAACTTCCGATGGTGTATATTATAGATTCTTGAGGAACTCGGTTATTCAGAGAAAGAAATTCATGACCTCCGTTCCAAACACGTTGTATAGTTTAAACAAATTCAATCAATCGCTTTGCAAGAAGAAACTTTATCTATCTCTAGTGGTGAAATGACGCTATAACCAACCGAAATAATCTCTAATATTGAGTAACTTCCGTCCCCAGCCCCATCTCCACCGCCTTATTCAAAACCGCAACCGCAACCGCAGTATCCTGTAATCCAACACCAACAGACTTGAAAATCGTAACATCTCCGAAACACCGCACCATCTGAGCAGTACCCTTGATAGGTTTTCCATCATGTTCGACAATCGCTCCGACCTCCACCAAATCGTCTAAAGTTAACCCTGCTTTGATTAGTTCCCCTGCCTCGACGGAACATGCTTCTTTTGAATCTACTAAGACTTTTCCAGTTCGTTTGATTAGGTCTGTGTCGACTTCTATCATGGAGGGCTTGTAGCTTCCGACGAGGTTTATGTGTGTTCCTTTTTTGACCCAGTGGGATTTGAAGAGAGGTTTCGTACTCGAGGTAGCAGTGCATATGATATCGGCTTCAGAAACGACGTTTTCAAGGTTTTCTGATTCTAATTCCTCCGAGCTGAAAGTAACATGAGGAAATCGCGATCGAAGCTTCGCAAGAAGGGTCTCGAGTCGAGTGTTCAGTGACCGATTCACAATCGTACATCGATCCAGAGAAGGGAAAACGCGAATGAGCAGATCTACATGAGCTTCGATCTGTCGTCCTGCGCCGAAGGCTACTAAGACTTTGGGATCCGACGGACCGAGTAGGCGAGTCGCAAGTGCAGAACCTAATGACGTACATAATCCACTATGAGCACATCGATAACCAAACGTAAGATTATGATTATGTTAATTACCTGCAGCAGTTCGCAAAGCAGTGAGACTAGTAGCGTTAATTACCGCTTTAACAGCACCAGATTGTTGATCCAAGACCAAAGTCGTCGCGTGAATTCCTCTTTCTCCAGTCGTAGGGACAGAAACTGTCTTTATTGTCGTACCGAATTGATCTATTCGCGCAGGCATGAACAGTGTGGTGTGTTTATTCGTCGTAATTGAAGTCCGTAGGGGTAATTGGATGCATCTGAGTTGACAGTTCAAATGTTCGAAGACGAGAGCCATGAGCACCATGAGTTCATCTGGTGTAAGCGCAGACGAAGCGGTGGATACATCTTCTTCTGAAAGGACTAGTAAAGGCATCTATGTCTCAGAGAATCACAAGTAGTGTTTTACTGATTCGGTCCCGGTGTGTATGGTTGTGCAATCTGCTTTAATTAATTATTGAATAATTTATGGCGCCTAAGGCGTGCTCAAGGCAAATGCCGAAGATCGGATGTACGTCATGCATATAGCCAATGCTCCTTTATCAATAGTTCATCTCCTGTACGTGATATTTGCGCAACCTCTTGTATTAAAAAAAAAAAAAAGGATTTCTTATGGGCCTGGGTCTGTTCGCAGAGCGCCCGGAAAGCTGGCAAAAGCCTGTCTAAGGTAGTTACGCTGCATGCCGAGTTGATATGAATTGCATCCGTATTGTATACCGCAGTGTAGACTCCCTCACACGACCGTCTTAAGCATGAGTACGAGCAGTGCAGGATAATGGTAGTTCAAAGAGAGTTGAAGACTGTACGAATAAAATACAGAGACGGACCTAAATTGCGTCGCAATCGTACAATTCATAGTTTATGAGAACTTCTGCGCAGCACTTTCGTCATATATACTCCTGTCCGTTGTATCGTCGGACCACCGGAAGGCAGCGAGCCTCCTGGGTTTACCCAGGACAAGATAGCACGTATCTAACACTGTGGTTAGGCTGCCTACGTGCTGGTCGTTTGTCACCGATTAGGCACCGTCTTGGTCGACGCCATGCTCTTTGTACCAGTTCCTCAACCAACTTTCTGCATCGTCATATTCCGTTTTCACTTGTACAAGTAATCGTTCGATCCTGCTTAATGCTTCTTCGGGAGCGAGGTCCACGTTTGCTTCTTCGTCTCGTCGCTGACCGTAATGTTGCATGCGCTCACACGACGCTTGCACTTTGGCGACACCCAAAGCGGCGCTGGACCCTTTGAGGAAGTGGCCGAGAGAAGAGAGTTTCGAGAGGTCTTTCGCCGCACTGATAATATGACAAGATCACCATTAGGCGGCATCAGCACCGCGGAAAAACACGGAAGAGACGGTAGTGTATCATGACGTACAGAGCTTCTTTCATCTCCTTAAACGTCGTTGCGGCCTGGTCGAAATACGCCCAAGCCATGCCAGAGGAAAAATCGTGTGTCTCGTCCTCGTCGAGGTCAAGGATCTGGCGGAAGGTGTCCATGTCGATTATGCTGCCTGCGGAGGACGACTGGTCCGATTCTGCGGCTACCTCTGGCTGGAGCGCAGAGGGAAAGGATGGAAGTGTGAGCATCGACATTCGTGGACGAAAAGTTTAAGGCGTATGTCAAAAAGGAGAATGGTGCCGCAGGAGTTGGGCAGGAGGAGGCGAAGAACGGGAGCCAGTGCCCACGGCCGTGCGATGGCGAAGGAGATGTGGACCGGCTTGAGCCGCACAGACTCGAGATGGCACGGAGGGAAGGAACCTGAAAGAGACACATGAGGAAGCCATACCTGATCCGATGTTGACGCGGCTGAGCGCTCTTTTGCGCCGAGGGGCGACGAGGGGACACTGCGCTCGTTGGCGACGACCGCTGCGCCGGGACGAGGAGGGGACGACATTGTAGTGATGGAGGACAAGACGGGAGGGGGACAGGAGCCACGGAGAGCTTTGCTAGTGAGGGGTTGAGGATGAACTGATTATCTGGACTGGAGATGATCCCGCGTACAGAATGTAGCGGCTGCTGGGCTGGGCGACTGACTGCATTACAACACTCCACATTCGACGCTGCTACTGCTGACATCAGAGGTACTTCCAGTTGCCAGATCGACCCCTTCCAGGCCTCTTATGACTCTATCTACCACAAGTCTGATGTAAAAATTTTGGTGTCTAATTCACTACTACCGCCACTAACACTACGTCTTCCGCCTCTTTGCGACTCGCCCGCCATCCTCCCGTTCCGCGTCTCTTCGATTCTTTATCCCTGCAGCACGCATGTACTCCTTGCGTTTCTCCTTCCCCTTTTCACCCCGTTTCTCTTCCTCCTTCGCGGTCTTTTTCCGGTGTTCTGCTCTCCGCCCCTCCTTCTTCTCCCGGCGTCGTGCAACCTGGTCCTTGCGAAGCGCTCGCGCCTGCTGCAACAGTGCAATCGCCCGCTTTTCCTCCGGCTCCAGAACCACAGCGCGCTTCTGCATGTACGTCTGCCGGTGTTGTGCCTTCATCAATTTCGGCTTTGATGCGTATGGCAGTGCCGCTTGCAGCTTCTTGGTAATTTTAAGTGGGTTGAACCGCCGGCCCGTCCTTTCGACCTTCTTATATGACGAGTCCCGGTTCAATGGTGTCTTAGCCCCTTCGGCTCGTCTGACTTCACCGGTCAACCGCATACCTGCCCATTTGTCCTTTTCAGACAGTAGCAGTGACGTCACGGGATTATAGAACTTGCGAGGCTGCACAGCGTACCATGCGCGAAGAAAGACGAGGTCTGCCCCGCGGGGAATACGTTAGTGTTACAGAGAAATATACACCCAGTTAAGCGACTCACCACTCATGAGCACCTTGTCCTCAAAGGCGGCACGGAATGCGCCTTCTGGCTTTGCCAAGGCCTTTTTTATCTGACCACGGATGCCGGAAACCGTCTTGATGTTCGCCCCTTCAAACTTCGCGACTTCCAGAGCACTGTTGAACATGTTCTTAATGAACGCGGTATTCTTGAAGATTTTGAACGGCGCTCCAGTCAGCTTGAGCTTCTTGACAATTTTTGTAGTGCGATCTATGTCCAGCACGACTCCAGTTGCCGACACCCGGAAGCCACCAACATCACCAGACACAGTATTGAATGCGCAGAATCCAGTGTTTGGTAATGCTGCCGGCCCATAGAAGGCTGCGTAGCAGTGCATGTGTTCTGGTGTGTATTTGAGCATTCGCATTCGTATAGAATGATCATCCAAAGAATACACAGGAATGGTCTGGAACCGCCTCCAGCCTAGAGAGAAGATGAGCGGGTCATTCGTCTTTAAGGTTTTAGCATGCCAGCGATGCCGTTTGATTCGGACTTGAACGTAGCCAAAGCGTTCTTCCGCAGGAAGCAAGCCACCAACAATAATAGGGTAAGTGGGGTCGAAGTGTTCGACCATTTCGCAAGGCACGTTGTCTAGCTCAACACGGACATATGAACCCGGTCTACAGCCTTCGATGAGTATTCTAGCTTCGGCATCAACGCTCTCTAGCTCCGCGCGATTTAAGTCGAGCTGACGTGCCATTTCGTCCTTCTTCTCGTCGTAGAAGTCCAATTTCTGGCTTTCCGGATCGTCGTATTGCTCATCGAATTTCCGCTTCAGGGCTTCCTTCTTGGCAGCCAAAGCGGATGCACGGGGATCAATGTCATTATCCACCCGTAAACCATTGTCTTGTGTTTCTTTCGTGCCCTGATTCTCAGGACTTTCGCCCTCCAGGTCCTCAAAATCACCAGTGTCTTCTTCGTATGCATCGTTGCCTGCATCAACATCGCCGACTGCTTGACTCCCTGTAATAAAGAGTCCCCTGAGAGAATCCAGCAGGTCTTCGTCCTTCCATTTTGCGAGGTCGGCTTCGTCATAAGCCTCCTTGGCCTTGTAATCCTTATCTTCCTCCGAGATGGCAGTCGCTTTCATTGTGAACAGCTCATCATCACTGCCGCTTTCACCCGACTTGTTGCGATCATCGGTATTGCCAGAAACAATGTCTTCAGGAGACATAGATGAAGAGTAAATCATTCTCATCCAGTCCATTCGTCTGTTTTTCCCCACGTGTCTATCGAATGCGTCTCGTGCTCGTGATTGTAGGTTCTCCTTCCAGCGTGGTGTGTTGAGCTGACCCTCTTCCTGAGAAGCGTCTCCGTCATCATCCTCACTGACGTCGATGTCCCCTTCATTGCCGTCACGCATGAGTCCATCTTCCTGTTCACCTTCCGGCGCACTTAGATCAAGCTCGGAATCACTATCAGCGAAGTCGACTGCCGAGGTACCCTTCGACAAAGCTGACAAGTTCGCCAGTGAACGTTGTTGACTGCGAGGGTTCGCTCTTCCCCGGTCGCCGATAGTCTTGCCATTAGAAGCTCCTTGCTCAAATTCGTCGTGGCCTTCAGTATCGCTGGCATTATCGCTGAGCATGTCTCCTTCAGACATCTCGGTGCCGTAACCCTCGTCATCCTCACTTTCTTCACCATCGAAGGAGCCTCCGCGTTCGCTTTCTTCCTCAGCGTCGCTCTCGATAGCGAGAGTTTTTGATGATGAACCCAATAAACGTATTTGACTTCTGGCAACTGCCTTGTCGAGAGTTTCATCGGCATCTTGAAGGTCAATGACCATCTTCTCGCCTTCTCCTCGTGTAACTAGATAGGAACGTCACGTTAATTTAACATGCTTTCAAAGCAATCAGTAACAAACTGACCTTCAGCATTATCGCGAGAAAAATTCCCCGGTACATTGATATAAACCGCATCTTTGTCATACATAACCCCACCAACGTCGCTCATTGGAGCATGTACGAGCAGTTTCTTCTTTTCACTGAGTTTTCTCCTTTTCTCCGAGTCGGCGTCAGGTAAGGGACAAGGGTCGTTTAAGACTGAAGCTGAACTTATGTCCAAGTCGCCGACACCTGGGATATGGACTTTTGTTCTCGGTCGCAGATTCGTTCCTCGTAAATAGCCGTACACGGTGACTTTCCGGTCACATTTGCCATCGGAAGTACGTACGTCTTCTCTAGGCGTCAAGTCTTCCAAACGATCGACTAAAATATATGGATGTTGATTTCGGAAGACAAGTGGTCTGAACTTCATGACCGAGATGAAGCGGGACAGATTCTGAATCTCCTTGTCGGGATAACGTCCGTTAAGAACTCCGGACAAGTAGAACAATTTCGCTCCTTGATATATTTCTGTCCAGAATCGCTTTTTGAGCATCTTCTTGGTGCTTTTTAGCGTTGCTTGCTTGCGTATGAGGTCAAGATGAGTTAGGACGCCGATGACTTTTGGGAAGCCGTGTGATTGTAGGATGTTGAGGAATTCGAATTGTTCCTTGATAAAATTGAAAAGAGGACATTATAAACGTGCTGAGAGAACAAGAGAACGTGGCATACCATCTCAAATCCGAAAGAGCCGTCTATCATGAGCAAGACAAGGTCGGCGACTTTACCAATATCAATCATGGAGTTTAAGTCGTTATTGCATTCGACAAACGTCAGACGTCGTTTCTTCCCACTGACGACAGTAACAGGACCCTTGATTTCAGAAAGCGATTGTTTCGTGTAGCGTCTTACGAGACTCTTTACTAGAGTAGACTTGCCAACACCAGGTGGACCGACAACAGCTACGATTACTGGAGGAGGGAAGTCATCTGGTGTACGGTTCACCAGGGGAACGTGCAGTCGTGCTTGGTCTCGTTCGACATTACGTCGGCCTTGACGTTCGGCTCTGCGGCCGGACTTTGGGGCAAACGCCTGTATGGAAGGAAAGCTGAGTAGGATGTTGCATTTGTGAAGTGGAAGAATTACGCACTTTCTCGTTGGTACCGTGGTGGGTTTCCTTGCCCTTCCCTTTCAACTTTTTCTTCTCTGCTTTCCCGCCTGATTGGGAAGGCCGATGGGCCTTGTGAGTTTGGTCCTCCATAGCACGCAGCTGAAAATGCGTTCAGTTAACGACCCCGACGGTCAGGTCAGAGTTGTCTGTGTAAACTTTTGAATTAGGAGTCTAGGACTCACAATTTGAGAATTTGGATCTGCATGGAATAATATCGTGAGAAACAGTTTCCGTGATGGTATGTCACGGACGCGAGACACGACAGCCCTGTCACAGGTCACTCTTCCGTCACGCGCTGGTTCGACTAGCATGCCACTCGAGTCCTGGTATAGCCACCATCCAACTCCTTGCTTAGCACTCTTCTTGTTTCTCGCGTTCCCTTCTCTCTCTGTTGTTTAAAAACTCATGCGCAACCGGAATCAAGGCGAAGATGATGGCGAAGACGACACTGCTATCCTTGACATGAGCATTGTCGGGGATGAAGAGGAGCAACATCGCATCGAGTTGGAAAACAACCTTCAGGAACTGAGCATCCAACTATCTCTGTCTAATCAGTCTCATCCTAGCGATCATGAGTACAGTGACGATAGGCGCAGCAGACAGTATAAACGGTCGGAGAGTAGTTTTGAACTGGAATATCCGCGTCATAATTCTCGACCTCGCGATGTCTCTATCTTCCATGGGCAAAATTCCTCTTTTCTTGAAAATACACAACTGGAGGCAGATTTTAATCCGAATTACTATTCAATCCACGATGTCGATGATGGTGCCGATGTACATTATATCGGAAACACCATGTCTACTCCGGCACATCATATGTCTGCTGTCACTCTTTCGGCGGGTCTGGGAGGCCGGGGCGATAAACGTGCTCACGTTGCGGAAGCAAGTCTCAGTGGCGCGGAGTACGATCCGGATAGGCCTCTGGATAGTGTCTTAGAAGGAGTGGCAAATGATTTGAGCATGCTGAACATGGACAACACGATAACCCGTAGAAAGCATCGGACTCGAGATGTATGTCTTATGTTCATCTGTGTCCTCGCTTGTTTATTTATTTTCGACTTGCAGGTACCTATCCCAGAAACACAAGCTGCTTACGATCCCCTCAGCGCTAATCCCGACAACTCTGCTATCGTACGTACAAAACGCATCGCGTCCAAGGCACGAAAGCCTCCACAAGCACACGACCGAGCAACATCTTCCCATTCTAACCGCGAGAGAACACCTAAAGCTAAGTCGAGAGACAAACGTTCACCTGTCGACGTGCAGCCACCGACGCCTTCCATTGGGGCAAATGCCACAGCAGGCAGTGGAACAACGAATGGGAGCAAGTTCACAAGATTGGCAAAAACACTGGCAAGGGAAATTGAAGCGAGCCAACGATGGGCGAACGTCCCTGAACTGGATGACGATTCACCAGTCAGGCCGACCCGGAAGAAGACAGATGTGCACCGCAGTCCTTTCCGAGATATTGTTAACCACTCGTTCTCCTTTGATGGTTCAGCATTCCCTCCAAAGACTAAAACGCGTACTGGACGCTCTAGTGCCAAAACTGCAAGTTCCCGCCCGAAGGATCAGACACGGTACACGCACTCGGATTCAAAACAGATCGTCCTACCTGATGTAACTGGCTTGACCAGTATTGTCGGTAGCCCGCCGAGAAAACTTCAAAGATGGCGGACATATTCTGGAGAGAGCATCAACGATGGCATGGAAGGTACGAATAACCTTACAAATTTCGGTGTTTCGTTATTTTTTGACTCTATTTTCAATATTTAGTCGCATTAACCAAAGCTTTAACCACGCTCCAAACACGCCTTAATCAACTGGAATCCCAGAATCTCGTATCGCGAAGACGAGTACGAGAGCTCGAATTTGAGCTAGAAAACTGCAAACTCGAGGTGAAAAAGGAACGTACTCGTGTATTAGAGAAGGAAGAGATTATTGTCGCCCAGCAGAAGGAATTTCAGAGACTTCGAAGTATGCAGGCAAAGCAAGCTCGGAGAGATCCCGATCCCGTGAGTGAAAGTCGATACAACGACGTAGTTGAAGAGAAGAAAGGTTCGTCGATGCCGCTTACAAGCTTTGAGATTTTGGCTGAACTTTCTTATAGCATTGGAGGCATTGGTATCAACTTTGCGCTCTCATCTGTCCCGCCTAACCGATGAACTCTCAAACCAACGAGCTCAGCTTGACGAACTACGATCTTTACGTGAGCATGATATTCAAGAGGTCCGCGAGAAACTTGCGGAGGTCGAGTCGCTAAACCTGGAGGTTGAGCGTCTTGGAGGGGAAGTTGAGATTCTCCGTGGTGTTGTCGAAGAGGGGTTGAACGAAAGGCGTAGGGCTAAACAAGCCATGGACTCCACGGTCAACTACGATGAATCGGCTTCTGGAGTCGCACATGAACGAGAAGCTACGGCTTCGTTCGCTGGCCAGAATGACGTCGTGAACGATTCTTCACATGTAGATTTTCCTTCGCCTCCCCCTTCCCGCCCTCAATCTCGTCAAGAATACCGAGCTTTTGGCAACAGAGCTCAGATGTCAAGTGCCCCTACGGCGGGCCCTGTCCGCTTCGATGCTCCAGCCGATGAGCTTTCAGTCGTAGAGGACGCTCGAGAAGAAGCCCGTGAACGGCCTGGGGAACAACGGGAAAAGACGTCCGCAATGCGTTATCGACAAGATATCGGCACATATCAGTCTCAAGCTGTACACGAGAACGGCCATCAGGATACCCGTCGAACACGATTCGCAGGCATTAGAGTAACGAAGGATGATGATAATCGGCGTGTGCGAAGAACGACTGACAACAACCCTATGCCCTCTGAACGTCTCGCTGGGACAATTCAATCCGAGAAGGAGAAGGCAGTTCAGACTGAGACTCCGTTTCCGCAGATCCGAGGGGAAAGACTGGAGCGATTATTCTTTTCTGCACCTGAGCACAACGAGAAGACTTGCCGAGTTTGCCATAGACACCGCCGTCCCGGCGCTTCGGATGACGAACTTGATTTTCCATCGTGGTTACCTCCGAGGAAGCGTTGTAGGACAGGAGACGAGGACGGGCGTCATCATTATGAAATTGATGGCCTCGCTGGAGTTTCCAGACACGCGCCGTTTTCTGAAGATAGGCTGCCTCCTCAAACAGTTCTTGTTCGTGTACTAGGGGAGTTGGAAGATGACTTCACTCATTACAAAGGGTAAGGCAGATCAAAATTGATATGCAATTAGCGCTAATTTACTAACGTGCCCTCAGAATATACATTGAACTGGCCGATCAGTACAAGATCATAGATGCTGCGTCAAATGTAGCGAAAAGAAATGTACTTGCTGAGCATCTTCGTGAGGTCATTGATACACTTGAGCAGAAGGTACGCCGCAATGTTCTGTCTGTTTGAATTTGTTTTGTGAGTTCTAATCGTATTTTCTGGGCAGGGTGACCAAATTGCATCGCTGTACGACCTTTTGGCTTTCAAAGATAAGCCGGTGTCAGAATCTGTTGTTCCTGACAGACCTCGTACTCGTCGCTCTCCACGTTCCCCTCGCTCCCCTCGGCGGTATGGAGCTAGGCAATCAGGGGGTTTAAGAAGATACGCGACTTGTGTGTAATAAATCCAACATTTCATTTTGTTCACACTACCTCAGGTGTTTTGGGTCTCTGCTTCGTCGGTACATTGCTTTTCAGCTTTAATAGTGCGACACCATCATTACTATCCATTCCAGTATAACTCCACTTTGACTTTTGGACTTCTGTAAATTGTTTTTCTCTAGACTTTCCTGCACTTCACTGTATCACTATGCAATATGCAATGTAGCTGCTTCTCGTTTGAAACTGAGCTGCTATATTTCGCCAGTGTATATTACATTATAACACATCCATTTGAGTTTGTATCTGGATTGCTGAGTCCCATACAAATAAATGAGAAACTGAAATCATGCCATTGGCGGCTGTGTGAACTTGTAAATATATACCAAGTTCCGAGGCGCGTCCAGACATCAGACGCGGTTGTGCACATGTTCACCCTTTCACTTCGACTGCGAGCACACTGCGCAGTTACACATTGCAGGTCCTTTACAAATACATCAATATTCTCGTTGTGCACGCGTAGTGCAAGCAGTCTTGTTACGTTGACTACGCTAACGCGACACAGACTTCCAGCTAGCATCATTCAAGTATCACACTTCTCAACTACAGGCATGTCGGCAAATAGTGCTGCGCAAACTGAAGACAGGGAAACCAAGAGAGCGCGTGTTGACTCCGCTAAGGTAAGAAACGACTGCAGGCTTTCGTACAAAAACATGCTGCTAAAGTCCCTTTGAACAGGTCATCGGCACACATAATGGTACATTTCACTGTGATGAGGCGCTCGCTTGCTTCTTGCTGAAGTTGACTTCCACGTACCGCGATGCCCGTACGTGTCAGAACTTCATTCACGTAAATAAGCGGATATTTAACAGTTATTGAACAATGAATAGGCGTCGTGAGGAGTCGCGATCCCAAAATCCTGGATGGATGTGATATCGTAGTAGACGTCGGAGGTGTTTACAACGACAGCAAGAAACGGTATGATCATCATCAGCGTGGGTTTGAAGATGTGTTTGGGCATGGATTCGTTACGAAGTTGTCTTCTGCTGGTCTTGTCTACAAGTATGTTGTCACTGACTGAGAAGGTGCTGGAAACTGTGCTGTGTTCTTATGTCATTTACTTCTTTCTCTAGGCATTACGGCAAGGAAATCATTGCTTCGAGGCTGAATGTTACTCCAGATAGCCCGGTAGTGGATTTGTTATGGTTGAAGATGTACAAGGTTTGTCATTTACAGACGCTTTCAATAGTTGATGACCTGTCTGATGATTAATTTACGTGCTAGGAATTCATTGAAGCCATTGACGGCATCGACAACGGCGTCACTCAATACCCAAAAGACTCACAAGCGGCTTACAGGAACCGAACTGACCTATCAAGTCGAGTCGCATGGCTAAATCCAGCGTGGAACGAATCTGCAGATACTACTCAAATGGACGTAAGTGCACACACCATTTTAAATTCAAATCACATCCATTTCTAAGTTCAAGGTGCTTGTTCTAGGCTCTGTTCGCGAAAGCTTCTAACATGACTGGAGAAGAGTTCCTCAACAGGCTCGATTATTATGCGAAATCGTGGATGCCGGCTCGAGATATTGTTGTAGCCGCACTGTCTAACCGTATGACGGTGCATTCCAGTGGGCGGATTGTCGTTTTCGACCAATTTGCACCATGGAAGGTAAGCTCCATCCACCACCTAATATCCGAAGAGTACATGTTTTACTCAATACCTCATTTGAACTTCTAGGAGCACTTGTTCGATATCGAAGAAGAACAAAACATCCCTGACACCGAAAAACCATTCTACATCTTATATCCCGACGAGACGGCGTCAAATTGGAGGATACAAGCTGTACCGATATCTCCAGACAGCTTCGAGAGTCGGAAAGCATTACCACAAGCATGGCGTGGCGTTCGAGACGATGCGTTGTCCCAGCTTTCTGGAATCCCTGGTTGTATATTCGTACATGCTAGTGGTTTCATTGGAGGTACGTGTTAGTATTACCTTCCGAGCGGGAAGGAAAGAAACTACGCCAGTGACTTTGGATGACTGATTTATGGCTTATTTTGTAGGGAATGCGACTAAGGAAGGTGTAATGGCGATGGCTATCGCGGCTTTACAACAAAATGAATGAAACTTGAGCTGGGAAAAAATAAATCGTGTTCATTGCAATCGATCTACAAAAACAAATTATACTTTGTACAGAACAAAGAAATTTCTTCCTGATTAATTACGTATCCTGAATTCCTGTGGGTCGTGATCATGAGACATGAAACATGAAGCATTGTTTTGCACAGTGGGATACTATCAGAGCATGGCGAAAGCGGTTGAAGCTTGTAACAATGAAATGAATTCACGAGAACAGAAGAAAGAGAAACAAAGTAACAAAGTAACATGTCGGTCATTAGTCATTCTCATTTTACAGCGAAGGTGCAGATGTGCTGCTGCTGCTGCTAGTTTTAACGCCCTGGAGAGTCGAAGGTGATAAGTGTAAACATTCGACCGATAGATTAAACGAATTACCTCGGTTCGACAGGCAGGACAGTTGTTTCGGCCTGTCTTTAACCACCTATCGACACATCCCTTATGGAAGGTGTGCTTGCAAGTCAAAAGACGAAGATCGTCGTCGGGATTGTACTCGTCTAGACAGATCAGACACTGTTATATGTCACTTGTTAGCGCTTAGTCAATTGAAAACACATTGTAGTTATTTACTCTATCAATGCAGTTGTTCGCGACGCGTCCACTGCTTTCGTATTCTCCGAGATCTTTAGCTTTGAATAGCTCCAAACCGGAGCGTTCAATGTCTTCCTCTGTTACGACTGGTGGCTTGACTTGTCCCAGGAGATCAGCCAATTCCCTGTAATATCTCTCAGCAATCAGCACGGGATGTAGCTATTGTCCGACGTACCAAAGTGCCTCGAAGGAGTCAAGAGCATCTGATCCAGAGAATATGTGATGATTCGGCGGATAATGACCTGAAACAATACATTGAGCCTGATACGAATAGGTGGCGCAGAAGGAACAAACTTACCACCAAAGACATAGATGAAGAAGGTGCGGGCGCCTCCCGTCGTGTTTGGCGCATTTGGCATTTCATGCCCCTGGTCGACAGGAAGATCTTCCCTTCGTCCCAACCTACCAAACCTGCGGGAGACTCTTGAAGGCGCTCTTGAAGGCCAGGGTCCACGAGCAGTGTGTAAGCCCCTGGGACCTCGTGGAACGAAACCATTCTCGCCGCCCATATGCTCGCGAGTGGTTTCATTTGCTATTGGGTTGTCGATATCACGTGTAAATTCAGGCGGCAATGGTGTTGTTCGTCGAGCACCAGGGCTGATGGACTGTAAGCCGACCACAATGACTGGCACCATTGTGCCTGCGTCTTCCGATGTCGTTTGACCATCTGTCAATGAAGCTCCGGTATTCGGAGGACTGCTTGAAGGAATGGGAGTCGGTGGCCGTTCACGCAAGTAGTTGCTGTCTACTCTGCGACGCGCAGCATTACCTTGAGTTGGCTGAGTTGGCTGCATGGGTGGGAACCGGTACATTCTCCACCAGTTTACACCATTTCCACGACTCCTACCATTGGTGGTCGTAGAGGAGTTATTTGACGTTGTGGATTGGTTGGGTTCCGTAGAAGTTCCTTGATCAGGGTTAGTGACAGAAGGGCCATTGTCAGGATTGAAAGACGTCGGGGACGGCTGGGTATGTTCAGTCCCAGTGTCGTTTACACTAGGAGTGTTTAGTGACTGATTATTGTTGCTAGATGCGGTGTGATAAGTTGCTTCGGTGGTCGGAGATTCAGGCAAGTCTATATCCATGTTAGATTCCCTAGATGCGTTCGCTGGTTCTCCCGTTCCACTGTCGTTGGCAGCTCCTGCCGTTGGAGGACCGTTCTGTGCAGTGTCATTCCGTGAAAGAGCAGTCCTAAGGTCCGACTGCAAGTCAACAAGGAACTGCTCAAAACTATCCGGAGCTGGATCCTCTGTCTCGCGGTCCGAAGAACGTCGACCTCCAGAGAGGTGGTCCTGATCTTCATCAGGATTTGGATTAGTAGCTGAGGTATTTTGAGCCTCTGTCTGCCGCTCATCCGGCGTTGAACTGGAGAGATGAAACGCACGTGCAAGTTCTGTAAACAATGCATCTGGAATAGCAGGACTATCGTCCATGCGGTTGCGGCCAGAGGTCAACGGCGGGGGAGGTGAAGGGAAAGTGCTTCCCAAAGTTCTTCCTAATGGACCTCTGCTCGATCTACCGCTGGTCACCCTTGAACGGAAACCCTCCCATATCGAGCGTACCCGCGTCCTCTCCCTCTCTTCCCTGTCTCGTTCGTGTTGAGCAAGCACCGCCGCAGCTATTGGATTCGTGGATGCTAACGCGCGGGCTACTGACGACGTCGTTGATCCCTCGTTGTTCGTCGGTGACATGTTAGAAGTCGTCCTTGGCCGTTCAGTAGAAGGTAAGGGAGACCTAAAAGTGCCGTTTGGCCCTAGAATGTTGTCAAGTCAGAATATGTGATGTATAACGATAAGTTTCTTGTAGTCTATACCTGAGAGAAGTGAAGCAGCAGTTGCGGCAGTTGCAACACTAACGATACTAGATACTTGGATTAGAAATGTTGTGTAGAGATGGATAAGCATTACAATTCTACCTTAAGAGAGCACCGAGGACATCCACACCACTTGAGCTTGGTGAAATTGGTCCCTGCGCACCGCTGCGGAAGCCAGTACCGGACGGCGATCCTGAGGGTATCGAACTTTCCGATGAACCACGATCATCGTTAATCGTAGAGCCTTCCGAAAAGCCTGAAGATGCGCTAAACCTTGAACCCTCAGTGCTGCTTACATCTGAATAAGTGCGTGAAGCTAAGGCGCTCATGAGTTTCTGTCCCATGACGAAAATAATATGACGTACAGTTTTGATCAGCTTCTGGTGAGAGAGACGGTCGCTGCACGGGGTTCCTATTTGAAAATGATGATGGTTGCATAGTATTCCCTAATGAAGACGGGTTGTCAAGTGCAGTTCTTGGAGTACCATCGGTTTGTACAACGCCCTGCACGACGACGAGAGTACCTGCAGGAGGAAATTGTCGTAATACGTTATCATTTTGGGCAGGCATTGGTGGGGAGTGATCAGATGGGGGAGATACCGCAGGTCGGTCGAAAGGTGATGGAAAGGTGGCCTCTGGAGCTCCGGCTGCAGTAGATGGACCTCTCGGTGCACTGCTTGAAAGGCCACTACCAGATGCCTGATTGGAAGACGCAGCCTCAGAATTACCTACACTATTATCAGAAACGTCGTCTAAGCGCTCTTTCCCTTTCAAGGAAGTAGAGGGCTTAGGGCCATGTGAAGGGATTGATCCAGGACGTCCATTAGTGGCTTCATGTTCATTGTGAATGCGAGGAGAGTCGGAAGTGTCATCGATTCCTCGATCGGTAATTGAAACTCTCAATCCTCGCCTCTGAGAAGCGCCCTGATGCCTCTCGGTTTCCCCGCTAAGATTACCTTGCGAGTTCCTTTCTTCCGTGGGCTGAGCCTTTGACATGCGACGAGACCTTCGAAACCATTTCTTTCTCTCCCGGACGTCCTGGATTTCACCACCCTCAGATTTGCTAGAGATTCTAGGGCGCACGATCCCAATTATGCTGTTCCGTATCGATCTACGACGTCCACCCCTCCCAGCGCTTAGTCCCGCATCAGTCAAATTGGCAGGTCCCTCCTCAATGCCAGAGGGAGCTAAAGGAGAAGCTACGTCCACTTCATGGACAGGGTCATGGTTCCCAGTATTTCTAGTAGAATTAATCTGGCCCATATACTGCAATAAGATATGCCAGAGGTGCTCTGAACAACCACACTGGAGCACAACAGAAAGTGATGCCGATGACGTGCAGACCTGTCGTTCGTAGTCTCGTCCGTTCTCTTGTATTACGAGGAATAGTATACCTTCTCAAAGGCTATACTGATAAAGCCGATATGAAAGGCTACGGTAGGTGGTGATAGAGAGAAGGAGAGAGCTTGGAGCAGTGCGTTCCGCAAGTCGCAACGAGCCTGTCGCAAGCAAGTATTGATCAGCGTCACGTGCCAGACGCGTCTGTCAGCCAACCCACAGCAACAACTCAAAGTCTCAAACCTTGTCAATTGCATGGAGCACACTTGGTTCGTATCTTCCTAGACCGTTTACGTTAACGGGAGACTTGTATGGACACCATAGCGTGACTACATAAACAAAGCAATTCCAGATATTCAAAGGACAATTGTCTATGTTTCTCAAGCTTCTCGAGATTCCCTTTGAAGCCATTTGGCCTCATTAGCATCGAGCCTCAACGGAGCTTCCCCTTCCACGACGGGCGTCAATGACAATTTCGCGGCGTGTGCAACGGCGGTCATCTTCTTGAGTTGCGTTTCATCCTGAGTATTGGAATCTGGCCTAGATTGTCTGAGGTTCACGGAATGCGTTATCAACTCGTCTGGCCATGGAACAGCACCACTTGGCAATGAGAGGCTCTTTTCAAAAGCAGCGTGTGGCTCAATTCGTCCCAGCGAGCGGATCCATTGGCCAACCGCTGCAAGTGATACTCTTACCTCCCAAGAACCTCCTTCCTAAGGATTGAAATTTTGACTCAGTCACTCTAAATAGTAGAAAGAAATCAACGGGAAGACGCGTACCGTGACTGTTTTACACAGAGCTGCATTGATTCCGAAGGCAAGTAGATATCCCGAGGCATGATCAATAGCTTGGCAGGGTAACGGTCTTAACGGAGCTTCATTTCCGTTTGGGTCCTTTAAGCTCTGCTGGAAAGCTTCTGCCTCTGCATATCCAAATCCTGTTGCGTTTTGGACGAGGGAATCGAACTAGAAGGGTACAAGTTAGCTGACACCTATAGACTGAAATAGAATATCACACCCCGCGCCGATCTTTCCATGGACCATCCCAGCCATATGCTGTCAGACTTGCACACACGAGCCCAGGGTGCTCTTGCACCAGTTCTGCGACACCGAAGCCTTTGTCGCGCAGACCGCCAGGCCGGTACGCCTGTAGGAAAACATCCGCTTCTTTGGCAAGTTCCTTCAGCTTTGTGCGATCTACTTCATTATTCAATTCGAGCTGCGTCGTACGTTTGCCTCGCGAGGTGTCACAATCCAGATAAGGCAGATCTGGAAGATTTGGAGAAGTAATGAGAAGGACATCTGCACCGTGGGCTAACACTGCTATGAGCATTAGTTGTTTCCATGAATGTATGGAGTTCACCTGCTAACGTTCTTCCAGCAATGGGACCAGCTAGGACACGGGTCAAATCTAACACTCGAATGCCATCCAACGGGTGTGATGCCGAGGAATATGTCTCCCGCTTCGGGGCCTCTCCAACTTTAATGAGCTGAACCGGTGGGGTCGTTCGAATTGCTAATGCATGTGGATGCTTGTCCCACTCTTCAAATGTCCTTGATTTTGTAGCACACATCCCATTGTATGCGACCTGATCTTCAAATTCTTGAGCGTCCCAAGTGAGCAGCGCAGCTTGAATAGATTCGCGAGTTGCTTCGCAGTGGAGAAGGTCCAGGATACCTTGCTTGTGGCTGATTGACTCTCGGTTTAGGCTATTGATGGCTCTTCTTGTTGGGAAAATGTAACTTACTGAGGAAAATTGGTATGAATTCGAACAAAACCATCCTTGGTTTGGTATAGTCCAGATAGTTCGTCAAATGATTTCCCAGACGGTTTCTTGTCGTCGATAAGCCAGTAACTTTCACTCTCTTATTAATGTCACCATCATTTATGCAAGTCAGTTCACAGAAAACTACAAAATACGCAACTGAATTCGAGTATTGCATGCCTTGGATCGACTGAGACGGTTTGTGCCTTCCCGGATGCTAATTGGTAGAAATATGCAGCAGCCAAACCAGAAAGGCCAATTGTCGTCTTGTGCATTCAGCGTCCATAGGTAATATGAATAATTTATATTTAACTTTCCAAAGTGTGGATTGCTCACTTGTGCGGCTGTGCCGAGTCTAAAGGAGGAGTTCACAGAAGGATCAGGAGTATCGCCCAGATGCAAGTTTTCCAAGAATTCATCAGGTAGTCCAGCTTCCGTCCATATTTTACGTGCATGATAATTTGAGTCATTCACAGAGTACATAGTGCAAATCCGCTAATACACACACACACAAACGGTAGGACACTGGACAGCAGTAGGAAAGGAGTTGAGACACAGATGACCTGCGATTGCCCGAATAGGGAAAAATCAATCGTCGCGGAGTTTAAAAACGCGTCCGTGGCGAGTCCTGATTTCGGTCCCCCTAAAGCGCGTCTTCGTTGCCCCTCCCACTGTCGTTCAACCGACGCTGCCTGCAGCAATTATGTCAGGCAACCCACCATCTACGGGTCGTGACCAGCAGGGTCAACAGTCCCCTCCGCCGTCTGTGACGCCTGGCCGCCGCAACCCTGTGAACCGAAGCTTCTCTCAGTCTAGTTGGACCGATACCCCTTACCACAATCAGGGCACATCATATTTCCCACCGACCCCTGGCGCGGGACGCACGCCAAGTCGCTCACTCTCAGGTGCTCGGAGCCTGAGTGTCAGTAGCGAACACGATGAAGATGACGACGAGAACGACGATTCGGATGAAGACGACACCAGTGCCACGGAAAGACGTGGCAAGAGTCCAGTCTCTGCCCGCGCGGTCAGCCCCGACGAAGAGGGCGAAGACGGGGAAGGAGAACGCAGGCAGCGTTACACGGAAGATGATCCCGTTACAGTAAAAGAGCGACAATCGCTCATGAACGTTGACCATCCTTTCGGTCTTCCTATTTGGAAACCTGCACTATATAAAAAATCTCGGACTGTCAACAGAGACGCAGAAACGGCTCTTCATGCCACTCCAACTGCTTATGGAGAATTACACTTGAATCTAGGAAACATAGTTTGGGCTGTATTATTCGGAATTTGGCTGGCAGCGATCTGCCTTCTGGTCTCTGCTATTCTATTCGTGATACCCTTCGGTGGTCGCCAATATGCGCCGCTAACTTATGGTCTTGGTTGGTATCTATTCTGGCCGTTCGGAAAATATGTTGCGGGTTGCCGGGAAGAAGATGTTGAAGAGGATGACAACTTCAATGCTCGTTTGTCATCTGACGCAGAGTCTCCTCACAGCATTAGGGTAATAGATGAAGTTGACGAAAATGTGTCGGCTTCGTCTCAGTCTCGTTCGGCGACAGGCACACAGCGAAATGCAACTTCCCACAGTGCGAATAGCACTAATAAAATTGGTGGTATCAACGAACGCACCGCATTCGCGCTTGGTGGACCCAAAAAGTCTTATGGTACAGTTTCTACAGGACGGTATATGAAGGCCACATATGCGAAGTCACGGCCTGGCGATTGGTTAGGCAGGGCAGCATTCTGGTTGTTGTTGACCTGCATCATTGCACCTCTCATGCTTTTCGTCTGTCTTATTTGTTGGTTCCTCGTCGTTACCGTTCCAATGGCCAAACTCAATTGGGAATTGCTTAAACACATGTTTCAACGCCCAGACACCATTCGCTTCTGCGCTGCTCCGTCTACCGTAGTGGTCCCCTCCGCAGAACCCTCGACCTCCACGAATCGAGCCGACGGTGATGCCACTGCTCACGGCCCGACCTTTACATTGAAAAGCGCTAGGCTGTCCGCTGGACAAGCAGCACCTTCTGGTTCGCCATCGACAGTCTTACTCTGCACGTATCGTGCTGTTGGAATACGATATTACAAGTACACAGTCGGCGGTGTCAACATATTCTTTGTCAACCTGATGGCTGTCGTATTCTTTGCCATTTTAGATGGTTTTGTTCTCCTTGGTATGAAAGACGGATATGAAAAGCGGGGAGAGCATGTACCAGCGGTATTAGAAGTACTTGCGAGCAGAGTGCTTGTGTTCCTCGTCAGTCTGGCGAGTGTCATTCCATTGTCTTACTTCATAGGTATGGCTGTCGCCTCTATCAGTGCTCAATCGTCCATCGGAATGGGTGCAGTGATTAATGCAACGTTCGGGTCGATCATCGAAATCATTCTGTATGGTATCGCTCTGACTGAGGGGAAAGGGCGTCTTGTGGAAGGAAGTATCATCGGCAGCTTGCTCGCAGGTGTCCTGTTGATGCCTGGTACCAGTATGTGCAGTGGCGCCGTGCGGAAAAAGGAGCAAAAATTCAACGCCAAGAGTGCTGGCGTTACCAGCACCATGCTGATCATGGCCATCATTGGCACTTTGACCCCTACTCTATTTTACCAGACATACGGAAACGTGCGTGCTTTCTTGCCTAACTGTTGTGTGCGAGAACTGACATGGTTTTGCTAGTTTGAGCTCATTTGCGACGGCTGTCCAGGTCCAGACAAAAGATCCTTAGTGGAAAAAGTGCCATGGAACTGTACTCATTGTTATTATGAGCATCCCGACCCGGTTCATGACCACTTTTACCAGACAACTGTCAAAACGCTGATGTACTTCTGTGCTGCCATCTTGCTTCTCGTAAGCTGTCGCAATTAACTTCCCGTAAGGGCTAGAGCTGACTTTCATACAGTCTTATCTTATTGGCTTATGGTTCTCTCTAAGAACCCATGCATCACAGATTTGGCAGAACCCGCAGCCACTAATGCACCCATTCGATCTACCTATTACTCCAGGCCAGGGGAGGGCGTCCTTGTATCATCGTCTGACCCAAGGAGGCTTAACCTTGCCGACGCATCGTTTGAACAGGAAATCGAGCGAAGTCACTGTACACGACGGCCAGCAGTCACGAGCTCAAACGCCTGCCGTTCGAGATCCGCCGTCTGGGTCTCAATTTCCTGGTGGCTTGTCATCCGGACCCCCTTCCCCAGGGCTCACCCGCAAAGTCTCGCATGGACCTCAGGCTTCTCAGCATGCAGGAGCTTATACTCCATTAGTGGAGAGTGTAAGCCATGCTGTAAAGAATTCGGGGGTGCAGACTGCGAATTTACCTGACAATCTGACGTCGGATGACTTTACTCGTGCCGTTGCCGTTGCGACTGTGTCAGCACTCAGACACCAACAAGCCCTTTCACACTCCCCTGCTCGTGTACGGAATAGTGCACTTGATGGACATGAAGATGGCGGTGGACATGGAGGACATGAAGCACCGAGCTGGAGTCGTACCACGAGTGCTAGCATTCTGTTAGGCTGCACGGCTTTGTATGCTGCTATCGCTGGTAAGATTTGTCGTTATTGGCGAATAAGCATGTACTAATGCTTGCCTCAAGAAATCCTCGTAAAACAGGTCGATGTTATCCTGGAGGGCTCCGGGATTGATGAGAAATTCCTAGGCTTGACGCTTTTTGCCCTGGTTCCTAACACAACTGAATTCATGAATGCTATGTCATTCGCAATGTACGGCAACATTGCTCTAAGGTGAATCGGACATAATTTTGAGTAAGGAGAAGACGGTAACAATGTCTGTACTTCAGTATGGAAATAGGTTCGGCTTATGCACTGCAAGTTTGCTTGTTGCAAATTCCCGCGATGGTCGCATTTTCAGCGTGGAATGATCCTCAAGGAATGGGGTCAGTCGCGGACACTTTCACGTAGGTCAACACTCTCATCTGTCAGCCACATAGCTCACAGTATGCATAGGCTAATTTTCCCGAGATGGGATGTGATAGCGATTGTTTTATCCATCTTCTTGCTGACGTATACGTACATTGAAGCAAAGAGCAACTATCACAGGGGAAGCACCTTGATTCTAAGGTGTGTTAAATGACATCCTGCTTGCCGGATATGATCTGAATATTAGCAATGAAGTTATCTTGTACTTCTTGCGGGCTTCTACTTTGCGCCGCAAAGGCCTGATCGTGTCGACCAAGGCATGGGTATATTTAGCATGAAAGATGTTGATTCAGCGTCAGTGCTACAACGCACCTGGCTTATCTTCTCGTCGCTGTGGACGAGATGATCATTCATTTACTGCAAGCAACTACTGACAACAAATTTTGACGATTGCATGTGTATTACATTCATCTTGATATTTCTACATTGGACTTCACGGATCTTGTCGAGTATACATAATTTATAGTGCCCGATAGCGAATATATTGGATCATGCCATTTGCAGCATCTAGTGTGTGCTTCGTAGTGATTCCAGAATTGCGCGAATCTCCGAATACGACGTTCCGATTTTCTCTGCTTCGTTTCTACCGGAAAGTATGCGGGTGATTTCTGGAGAAGGGTAAGGGTAATCGAGGAATCGTTCGAGTAAATCACCGTCGAGGAACCCGGTAGCTGCACCGTTTGCGTCGGAACGACCTCGTGAATTTGATGGTGCTCGCCAGCTTTACAAGTCTGCGTCAGTCTCTGTCAAAAATGCATAGGTCATAACGTACAGAGTATGGTCTAGATCACCTGGTCCCTTAATAACGCCTGCCATGTTCCTTTCTAAGCTACTAAGCAGTCTAGAAAGATCATCCTCGACGTTGACAACGACAGCGATACGGCCGGTAGAAGTGAACAGCAGTTGCTTCGTCTGTAAACCAAATTTATTCGGTGTGGAGTCAAAGCAACCTAAAGAGAAACCTCAGTTCACTGGAACCAACAGAATTTAAGACAATCTCGTACCGGGCACGCATTTATTGACAATCTCTTCAATGTTGTACAGACCGTCTTGGTCAAGAAGCATCTTACTTCCTTGTTTTTGAAGCCTGTACGAGAATAAGTTGTTGTCGTTCTGTTTCATGCATTGCACATCAGAAGTGTTTTTTAAAATGATGATGCTATAGGAGATTAAAACTCACGTTCGCTCCAATGACTGTTTTATTGTCAAACGCCCCGATGCATAAAGGCCATAATGGACTGTAATCCCTTGCAAACGTTGTTAACTTGTCGTCTTCGAGCTTCAGGACGGCCAGGGAAGAGACTGCGTCGCCGATGACGATTAGGTCGTCCATCACAACTGCTGTTATTACGAGGTAATTGTGATTCCAGCTTGTTACGGCGGTGAGAACAGTGTTGTCTCCATGTTTGAGGCGGAATACATCGACCTTTTTACATTTCACTTAGTGAGCTAGTTCTGGCGGTGAGGATGGAAGGGACAAACTCACGCTTGTGTTGATCGCAACGACCAACTTCCCCTGAATACAAGTAAGTGCATTCACAGCTCCTTTTACCTCCGTAGATGCTAATATATGGGGTGTTTGATTTCGCTTCGACCCAGTTGAGATGATCAAGATCCGACCACGACTAGGTTCTCGTTCGGTTTCGTCAAAGTAAACTGAACCAACGGCGAAGAACGTATCCCAACCAATTCCACAGTCTAGAGAGACGAGTGCGACGGCAGTTATCTCTTCGTTCGGCTCGAGGGATATTTCATGAGTGGCTGTCAAACTCAGTCAGGTACTACCAAACAAGGCTATGCTATCGATACACTCACTTCTGAAATCAACGGTGTCGACAAGCTTGAACGAGCTGGCGGCCACAGGAGCGCCTTTGAATGTGCTTCGGTCCAGCTTCAAACAGCCAACACCAAGCAGCTTCGCAGCTGAATGATATGCAAGTTTCGTAGGATTTTCCTTTCCCATGAATACCTGACAATGAATCGGGAAAAGAAGTTAGGAATGGAATAGATCAGCCGATATTACTGAACATACCGTCCGTATATGTAACTTGTCAAGTTCCAAAACCCGACCTACGACTAGACCATCAAGCGTCGAAAGAGCCATCGAGGAAGTAAACGATTCTGAATGAATAGCTGAGGCGAATGTCACATCCTAAATGCCGATAAGCCACCTCTTACAGTCGCTGCACAGAAACAGGACTACTCACCTTGATGAGGACAGGCGAATGACTTAACGTATCCTTCGATCTATAGAAAAGTGCTGATCGAGCACCACTAGCAAACACCGCCGGCTTATCATTAACCTCACATCGACTCAACGAAACGGGTGCTCCTCCAAGACCGAAAAATTTCTTTTCACCAAGTACTCCCTTCTCGGCAAAAGGCATCGATACCACAGTCCCATTCGCAAGGCCAACCATTAAGTAGCGATGTGGTTTAGACTCTTCTTCGCTGAAGTCACAGAGAAGTAAGGATCGTGGGAGATGAGGCATGACGACAGGTACCGCGTCAATTTGCTCAAAGGTTGGTAATCGGAGAACTTTTACTTCATGTGACGACCAGAACCCCAGAGCGACGAACGAAGAAAAATTGGCGCCTCTTTTCATGGGTGAAATCGAAAGTGCGGATATCTCGGAAGACGATCCATCAGGTGAATAGAATTGTTTACGACTAAAAATACCACGGTAAACGTCAATCACCAATCACGAACTTACATGCAAGATCATACCTCTGCTCATTAATTTTGTCTGCAAATAAGTTCAATAAAACGACAGTCCCTCCCGAGATTGCGACGCAAATTTGACTGGGACTAATATCCGCCAAGACAATCTTGTTTCCAGGTCCTGGAGACCACTGGTCTTCGCGCAATCCGGTTCTCGTGTTTAAGAGTATGACAGAATCTCGGCTAACCTGTACGACGTAACTGCTGCTAACATATTCGGATTTCCCACTTTCAGACATAAGCCGGGTTAGCATATTCCCTGCGACGAGGGTGCGTGAATCAATTGTCAAGTCGGAGAAGTCATTGGAACGAGAAACGGCAGTTTCTTGTTGCGAATTGGGTAACTCTAAGAGATGCGTATTCGTATCTGTTGTAACTAGCATGTAGTGATGGAATCTATGTGCGGTATAAGTTCATATCCAACATCGAAAAACCGCGAGATAGTTAAACGTACGTATCATCGTACTGTCTCCTTATCGGCCACATTCCGGTTATGTTCGCAATACCTTCTATGCGAGCATCTTCATTGAAATTGGCGCCGTTCCGAATAACACGTAGCGAACCGGTGCTCTCGCCTCCTGAGCAAGTGATGATAGTAGGCTGGCCACTATCATCGGTGTCCTCGAATACAGCATCCATTATAGGTGCTATGTTCTTAAAAGTATCAGAAATCTCAAGGTATGAACCATTCGAAGATCGTTCGGAGGTGACGCGGATGAGTTGTGAGTCTCCGAAGTGTGAACCGACGTATATGTATTGTGATGCTAGCGGCGTTAGGGATGTCGGAGGCGATACCTTTGGTCGGAGACTTCGTTAGATACGCTGCCATGTCTGTTTATAAGTTGACACATACTTCTCCGAGAAGGACTATGTCGAGGTACGCGTACTGAGGGTTAATCGCAAGAAGAGCGAGCCGGCCAAAGCTGTCGCCGAGCAAATACCTTAAGCCGTCTTCGTCAATCTGTGCCCAACTTCAAAATCAAGGTATGAGCTGAGGGTTAATGGTATCACGCTCTAAAGATTCCGGTACGTACGCTGTAATGTCAAAATACGGCCAGTTTACTTCGGCTTGGGGTATCTTGCTAGTGGATGATTTTGATTGCGATGAAGAGTTCTTCTTTTTCTGTTTCCTATCGATAGAATAGAAAGCAATGGTGCTACCACCAAGAACCAAAACACCTCCATTTACGTTCCAGCTACTCTTTATCTGAGGTGGAACAGGAATCAATAAATTGGAATCTTCGTCAGGAACATGAAATTCGGGAAGGAATGAAGAAGGCGAAGGAGACAGTTCAAGATCAGCTAGGGAGAGGTCATGCGATGTGACGCTTAATTTTTGCATGTAATCTTTATATAAGATTGCCAGTGCGGTTGCGCGGGCATTCGTAGTCCGAAGAAAGCATAGCGATACGATGTTTAGTTCGCGCACACTACACCACGATCCCGTGTCAATGTTCGTTTCTTTGAAGAGGAAAGCATGGCTTACGCGGTATCAAATTCGGAATTAATGAGTCCTTTTTCCAACTCTAGGACTCTGAGTTTCCCAGTGTATGAACAGGCAACCGCAACCTTTCCCTTGTGGTCCACGAGACACTTGCTAACGTATTCGGTGGGCCTTGCATTTCGTTCGTGGAGTGATACAGTCTTAAGAGTCTTCAAGCTTGGTCCAGAGCCTGCATTGCTTTGTACGTATTCAAGAAGGAACAACTTTGGGTCTGGATGGTCCGTTAATACAAGCAGGTGGTGCTGAGAGTTCTCATCCTGCGGCAGCCTTATATGAGTCTCTGATAGCAAGGCTAAATGATATCTCAACTTACGTCTGTCGGAACTGCTTGGAGAGACGTGATGCGTCCCCAAATCTCAAGGACACACTGTAAGCGTAACGCGTCGGGAAGAATGGCAAAGACCTCGAGAATGCTGGACTTGGCAACGACAAGATATTCGGTATCTTCATCTTCGGTCAAAGTAGTCTTGATAGAGCCCACGACCGAAGTCGGCTGGTGAAATGTAGCTACGGCCTTCATCGAGGGCGACGAGGACGAGTAGATGTGCCGTGCGGACGCGGCTTACGGAGTAAGTAAATGCAGTATTTATGTGGTCATCGACACGTGCTGGTTTATTCGACCCGCGTCGATCAACTTGAACGAGAACGGAGAACCTGACTTATGTTCCTGAGTCCTGACTACCAACAGCACTTAGAGATTTCTGTTGGTCACTTAGAACGAGTGAATAATGTCAAATAGAGCAACAAGGCCATCTTTATCTTCAAGGCCGAGCTCCACCTCTTCTCATAAAATGGACTCCAAGAAAAGGAAAACCGTGCCAGACTCTATTCGTCCGATCGTGAAGACAAAGAGAAAGTGCGTGTTCGTTCAATTTCTTTACAATTGCACATTATAGACCTATACAGATTGCTCTAGATGGAATTCATCGACTATTATTCTCACCGCCGCCGCCGTCGTTATCGCTGCCGTAGCATATAAATTCTTCCTGAGCAACAGCAGGCAATCCAAGATCCTCGCGGACTCACTTGAAATCAAGACTCCAGCATTCAATGTTGTTGATCTCCCCGGACGAGGGAAGGGATTAATCGCCTCCAGAGATATTGAAGTGAGCTTTCATGTTTGTCAGCCATTAAGGCTTGGTTTTAAAATGATGCTGTCGTAGCAAGGCGAACTTTTAATCAAAGAAAAACCTTTGATTCTCGTTCCTAGCTCAAGTGAGTAGTAGCCTGTCATCCGCGCATAAATCTATTGCTTCACTAATGTATCATGCTTAGCGACCCAGTCTCCTGTCAAAGTACTGAAAGAACGTCTAAATGCCTTAACGCAAGACGAAAGGAATGCATTCCATTCCCTATCCTACGTCACTCCTGGAAGAGATTCGAACACACAAGACTCACTTTCTGATGACGAGATGGTATTAGCTATATTCCAGACTAATGCTATTTCAGCCGGAGACAGTGCTGGTTTGTTCCCTCATACCGCAAGGTTGAACCATGGATGCAGCAAGGCCTTCAATTCCGTGTATTCTTGGAGGCCTCATGAAGGACACCTCGTCGTACATGCGTTGAAACCAATCAAACGCGGCCAGGTAATGGCGAGACACTTTCTCTTGTGACCTCTGAAAAAATTTATTATTTTGATAGGAACTCCTCACCACATATACAGACACCAAAAGACCGCGCCGTGAACGCCAGTGAGTCTCATTCTCCCGGTTATGCCGAACGGTACTTAAATTCAATATTCAGACACTACCTCAAGAGCTACTACGACTTCACCTGCTCATGCTCAGTCTGCTCTCTACCAGAATCAGAATCCCTCGCTTCTGACGAACGTCTCTCGAAAATGAGTTCTCTCCATCAAACATTCGCATCATGGGGAACCCGAGAAGTCGACGGAATCAACGCCTCGCTAATCGCAAAGGCAATTTGGGAGATCGGAGAAGAAGAAGGATATTGGAGCGAGCGTGGAAGACTCGCTGCGGACGTAGTGCATATTGCAGCTGCTCATTCTGAGTGAGTGTTTATCTAACAAGTCATGTCTTGTTTATGCATTGCTGAGTGTTTGAATTAGTGAGAATGCTGTATTGGCATGGGCAAAGCTTGCACATACTTGGTTCTCTATTGAGCTCGGTGTGGATAGCACTCAAGCTCTACAAATGCAAGCCTTGTTAAGCAATCCGCGTACACATCGCGCTTGGGCATCGAGAGAACCACAATCAATAGAATTGCCGGATGTGATATCTTAGCTTCTATAATTATAACCACAATCCCGAGTTGTGTGTATTTTCGTAACTTATTACTTGGATAACTACCTCTATTGTTTATCTTGTAGTTTAGAGTAGTTGTGATGCCCAGGATGTCGAGTTGCTAGTAAATACATGTATGGCTGCTAATAGAAAGGCTTATTCAATCAATTTCATTTCTGGCCCAACAACACTGGACCACATGAACAAGCTCGAATCATATCTTAAAAATTAGATGCAACAGTCTAAGCATGTCCCAAGCTTAGATATCATAGCTTCTCTACATCTTTTGAATTGAAAAGAATTGAAACGTTAGGAGTGCAAAGTCGCACTATTGTATACCACTCAGAGAACCACAGCCTCTCGGAGTCAAATGTCAATCACATATCTCGTCTCATATGATGCTGCATGACAGGAAGCACAGTCAAGGTACCACATCAATCCACATATCAATATCAATTATCAAACGCACAGCACGGCTCGTCCATTATCCTGAACAATTCATCGCATCGCACATCGCACTCTGTCATACCGTTTCCACTACGGTATTATTGTTTTACATCCCCAACGTAAAGATTAATCCCGGGTAAGTACGGAATGAGATTCCCTATCTATATCAGTATATGCACACCATCCGATGGTTACTGGTATGGTGGCTGGGGAGCGCTCGCCCGTTTCAGAATGACATACCCGAGGCACTCAGGCAGGTTGGTTGATCGGTGGTGATCCGTCTTGAGCGCGAGCCACCTTCACCTTCACCTTCACCTTCACCTTCACCCTCACTTTCATCTTCATTCATCCCCATTGATATTAAGCATTCCTCCGTTCCGTTCCGTTCCTTTCTTCTATTATTATGCGCCCATAAATAAATACCCGATGCACAGAATTGATTCCGCGCTGTCTATGTAGCGGGAAATACGACATCACTATATGTGAAAATCAAGGTGATAATAAATCGAGTCAGTCAGAAATATCATTCTAGATAGAATCCCCAGACTGATGATATGAACAGCGCTCACCTTACAACAATAACAACATTACCATCACAGCATAACAAACATGAAAGGGAAAAGGAATTACAACTTCGACTTTATCCTCTGCACAAGCTCCAGTGCATCATCCTCTTCCAACCTTCCCCTCGCCTCAAACTCCATCCTATGCATGTCTCTATATGACAAAGGATATTTCCGCGTTTCCTCCGTTGTAGGAAGGACGGAGATCTTAGAGGTAGCATCGAATGTTGGTGCGGGTACAATGTGATAATGTACCTTCCCCAACCCAAAACAAAGCAAAGCAAAGAAAGGCACGTAAGTTACATGTGTAAATTGAAAATTGAAAATACCTGTTGTAAGAGGAATTATGAGAGGGGATTGCTTACATGAGGAACGGCTTGAGCGTATTCTTGATTACAGACGACGTTTAGACCGTTATTTTCCATAGCTACAATCATTTCGAACAAAACAAAACATTAAGCCATCACGAATGAGCTTTCTTACGGAATAGATACCTTTAGTGAGAGCATTCGCAAGCTTTGACACAGCTTGCCCAAGAGCACCAGCAAGTTCTTCCGGAAGCTCAGAAAGATGAGAATGGTGTTCCTTTGGAATCACAAGTACATGACCGGGTCTTAGAGGGGCAATGTCTGTTAACCCACCGAACAAATATTTAGAACATTCGTTAAATAAATAAGAAACTAGAAACTATGATTTCGATTAACACTAACCTAAGATAGCCACAACTTTCTCAGTCTCAAACACAGTATACGAAGGTGCTCCCTTGTAGATAATTTGACAAAACACACAGTCGTCGTTTTTTGACGACCATGATCCTGGAACCTTGCGGTCGACGTGGGAGCTTATAATGAATGAAGTCATCCGAGCAGAAGTGAGGGAGGGCTAGCACTGTAGGTGGGAGTGCATCGTCACGATGACTGAACTCGAAGTACGGAACTTTCGTGTGGACGTTCCGTCGATCAATGAGATCGACACAAGTCATTTCTTCTTTCGGAGAACTCACAAGACCTCTTGATCATTTCATTAAACATATCAGTTTATTATCTCGTGCGAGTCTATATTTCGTTGAGTTATTCTAAGTAAATGTAGTTGTTGAGGTTGAGATCCAGTTCATTAGCTGAACCAGGATCCAAGCATGAAGCCGACTATGCCTGCACCGATAGCACTAGCCGCAGACAACGCCATGATCTGTCTATCCCTAGAACTCTTCGCTCCTCGTTCAACCTCTATTCCCGGCACAGACTCAGTCACCGTAGCATCTACTCCTTCCCCCTCATCACGCAGTGTCGGCACACGCTCCCCACTTTCCCTCACCAAAGCCTGCGCAGCCCTTATCTCCGCCAACACATCCTCTTGCTTCTCCTGATGCACCCTCAACTCCTTCAATCCCTCCTCCACAACCCTCTGATTCGCCTCGTTCAACTCGATAACCCTCCTCTCAAAACTCTGCACAAGCCTCTTCCGCTTCCACGGCTCAACAAGCACAATCGCCAAAATAAACACCAAAAGGTTAAGTCCAAGCGCAGCGAGCGATCCATACGTACTCGCACTCCTAATCTTATCCGACCACACCTGTTCTTCATGATACCTCGACAAAATCGATCTCATCAACTCCGCGAATTGTCGTTCCGTGACTGCGTCTGCCTCAGCTACGCGAGCTTTTGCTCGCGCTTCGTCTTGTGAATGTAAGTGATCCGCTCGTACGAGTTGCGTGAATCGCATCACGTCTGCCTCTGTCCACGTCGATTTCCTTTGTAGGAGCTCGTTCGTCTCGCGTTGCGAGTTTGAACGACGCGCGACGGCTTCTTCGTATGCTGCTTTGGAAGCTTTGGCTTCTTCGCGGATTTCGTGCATCTTGCGCTCTTCGTTCCATAACCACAAAGCAAATTTTTAAAAAGACGTTGTCAGCTTCAAGCCGATATCACATTCAGAATATAAGAATAGAGTAAATACACACCGTTCTCCGTAACAAGCCTCTTCAGCGTCTCGATCTCATGATACCCGGTAATCTCATTCATCCGTCCACCAAGCTGCTGAAACGTCTTCTGCGCCGCAGACGAGAAGTTATCCATTCGCTCTCGCAAGTTCGACGCGTTCCGAATACTCCATCTCCGCACGCGTTCTCTGACTTGGGTAATATCTATCGGGGCTGGCGCTGAAGAACCCGAAGACGTCGATTGCGTGTCATGTTCGGCTTCTTGCTCTAAGTTGCCCTTGGAATCATTTGAAGGGCCTGCCTGTGGTTGAGTCCGTTCTTTCTTTGCTGACTCTCCAGAGTCTGAGGTAGCAAAGTGTCTATAGCAGAGAGCACACGGACGAGCAACAAGAGGAGCGACCCGAGTGGGCCGCCTGATGGTCCTTAGCATAGATGCAAGAGTGTTAAACAAAGCCAAATAAGGTCCTCTCAGCAAACACGTCATCACAAGCGTGAGATACGATCTATGTATTCTGCGTATCGTCGAAAAAGAACAAATCCGCAAGTAAATACCAGGAAATCTCGTAAAGTAAGGAGCGAATGATGCAAGCATGAAGGCAACTAAATAGTAAAACGAGAAAAAAAAATAAGAGAGAAAGCGAATGCGGTACTGTATGCAAACTGAGTTCCTATCACAATGCAGCAGGCGCCTGTCTACAGAAGAGAGAGAATAATGATTGGGGGAATGACATTTAGCTCCAGACGTCAAGCATTAACCGTGAACGATCCTTCAGAAGTTTCAGCTCAGCTGCACCCTCCTTCTCAGCGCTGCCACCCTTTGCCTCTCCAAGGATACGAGCCAGGGTATCTTCGACGCTCTTGCTCATGCTCTTTGCGTCACCACAAATGTATACGTATCCCTTGCCGTTCAAAATTGCATTTGCAAGTGCTTCACGCTGTTCCCAGATAAGGTCCTGTACATAAATCTTTGATCCGTCGGGTTTGTATGGCGGTTCACGCGAGAAGGCACATTGCATGTGGAATTTACCGCCGAGCTCCTTCTCGTACTCTGGCCATTCTTCCCTGTAGAGGAAATCCACTGTCGATTTGCGGCACCCGTAGAACAGCCAAATCTGGCCCCAGTCAGTAAGAGCTTCGGGTCCGTTCTTCTCAACAGTACGACGAGCCAAAGCAACGCGTTCCTGCACGAAACCTCGGAATGGAGCCACACCCTTGAGAAACATATCAGTAATTTTGTCCTTCTGATAGACTCTGTTGATGGACTTACAGTGCCAGGGCCAACCATGATAACCGGTGTCTTCGGGTTTGTCGGAAGGCGGAAAGTCGAGCGACGCACGTGAATCGGAATCTTGTACCCAGACTCAGCCTTGTATGCGCCTCTGGGACCATCAATGCAGTATGTTGGGGTATTGACATGCGTTGGAGCCGAGGGATCAGCAATTGCCTGTTGGATGACTCCATCGTGTGCATGTTTCAAGCTTAGCAAGAAGTTCGTGCCAACACCGTACACATTCTTCGCAGGTAGGTGCTCTGAAGTAACAGATTGGTACTTAAGGACAACAGCAGTAACGTGAACCGATCCGGGGTGCAATTTCGGGCTTGATGAAATCGAGTAGAATCGGGGCTGAAGGCGGGGCACGCTGGAAACAATGATATCAAAGGGCACAGGCCAAGCTGTCGTGTTCTGCACCGATGGTACAACATGAAGGTCATTGCCCGCAGCCAGTTGAAGGATTTCGCCAATTTTGAGGCATCCGCCTGCAACGATCTTTCCGAATTTCTCCTTGTCAGCATTAAGATCCTTAAGGAACGCCTCAGCTTCTGGCGTAGGCGCGAACTTGGAAAGTGTGCCGAGAATTTGACGACCAGCAACGGCAGAGATGTCAATGTAGTGACGGAGAACCGTGTTGTAGGTAGTCGGGACCGGGAAAGGAACCTTGGCAAGTGCCGGATCAAGAGACTCAATGCCGATAACCTTGTCCTTCTTTTCGTAAAGGCCGAGGGCGCAAAGGAGTCGGTCGACTTCAAGATCAGCGTTGGATGGCCATACACCAACGTGGTCTCCGTGTTGGTATGAAATGCCAGAGCCTTCAATGTTCAGTTCCAAGTGAACACAATTACGGTCGGCGTCCATGGTGAACAACTCGCGGGCGACCGTAATTGGAGCTGGGTACGGGTTCTTGGCATCATGAATACCCTTCGTCTTGGTAAGCGCACGAGCCGAGAGTTCACCGAGATAGACTTTTTCAGGGGTATAGTCTTCGAGTTCAGAAACGACGAAATCAGGTGAATCACCGCCTTGTCCCTCTTCTACACCCATGACCTGAGCAAATGCTTCCCACATACCGTCCTTCCATTCGAGATAGTCTTCTTCCATTGAACGATCGTCATCGCCTTCGCCGCGCTCGCCGATGCGTACTGCACCCATCTCAGATAGCGCAGCATCCATTTTGCGTGCAATAGCATTGTAGTGCTCGTAGGTCTTGTTCCCGAGACCGAAAACCACGTACTTAAGGCCCTCAAGTCGGTGGGCACCGTTTGAGAACTCGAAGTCGGATTCGAAGACGTTTTGAGTCAGCGTGACTGCGTTATCAGTTGGCTCTCCCTCTCCGTAAGTAGCCATGACAAAGATGACGCAACAGTCCTCTGGGACTTGGTCAAGGTTGTCAAAGTCGTATTCTTCCGGGTCACACACGAGAGAGGCAAGTCCGAACTTCTGTTTTGCCTCCTTAGCGAGACGAACAGCATATTCCTCTGCAGTACCAGTTTGCGAACCATAGAAAATAACAATACGTTTTTTCTGGAGTGAATTGTCAGCACAACCGTTCCCTTACGAATATCAGATGGGAGATCGCGACGACATACGCTCTCCTTCATTTTTGCAACGAAATCACGGGGATTGCCACCACCGTTGGCAAGACCTTTGGCGGGTGCTGCGGGTACATTGGAAGCCTTTCCAGATGAGAAAATTTGGTCCTTGAAAAGATAGAGTGCCGCAAGGACTACGCCAAGGCCGAGGATGACCACGTCAGAGGAGGAAGTGGACGCCATGACGGGCTCTGGCGAAGGAGTGAAAGCAGCAGGACGGACACGTAGACTGGACGAGCTGGAGAAGAAATTCATGGGTGAGTGTGAGCCAAGGGGAAGGTTGGGGAAGGATAGGGAGGGCCAACAATACGCACTCTAGTGTTCTTGTACTGCCGGGAGTTAAAGTGTTGGGGAGAGAGATGAGGAGGTCGTCGGAGTAAGGAAGCAGACTCCCGCAATCGTGTCACTTATCTGCACTCCTTACCTAAGCAACTCTAATTTTTCGTCCCTCTCGGCTTTTGCTTCCTCGTGTTTCACGCACAAATCATTCCACTTGCCTCCTTTCAGAATCTTCAGGTGGACATCCTCCACTCTGCACACTGTTCCTAAGCTGACCTGAGTGTCTGTTACTACATAGATAGTTTTGTTGTAACTTCCCACTGGTTGAAGAGCACATGAACTGAAATCTGAATACGGGGCCTCGCACACCCCGATACGTACTGTATTTGTGTCAGCGAGCGGAGATCCCACCGTGTCGACCCGATATCAACGGCATACGGCCGCGACAATGCCACTCTCACCGCCCGATGATGCCCTCAAACCAATCCTTCTCGCTCTCCGAGCCCACAATCCGACCCTCGGGATAGCAAAACTCCACACAAAACTCCTGACACAGCATCCAGAATGGGCGGTCAGCGAGAAACGCATCAAAAAGCTCCTCGCACAGGAATCCCGCCCAGGCCCGCCGACACGTCCGACGTCGCAAGTCATTGAGAATTTGAATGTCTCGCGATGGACGACCAAGGTGAAAGTCGTCGAGTACGGAAGCGTGAAGGGCAAAGGTCTAGAAGCAACTCAGGAAATTAAGGTGTGCTGCTTGTACCTTTGATTCCCGCCGGAAGTGCCTACAAAAGCTCAATTTTATTGCTGTTCTGTAGGAGGGCGAGGATGTCTGGAAAGAGGACCCATTTGTCATCAGCCCGAGCTGGTATGACTATTCACACTAAAAATCAGCGCATATATTCACTATTTTACTCTACTTCAGGGATATTTACGACTTGCAAATTGCTTCGCATGCCTGTTTTCACTGCACAACTCCCTTCAACTCATCTACACTCCCTCACTCACTACCATGCCCATCCTCGACGAACCCCGCACTGAGTCAAAATCACCCATGCCCCGCACGCTTCTGTAACCGATTATGCATCACCCGTGCTATGAGCCGACAACACCCGCTTCTCTGCCCTGCAACCAACCCTGCGAGTGTCCCTCTGCTTAACTTTGCACGTTCCCGCGGATGGCTTGCCGCTCACGCGGTCGCCCAATGCATCGCTCGCGTATTGATGGCGTTCGAGCAGGGCAGGAAACAAGATCTTGAAGAGGACCTTCGATTCATTCGGTCTCTTGCTCAAATGAGTATGGATGAGCGGTGGAAAATCATCGAGTAAGCCACAAAGCCAAAGATTCGTTCGTATCGCTTGTATGAAGTTCTTGCTGACCTATCCGCTATCTGCCGAACATGTACTTTTTTTTAGAACATCGGGCATGGAACCAGACCATCAAACATGGAAAACTGCACATACGCTGACGTTACAAGCATTTCACGAACCGTCGAACCCGCGCGACAAGAAGCTGCTCTCTAAAATTATCCGGAAACCACTTCCAGAGGATTTGGTCAAAACGCTGTTTGATTACGATGCTTTTCTTCACGCATTATCGCGAATGGGTCTGAGTACGTACCTACCTCTTCCTTCTCTTATATCTATCTAATCCCCTGTCTTTCATCGCATATTCCCGCGCTCTTTCTTCATTCATTCATTCATATTCCTGACGATATGACTATCTACCCATGACTAGATCTCGAAGCACACGGAGGCCTCTACATCCTCCACTCACACATGAACCATTCCTGCGAACCAAACATCTCCGTCCGTCACTTCGACCAAAGAACAGCACTTTCACGCATTACGATGCGTGCACGCCGGGACATCCAACCAGGTGAAGAACTTACCGTCGCATACGTAGACCCTGCATTACTACTGAGTGCACGAAGACGTGCACTCATACCGTGGGCTTTCGGAACGTGTATGTGTGATCGGTGTGTACGAGAACAGAAAGAAGAGGGAGAAAAGAAGGAGGAGAAGGATCAGGATACCGGAGAGCTCGGCGAGGCTCAGGAAAATGGAGAAGCCGAAAAGTTCCCTGGGCTGGAGGAAGAGCTCAAAGAGGGGCTTGGCTTACTGTAAAATGAACGGATCTGGAGCTTGTAGACTGTACGACTGTGTACATGGTTAAAAGATGCAATTACAATAACATAAAGTTTCTCATCACCTGGTCCTTCGGGCCAGTCTGCCAGAAGTGCGGGTGTACGGCACTGCACCCGACGTTCCGCGGACTAGAATAGCTTCAACATATGTATCTCACGATCGAGGGGAAACAAGAGGTGAGCGAACGTGTCAAGCAGCGTTACCAAACCCCACGTTAACAACCCCTTTACGCATTGACGGTGAACAGAATCAAGATGGGGTTTGATCTTGCAAAGGCTCTGGCTGGGGTTAATTTGAGTAACAAGACTATTTTAGTTACGGGATCAACGTGAGTAAATATATACCTATATCTATAATCATAGCCCTCCCCCCCCCTAAACACCTCATTTACATATTCATTCATTCATTCATTCTAGATCAGGCATCGGCTTCGCCACTGCCCAAATCCTAGTACAAAGAGGCGCCAAAGTTTACCTTGGAGCGCGAAATGCAGAGAAGGCAGCATCGTGTATCGAGCGGATTGAAGACTCTTTGGCTTTGGCAAAATCTTCATCTCCTGCAAAAGACGGAGAGACAAAAGGACAGGCAATATTCCACCAAGTTAATCTGGATGATCCGAAAGAGGCAAGGGAATCGGCAGGAGCGTTCTTGCAGAAGGAAGAGAGATTGGATGTCCTTAGTAAGTCCTTTAATGAACCGTCACTCATTTGTCATGAAGCTGATATGTGAATTTGTTCTGAAGTTAACTGTGCTGCAGTGTATGTCCGATGCCCTGCTACAATATTTCACGTCTTAACATTCTTCCTTTCGGATTTTTTTTTTGAATTAGGATAATTGAAGATTTCCAAATCGGCGCGAACGGGATTCAACACCTTATGAACGTCAAGTAAGGCTTGGGATATACCAAATTACCAATGTCGTATTTTAGCCTTTCGCTGATGGAATAACTTGAACTTGTGGGGATACTCAGTTACTTCTCTACACTCATCTTTACAGAGTCACTCCTTCCCCTCTTGAAGAAGACCGCAGAACAACCAGGATCCGATGTACGCATTGTTAATGTATGCATACCCAATGCCATTTACAGTTGATCAGGATAATGATATGCAATTGCCCCTTTTTTTTTTGCAGGTGTCTTCTGACGGACACCGGATGCTTCCGAACGGCCTTCACTTCAAGTCCAAAGACGACTTCAACGTTAATTACGGTAACAGTTTCATGCAATCAATGAAGCGATACAGTGAGTTACGTCTCTTTTACAGCGGATGGACGTAATGTTTAATATTTGCAGGCGTCTCAAAGTTGATAGAGATCCTTTGGACAAGAGAGTTACAGCGCCGCTTAACGGAAGAGGGTACCAATATAATTGTCTTGGCCGTACATCCAGGAAGCGTGCATACTGGTCAGAAATTATCTCTATTTTGCACATAAGTAATCAAGCTGACTCCTGTACAGAAAATACTGACATGACAGTAACCCGCTTCAAATGGCCTATATCCACTCTACTCCTCACCCTCGTCCGACTCACCTTCATGAACGTCCGTGACGGAGCAGGGACGCTCATCATTGCTGCCGTCTCTCCTAAAGTACGAGCAGAGTCGGAAAAGTACAAGGGCAGATACCTCACGCCGATTGGTAAATTGACGAAACCTTCGAAACAGGCGCAGAATAATGAGCTTGCGGCTGAGTTGGTGAAGACGACTGTGGAGCTAAGGAAGGAGTGGGGATTGTGATGAGATTTTTTCTCTTGCGTTATCTGAGACTGTATAAGTCTATTTTTTGTCTTTCGAGTTGTCCACAGGGCTTCTCTGTTGCCGGATATAAGTAGCATTATGTGTTGCGTTAGCTTTGGGACCATATTGAGCTAGGTGATAATGCATATTCCTTCCGTTTGGTAAAGTAAAAATAAAATAAAATATTTCATTTTGATTTTTAAGTTGTACTTTGATCAAATAAAATATATTATATATACATTTACTAAGCATTTATTTTGTAATACTACTGAGACCTGATAATACTGTATGCCTACTACTAAAACTTGGTCTTAAAGCTTAGTATAGATGCTCTGAGACTTTTATCTTGTATGCGTATAATCATTGTCACTTCTGAGCCTTTGGCTCCTGCGTCCTGCCTGCCAATGTGTGCAGCAGACATTACAATTTTGGTCACCAGGGTCCTTCTATATATGGTAAGGAAATTTGTGACTGTGACATAACAAATTCGTCTCTCCTACCTTTTGATACGGCATCATGATGTATCTCACGGTTGGGAATGAACGGGAAGTGAGCGAACGTGTCCAGCTCTAGCAACGTTATCAGACCCCACGTTAACTGCCCCTTTACCTGCTTACAGTCAACAGAATCAATATGGGGTTTGATCCTGCAAAAGCTCTGGCTGGAGTTGATTTGAGAAGCAAGACCATTTTAGTCACTGGATCAACGTGAGTAAACCCATATCCATAATCGTATAATCATAGTTAACCCCCTTAACACCCCAAAAATATCTACATATTTATATATTCATTTACTCTAGATCAGGTATTGGCTTCGCCACTGCCCAAATCCTAGTCCAAAGAGGCGCCAAAGTCTACCTCGGAGCGCGAAACGCGGAGAAGGCAGAGGCATGTATCAAGCGGATTGAAGATTCCTTGACAAAGTTTCCTGCTTCTGCTAAGGAAACGGAGGAAAAGGGACAAGCGATATTTCACCAAGTTGATCTGGATGATCCAAAAGAGGCAAAACAATCTGCAGAAGCGTTTTTGCAGAGGGAAGAGAGGTTGGACGTACTTAGTAAGTCCTTTAATGAACCGTCACTCATTTGTTGTGAAGGCTGATATGTAAATCCAATTTGAAGTTAACTGTGCTGCAGCGTATGCGTAATATTTCTCTACAGTACTTCGCGCCTTATCGTTCCTGTGAATTAGGACAATCGAGGACTTCCAGATCGGCGCAAATGGGATTCAACACCTCATGAACGTTAAGTAAGTCTTTGATAACAACGGCATGTCCTACTCTATTGCTAATGAAACAACTCATGGGATATTCAGCTACTTCTCCACACTCATCTTCACAGAGACACTCCTTCCTCTCTTGAAAAAGACTGCAGAGCAACCTGGTTCTGACGTGCGCATTGTTAATGCACGTACATTCAATACCATTCCCGCTTGTCGAGGTACTGAAATACAATGGTATTTCTGAAGGTGTCCTCAGACGGACACAAATTCCTTCCAAACGACCTTCACTTCAAGTCCAAAGACGACTTCAATGTTAATTACGGCAACAGTTTCCTGCAATCATGGAAGCGGTCTAGTAAGTCTTGCACCTTTTTACATTGAGGGAGCGTATTGTATCCAATGTTTACAGGCGTTTCAAATTTGTTGAGGATCTTGTGGACGAGGGAGCTACAGCGCCGCTTAATTGAAGAGGGTAGCAGCATTATTGCCGTAGCTCTGAGTCCAGGGTCCGTGCATACTGGTAAGAAAATAAACCCTTCCGTTATTTCGTGCATATGCAGATGGGCTGACCCTCATACAGAAAACACTGACATGATAGTAATTCGCTTGAAATGGCCTATATCTACGTTATTCTTCGCCCTTGTCCGACTCACCTTCATGAACGTCCGCGACGGAGCAGGGACGCTCATCATCGCCGCCCTGTCTCCCAAAGTGCGAACGGAGGCGGACAAGTACAAGGGTGGATACCTTACGCCAATTGGTAAATTGGGGAAACCGTCGAAACAGGCGCAGAGTGCTGAGCTTGCGACTGAGTTGATGAAGACAACGGAGGAGCTTAGGAAGGAGTGGGGATTATGATGAACTTTCTCTTTCTCTTACTTTCTAGTTTTGGTCTGGATATTTACTTTCTTCGTCTTTAGGAGATGTTCATGGATTTTGTTTGTTGCTGGATGTAACATTATGCATTGAATCTTTAGGGACTACGTTTAGCAAAGTGAGAATGCATGGTTGACCCATAAACAACATGAGATACAACTCAAGCCCACACACAGTTCATCTGGCATCTTTTATACAGGAACTAAAGATGAACGAATCAAGAAAACAGAGGGGACTCCCCGACATAGATTTTCGTGGACTGTAAGTGACGGATATAATACTGCTACAACGCATATTGACATATCGCAAAGGAATGAAAGGGAGATTAGGTGTATTCACCTACAACATTATCGTGATCCGAGTCTACAAAGAGCCACCAGATTGTCTTGAGTTGTAAATGACCAACAGAGCTAAAAGATGCACTCAACCGGAGCAATCGCTGCTTCATCCTCTTCTTATGCAGCACAAGGTCAACCAAAGCGCGCTTCTTACGCGTCGCAACTCCAGCCGGAGGCGGCTTCAGGACCTGAAGCTCGACAATATCGAGGCAAAAAACATAGTCTCCCTGAATATCGAATCTACTGATAGAGAACTTGGCGTGGACGACGGCACCAAGGAGCTTCAATTCGTATTGCTGAGGCAAGATGAATTCGAAGTCTCTGTCGAATGCAGGAAGTAGATTGATGTAGTGAGAATGGTCGAAGCGGTCTGCGACTCGATGCCAGTCTGGGTCGCAGGGCCAGTTCCTTATCTGTGTCAACTTATTTACGTCGCTTTCGACTAGTAGTGCCATTATTTTATCACTATATGCGTTGTCAAAAGAGAAAAAAAAACTCACCACCAAGTACCACGTCTGCAATCCCTTCCGGTTCATCAATGGGATCCTCGTTTAGTTCCCCTGAAGGTTCGACACCGCCGTCTGAGCTACCTAAACTGCCTCCTCCACGTAGTATTGTGGCCTTTTCGCCACGCGAGAAACCTTCATCGTCTCTACGCTGCAATAATGAAAGCTAAAACAATAGAGTATAAAGGTATACTCGGGCACAACTCACGGATATCAATTTGTGATTGAGCGTAAAAACATTTTTCTTTGTTCGATATGGGCTCCAAATTTTCGTATCAGCCGAAAACTCCGTCGTAGCCTCGATGATCTTCTCCAATGTCGCTCTGTATTTCGCCCAGTCTTCTTTGGCTGTCTCAGTATCTAGCACGTCTCTGAGAGGTGCCAATGAAGCCTTCAGCCTAGTCTTCAGAAATTTTTCTTGTTCTTCGCGTTTCGGCGGATTGGCTCCTGTCGGCTTGAATGGTCCCTCAGGTCTGAGGTACGTGGTTTTTCTAACAATCCGACCGAGGATACTGAAGTGCAACACGTGGTCAGACTGGCTGTCGACAGCAACGGCATCGAATTGCGTGTCATCTATTGCTTTGAAAGTACAACGTTGCGGAATAGAGTCGAATTTCGTAAAGTAGTTAGGATCGTTCCGGATTTTATTGACTAGGGCTGTGAGTTCCTCATCTGAGAGAGGCATTTTGATGAGACAGAAAATAACAGGATGATGGATAGGCCACAACCTTTGAGAAGCCGTCACAGGGGACTAACCAGTATGTTTAGGACGGTTGATGTCGCATTAGATAGCGATATTCTTGAAATCTATAAGAATCCGGAATACGAGCTGAAGGTCAGAAGCAGCCGAGATGACCGAAAGAGGAATTAAAATCAGATTCAGAAGGTGAGAAGGTGATGCTTCACGTGACCGTGTTTCTGTCTTTGAAGAGGCATTAAACCTGAACAAACACTCAAAATCAGCATTCGTCAACATTATGCCTGACGACGAGCAATCATTCTTTGACAAAGAAAGAGACCGTCTATCTAATGAAATCGCAGCAGTAAGTAAATCACTCAGGTGTCTCGTGCTCCTGTCTTTGCTGACCCATTCCATGCTCAGAATTTCGAGCACCTTCTCACCTCATCGAATCTTCTCAACCGCAAGCTCGAAGAAGTCCTCGGCATGACAAAAGAATATGACACGATAGCCGCTCTTTGGTCTCGTTTCCATGCGCTCATGCGTGCTCAAGGCGGCGCTTCCGATGATAATACAAATGGCAATGTAAACGAGAGCCTTGTTGTCCCTCTCCACGATACGACGGTTATGCCGAACGTCAACGCTCCTTCGGGACTCCCTGGTACTGGAGGATATACGTTACAAGCCCCACCATCTGCGAGGAAGACGGGTGCTTAAGCATTATCATCCGCGAAGTTCCAGAGATATCAAATTTGGCATTGGTTGCTTCAGTTTCCTCGAATCCGTTCGCTTGGATATCGAACAGCCTGGCATCCAACTAGATCTTCGTGCTCAAGTGGCTGCTTCCTGCCTAGCCAAATATGAGATTGCCGAATGATAGGGCACTTCGCGCATCGTGCATACCATACCCGCGTTATCATCATCTACGCAGGATATTTAGACCAGTGTCGGGGACTCGTGTCTGGAGCCGTACTTCGTATTGTAATTTTAGCCGCCAGATGCTTCAGCAGCATGTCTTCAACTCCCGCAAGCAAATGTAACAGATCAAATATGGGAAATAATAGTTTATATACCAACTTGCAAGTACACAGTACAAAATGGAATTTGCCAACTACAACAACATACAGACTACCATATCATTGGAAATTGTCTCACAAATTACTCTGAATACCAGATACAAGTAACCCGCCTGCAAGGTATAAACATCACATCACATCACACCAACCTTCACTGATCCGCCCAAGACGCGACCTGTTATGAGCAGTTATTAATTTGCGTAGGATAGACGGCATCATGAAAAGTAAATTACCCATGAAAAGCCAGAGAACTCTGCCTGATCCTGTGCACTCAGTTGTGTGTGCACTGGCGTCAATGTTGGCTGCTCGCGCGTGAACTCTTCATCGAAGTTGCTTGTATCTGCGCTTCCTTTCTGTTTACATGATCAAAATAATCAATATACGCATCTAAAGTCTCAGCGTGTTGGGTGTCTTACAATAGTTGGACGGTATGGTGGTTCAAACTTCTTATTCATAACACCGATCCAATCGACATCCTTGAAGAAGGGATGCGCCTTGATTTCCGCAGCGTCACTTTCTCCAGAGCCTAGACGTCGGTTTGGATCCCGGGTTAACAGCTAGTTGTTGGAAGAGATTAGGTCCGGCGTTGACACAAGAACTTTGACCAGACCTTTTGCAAAATAGAGACTGCATCACGAGGCATTGTTATTGGGTATAGTGGCTCGTCTTCCAGAATCGCGTCGAAGATTTCGTCTTCATCGTCCCCTCGGAAAGGTGATTGGCCAAGTAACATTTCATACATTAGCACGCCGAATGCCCACCAGTCTACTGCTCGGCCATAACGTTGTTCCAGTAGAATCTGTAGTGGACTTAGACCTGTTCAATTGCATATGAGAAACCGTAAAGCCTACCTCAGGAGCCATGAACTCAGGAGTACCACAGAATGTACTCGTAGTGCTACCGAACCACATATCTTCCTTACACAAACCGTAATCAGCGACTTTGATATGACCGTCAAGTGTAAGGAGGATGTTATCAAGTTTCAAGTCACTTGTGGATGTCAGCAAGGATGAAATATATTCAAACATATTCGTGAATTGACTTACCGGTAGACGATGCCATTTGCATGGAAATATTCCAGTGCGAGCAGGACTTCCGCTGCATAGAATTTCGCTTGCCGGAGCGAGAACTGCTTTCTTTGAATGTGCAACATCAGGTCGCCTCCACTCACATATTCCATAACGAAGTAAACACGTGTCTCAGTCTGGAAACAGGAGTGTAAACCAAGAAGGAATGGGTGTCGCTCCCGCGCAGCGGTTAGGAATACACGCTTCTCTGACCGAGTGCTGGATTCAACTCAGCAAATGTCGACTACCCGGCCATCGGTTACAAATACTTACCTCTCGACTTCATCATTGTCAATAATGAACTCCTTTTTCAACACTTTGACGGCATACAGCTTATTCGTCAATTTTTCCTCAGCAAGCATGACCTTGCCGAAGTTTCCCTTCCCAAGAACTGCGAGGAAATTGAAGTCGTCCAATCCTACTTTCCGCTTTCGTGCTGCTGGTCGAGCAACGTTGTGTGAAATTTGTTGCTGAGCAGGAGGAATGGATGACACGCGTTCAGGTGGCTGTTGAGGGAGAAGAGTCTGACCACCGACGGGTCCGGGAGGGAATGGTTTGGGATATGGCGCTTGCTGCTGCTGATATGGCTATGGGGAATTGGTAAACTTTCTGGTAGTTACTAGATTAAACTGTGTAATACATACTTGAGGGAATCCCGTCGTTGGATATCCATCTGGAGGGGGCTGATATCTTACGGTCTGAACATCACTGTACGGCATGGGCTGCTCAGGTACCCGAGCACCAGAGGGTATCCTTCCTGGAGGCTGAGGAGCCTCGCCTGGAGAATAAGGATATGCTGGGGCTCCTGATGCTGACAGAGGATATACTTGTGGAGGCATCTGGGCTTGAAGATGTTGCTGGGCGGGCGGCAGTTGCTCTGCAGATGAAAGTTGCATGCTGTCCACACTCGTGCGTAAGCCTTCGATAGATGGACGTGTATCCTGCCCGTACATCGCTGGCGGCGTCGGTTGAGGCTGGGGCTGCTCAACCTGTGGTACGGGAATTCTCGCGGGTCGTTGACCCTGCCGACCGGCCGCGGTCCTAGTCGCCTTCACCTTCTGAATCTCTGCAAGTAACTGGTTTGCTGTCTCCATTGACATCCCACAGAAGTCTGGAACGAGATGTGCGCAATTTGCGTGACAAGTAATACCGCATTCAGTGCAACGACGCGCGTTCTTTCGTCCAAGTGGAAGCATATATCCACAGTGACAGCACCAGTTCGCGCCAATGTTCGTGATAGTCTCAAACCTGTGCGGTATACGATGATTGATTTTGTCCTCGTCGTCTTCCTACAAGGACAGGACGATCAATTAACGCAATCAAATGAAGTATGTGTACGTACGCCTGTAGACTTTGATATACACTTTGTCACGACCTTCTCGTAGCATTTCTTATGACATGTGTATCGACAGTCCTCACACTGATAACCTGCAGCATTCAGCAAGAATTCGCTGCAAAATGCGCATAGGATAACTTGATAAAACTGTTTTTGAACGAATTTGTGGCCGTTCATTTCGTGGACTTCACCCTTCCGCTGGCGAACAGCGCCTTGACGCCCAAGTCCACGCGCATCGAGAGGGCGTTTCCGCACATTTTCCTTGACTAAAGGAGACAATTAGGATACGAAGAGCCACAAAGCTGGCAAACTCACTGAAGTTAAGACGAAGCTGGATGGCACCCGCGGGCTCCACAGCAAACCAAGCGTCGATTCCTTCCGGCTCTATCGACATCCTTCCTCCCGGCATCGCTCCGGGGAAGTTCATTGGGTTGTTAAAGTCACCAGAACCTCCGCTACTATGGCTTCCAGAGTATGGTTGGTTGTCGAATGTACTTCCAGATCCGCCCATAGCACCAGCTGCGTCCGCGGTGACCCAACCTCCTTGTCCGGCTTCTTGTTCCACTTTTTGCCTTCGTAGAGCCTCTACCAGATCACTCAACTTAATCCAGAGCATTCCAATGGGCACTGGGTATGGTTCGCTGACTTGCTTATCGTAAATTGTGATCTCTACTTCGTTCGCTTTGTCGACCTCCACTTCGAAGTCTTCGTTCCAGCGATCGGTCCGTGAAGGATGGGAACGAGCACGTTGAGTTCCTTCTACCTTCAGAGAAACATAGGTCTCAATCACTTGTTTCGAGGCAGACCGAGATTTCCAGGAAGTGACAACTGGTGCATGCTCGAGTTCACGAGCCGCTCGAATTGAGACCTGCAGCTTCCCAGATAACGGCCGGGATCGGAGGTTCGCTTTATGACCACCTTCGATAGGAGGTCCATCTAAAGGGCATTGATAAGCTGACTAAATGCGTCGTGAAAGGTACATATATCTCACCTATAGGTTCTTCTTCATCCTCGGCTTCGTCCAGAATGTGTAGAGTCTTGTATCTCTTCAAGGCAGACTGCAGCAATGCGATTTTCTTGTCGCTTTCTACACGTTTCACTTCCGCGTCAGCTCTGGACTTTTTATCACCGTCCGCTTGATAAAGCGTCGACATTTTTGCTATACCCTCTTTATACTGCTTCTCGACCTGAAGTTTAAATTCCAGCTGATGCAACATTTTGGAAATTTTGGCGGTTGTATGAGGTGTATCAGCCTTGATCAAATCAAGATTCGAATACACCTTTGATTTGGGTATACTGCCAGCATCGACAGCGTAAGGTGGGGCCGGGCCGCCAGGAGGCACACCTTCCGGGTACGGCTGAGGAGTCGGCGGAAGTGAACGGTCGCGCGGTGGAAACTGACCCAGTCGCGGCGAAGTTGGCAGACCACCTGGACCGGATCGTGCGGGATCATCGCGGTTCGTCAGCTGCAGCTTGCGAGCCTGCAGCTCCTTGAGAGTGGATTCGAAGTAGGAGAGCGAGCGCTCTGTCTCCTTTATCTTCGCCTCATTGCGCCGGAGGACATCCTGGTTGGGTGTTGCCAGACTCAGGAGCCGGGAGGCTTCGAGGATCTTGCGCTCTGTCTGAATGCGCTTACAGACCTCCTGAATCTTGGAGTCGAGCTCCTGCGACTAGATATCGAGCATTAGCGAGTGTCATCAAGCAAGCTTTGAGACCGAACACGAACCATGGCCGGTAACGAACTAGCGTTTGACCGTCGCGGCACAGGGCGTGAGGTGCTGGGTGATCAAGATGAGTTCGCCCGTACTGACAGACGCGGTAGACGTCACCTGACTTGGGAATATTATCTATCCAGATTTCCAAAAGGAGTAATCCAGTTGCCTTTTATTGACACCAAGGTGTTTGAGCCGTTACTTTCTCTGTCACTAACCACCACTAGTACTACGGAATGCCAGTCGTTCATTATAATTCGCATGTACGAGTTAAACAGGACTATTTCACATTAAAGCTACATGCTCGCCACTCTTTTCTTGTTGGAGAACATTTCACGTCTGCGGCTGTCCAACAGGACGCTATATCGTATGAGCTCAAAAAGCCGCTGCCGTCTTCTGTGGACGTGCTCTCTCACTCAGTCATGACTTTCATTGTATCCGCAACTTTAAATGGTCGAAAACTAACTAGCCAGGATCTGAAACAGTCTATTATGACTCGGCACCTTATTCACATACTTCACAGCGTAAGTCTTAATGTCCAATCCCACTCCATCAGTACTCATCTTGCGTTTAATAGAACACCGCCGAACTAGGACTAGATAACATATCGCGTGCATATATTGACGAGAACGATGATCTCGTCAAAGGTCAGTGACTGCAGAAGTTTGCGTTAGAGATTCTCAACATGTCGCACTTAGTGGATATCACGCCTCAGCGTTTCGTACCTTTCGAGAGCACGTCACCGATCACACTCGTTTCTATACACCTAACTTATCACCTCAAGACTATGGAAGATAGTTATTACACCTCACTCGCTACGCCGGATCCCGAGATTAACTTAGATCTACTAAACCAAGCTATGGATAAATTAATGGCTTATCATATAATAAAGTGAGCCTTCTTGCTCTAACGTATGACGGTATGGTTGTGATATTTGACTGTGCACTAGACGTTACCCCCTAATTTTTGGACCATGGGGAGAGGTGAGCGCGTATCCTTGACTATATGCGCGTGGGATAACGGCGGACACTTCTACAGAGACTAGATCGGGAGAAGGTATACTTCCGTTCCATCGCGCTCAGTTTACTGTCAATGATCCACCGTTCTCCAAATGACGAATTTCGGGAACAAGTCAAACGGTATTTGAAGGTAGCACGCTGTAAAGCTGGTGTATTCAATACTCATTTCTTGCTAGATTCTGCGCAAGCGTCTTCGGATGTTAGAGCTGGATGCCATCTCTAGCCTCGAGGAATGCTGTACACGATTGGCAGAATGCGATATCTCGTTGGAGAGGGGGGTGCCCGAAAGTCGTTCGGATGAAGACGTCATCAGCGGTTCATTGAGTCAACTCTTGAACATCTGTCTTCGCCCTCCACTTGTTCGCGTGCGTATTTGACAGACGAATATTCTCTTCTGCGCATAAAGATGCAAGATCTGACTTCTCGCAGCTGAAAACCGTACCGAAAAGCGCCATTCCACATGGGAGTGACGAAGAAGCACTGTGAGCGGCTATGGCTACAGACTAGTGGGTGTTGAAAAACGTACTGACATATCATGTTCCAGGTCAAGACAGTTCGCAGAACAAGACCCCGAAATATTAGACATACCAACAATGTACAAGGACGACGACTATTTCGATTCCGATTCAGTTCAAGATGACGAAGATGCTCTGTACTGTTCTGAGCCTGAAGAGAAAGCTGCAACACCATCAGAAAGGAACTGCCCATTCATATCCATATCTCGGCCGTCAGTTCTCCCAGAAGTCCTTTTCACTTCTCCTGACGGGACGCAAGACTCCGGAAAGTGTTCTGAAGTAGTGAGGGAACATTACTTTTACCGCTCTTCCCTTCTGTGCTTCTGACGTTAAATTATATCTCTAGAAGTCACCGAAGGCACACGACACGATCTTTCATGCTCAAGACCTAGGACATTCTTACCCCTATACGGACTATCTAGGAGACCGCTTTCAGGAGGTCACTCCTTCATCTAGCGCTGAACAGCAAGCAGAGACATGCTCATATCTCTCGGATACTGACTCTGACTCACTCAGTCTCTCCTTTGTGGATATCAACCATGCTTCAACTCTTAGCTCTATGGACGTCGAAACGGAACCGGACAACAAGAATGACTGCTCATACTCTGGGTATAACTCTGAAGGACAGGGGACTGGTGCTTCCAGTGTACATTGCAAACATCTATACGTGGATAAGCACCCTATTCCCACTGACATCTCAGCTGCCGACCTCTCGAGTTCCCAAAGCTTCTCATGCCCATCCGGCGCGACACAGTTACCGCCATTCTTCTTGACTGCTGATCAGGAACGTCTGAACAATGGCAGTGCATTTGTATCTCCCGGAACTGCCCAACGTGAGGAATTCACTTCCTCCACGCCTGCTTCTCCCGTCTTCGTCTACAAGCATACACTCACAAACACAATCAATCTACCACACTCTTCTCTTCTCTCTAACTCTGCTCCGATGGCCGACCTTCCGACCCCTTCTACCTCCCCGCCAGATGACCACGACAATTATACTCGGCGCCTAGATTGCGTCGGGGAAACAAGGGATAGTGCATGGGCTGCTAAGGCGGACCAAGAAGCTTATCCGTCTCTTCAGTTAGACTCACATGAATCGTACCCTTCGTCCGGTGATGTGCGTTCCTTTGCATTCATGGGGAATTGCATAGAGTCAGGCGACCAAATGGACTACCCAGAAGGGTCACCGCTGTGCACGGCTTTAACATCTCCGGATGATATACATCACGGAGTATTCAACTCTATCAGTAATATTGATTCCGAGTGTGCTTGGAGCGACAATATTGACCTCGACATGGAATACGACAGTGGATATGAGGAGTGTGGTTATTCTCGTGAACCTCAAAACAATGGCTCCGGGGAGCGATGCGGCGCGATGGAGTACTCGGACCCGGAGATACTTGATGCTTCGGAGGATGAGCGGGAAGGGGAATACGAGTGGGGTATACTTGTATGAAATACTCAGGATGCCGGACGGACGAATTTGTTAGAGTTCTCTTAGTGAATGGAATGGATCAGTAGATATTCATAAGCACAGCGCTAGCGTGAAAAGGAAGCGATGACGCGACCCTGACTCTATTTACGAGATTACATAATCCGGAGCATGACCTTCACGACGAGCGTCGATTTCCGTACTTTGCCTTGAGCCATCACTTATAACCCAGCCAAGCTTCGCATTCGTCGTCTCCCGCATCGTCTGCATCGTCACACAAACACTACCCGTCGTCGTCGCCTTTCACAACGCTCGCCTCGCGCAGTCCGATCGACCGTCTTTCCTCCTCCCGTCAGCCATCGTATCTTCCGCGTACAATGCTTCCTCACAAGAAAAAGATTGATATCAGCGTAAGTCATCTACATCCCAGCTGGGCTGCGGGACGTCGCAATGTACATTGCACATGCCATTGCATCCGGATGTGTAGCAACAAGCATACGACGTTGCGGTGTCTCGGGCCAACTTGTCCATCTTTGAGGGTATTGAAGCTCATGACATCCTTTCAAATCATAGACCCTGACAGAGGAGGAGAGGAAACTCTTCAGTCTCTATGGGAAGTTACCAACCCACAAGAACGTTTTGACCAAGATCCAGAAGGTACGTGGTTTATCCGTCCATTCATGAATAGTAATTCACATTCGTAATTTGTTGTGGTGCACAGGACCGGAAGTACTTCGACTCAGGTGATTACGCTCTGTCCAAGGCAGGCATTGCACCCGAAGAGGCGGTCGGCACGGCCATCCCCAATCCTCAGAAGTACGTTTGGATTTTACTTTGCTCGCAAGAGTCTAGCCATCGTTGAACTGACTGCAATCTCATCAGTATTCCTCATGCATCGTCGCCACCGACTTGCCAGGGTTTATCCATCTCTCCTACCAATTCTACCAGTCCTGTGAAGGAGAGCACTCTTGTGGCTGGCAGCATCCGGGGGAGCGACGCCACGGCTGATGATTCCTAGTGAACGTTGCATGCCGACACGTTACTGCTTTCTTTTCTGTGGAGCACTAGTATGCCCGACCAATTGTTATATTTGTCACCGATTCCTAACTGTTAGTAATTCCACACACCACTTATTTACCGCCTTGCCATACGGATGGTCTGCGCGTTCCTAGTCCATGAAATTTTTCTTGAGATCCGGATGGCGGGGCTGTGTTCGCTGTTCGCTTCATTCCAGCCTAGGCCTCCGATGACTCGTGTACTACATATGTTGACTTTTTGTACTGTGCATCACACACATGCGCTGGTTAATGTTCGAGACTCTTCGAAACATGCACTTTGGAGCGCTACCGTCAGAATGCGGGTACCCACCAAACCAAATCAGATCTCGCACTTACAACAATGGGCCGTTGTACTCTTTTGGAGTGTGGATCTTAATTCCAATTTCAATTCGACTGCTGCGGTACTGAAGTCTGACCGGAAAAATTAAGCATCTCGATCCTTAACTCACGTCTGTTTGAAATGCCTATCTTTAAGTCTATAAACCGAGCAGCGTTGCTCGGCTCAATTGCAGATCCAAAGCACTGTACAAAACCCACGTGACCACATTATGTTTCTTTTCCCCAGTTTACATTATCGCCTGCTTCAGTTGATTCAAACGTCACTCCTGTTCAAACTCACAGTATCCTCTTATTTGATTTGTGCTGACGTCATTCAGAGCATCTGTGATACAATTCAGGTATTCTTGTAACTTCTTGTGGTGTGAGGGACAGCAGAAGGACTTGCTGATGGTTGCAGATTTGCTAGCCTTTCACAGTGCCGAGCTGTTCCTCTCTCCGGATCACTACTCTGCTTATCCCTGCTGACCTACTTATGAGCTCTGCAAATACTTGGCCAACAGCATGCCTCACTCAAGTGTATGACTACAGGCTTGTGCATTGCACCTTATGCGCACTGTGAAGTTGCTTCCTTGTTTCAATACTCAGATAGCTATGTAGTGCCAGGCATACTTAGGATTAATATGCAGGTAGGTACCAGAAGAATTCCAGGAGTTACAATTTCCCGATCAAATGGCCTCCTACTAGAGAGTGGCGCATTATTAAAGAACTAACGAAGGCTATCGCTAGATTCTATATGCAATGAACGAAGGCGCAAGATACTGCCTTGCCCGATTGTGCTTGCGTTGACTTTGCTGCGGCAAATCCAAAGATGTAATAACAACCGATGTAAGTAGCTTGTAGCTTGCTCTGCAATGTTAATATGAACTAAACGTTTCACACCCATACGCCACTTGCTGCTGCACTTAATACTATCTCTGGTCAGTGCCAAGTAGTGAGTCTGCTGGGAGCAATGCTGCTATTATCAGTATAGAGTGCCCTTATTCGCATATTCACCGAGTCTTCTTCAGCTCTAAATCCTAATATCCCGTCTATTTGATGCAGTCTTCTTCCTTGCCGATGGTTTGCAGTGTATTGCTGTTCTATTAACGCTATCAGAATTTGGTAAGGAACGACTCCTACTATTCGTTTCAGAAGTGGGGCACCTCCAATTTCAATGCGTTGCACTGATTGCGCTAATACTTAAGCATAGGAACTCTCCGGATCAAAACGCTTTGAAACTTTGCATCTCACAGCACGGTCGTCATGGTTATAAAAGCAATTCACGTAAGGAGGAGTCCACTACAATCAATCAACTACTAAAATGTCTAAGGAAAGCAGGCGTAGTACAACTGGAAATGCGAAAGCAACTCCCGAACAGATGCTTAAGAAGTACGAAGAAAATCTAAAGAGGGGAACTCTCGGCGACTGTAAGTCGATAGATCATCATGCTCTCAGGACCTGAGTTGTAACACCATCCCACACAAGATATGGAGATGTCGTTTGGTAAAAATACTGGTATTAAGATTAAGAAGGGAGAACATGGCTTTACAGCAATGCCAAAGTCAGGTAAGTAGTCTGAAGTTCTTGCTGTCATACACATAGATTATAACCTATTACTCTATAGGCTGGAAAGGGTGTATATTTGATGGAAACTGCACCGAAAAATCGTATCTTGACAGTCTACCAGTGGGCGAAGGTGCTTCTGAAGAAGAGGCAAAAGCATACTTGCACAGATCTATTCTGATGAGGTACCAAAACCATTATTCTGCCTTCCACGACGGCAGAGATAGCACAATGGACGAGATTGCGAGTTATCCCGTAGCCCTGCTACATAGCTATGATACAGCAGTACGAGCCGCTCAAGAAGATCAATCAAAAAGAGGATAATCGCTGATTGTGTACAAGATAGGAATATCTTTTACTGCCTTTTTCATAAGTATTGTCACACTTGATGATTCATCATTTTTTGTCACAAAAGTAACCAAAACAAAAAAATAGCTATTTCTCACTCAATTCTGCACAGAATTCAGTGAATATTTGACATAAATTCATGTTTTTTAAATATGCTTCAAAAAGACACTTTAATTATTAAATTTGAGCAAGATTTGACTGAGTTATAGTGAAAATACACTGGTTTTCATGTTTT